CCGGATGAGTTCACTCATCAGTCCACAGCTGCCAACGGCCTTGCCCAGGTCATGTGCCAAGGAACGGACATAGAAGCCCGACGAGACGGTCATGATGATCTTAACAGCCGCGGATTTCGGCTGAGGGGCAGACTCAGCCTTCTCTGGCAACGCATCTGACTTCTCTTCTGCTGTTTCTGGGGCATTTGACGAAGATTGCTCGGTCTGTGCCGGGACCGCTTCGCCTTCAGCAGCCTTCTGCTTCTTCACGGCCGGAGATTTCTCACCTTCGGTCGTGACTGGGGCATTATCTTCAGCTGCATTGGGGCTATCCGGAGGTGGTGGTGTCTTGCGTTTTGTCGAAGCCGAAGCATCTTGCTCGACTGTCTTCTCGGCTGATCCTGCAGCTTCGGCGGACGGCGCAACAGGTAGAGCATCATCTCTCGCGAGGAGTTTCTCGGCGACCGCCTTCTCCTCAGCAGCGGCCTCTTGTTCAGGCCATTTGAAGTCATGTGTACCAGGCTCATACCACTCGAGAATACGCAGATCCGTCACCTCGACGGGTCTCTCCTGGATCTCAATCGGCGGCTCTTTGCCCTCACGCGCGTATTCATAAAGCGGCTTGCCCTTGACCTTCAAGGCCGAAAAGATAGGTGGGCGTTGCATGATCTTTCCCCGAAACTGCTCCAGCGCCTTCTCAACCATTTCACGCGTAACATGCTCATATGGAGCCCGCCGGACGACCTTGCCCAACCGATCGTAGGTATCTGTCTCGGCCCCGAAAAGTACAATTGTTTCGTAGGTTTTTGTACATCCCAGGAAGTCAGGGAGCTGTTTGGTACCTTTGCCGACACCGGTGACTAGCACACCAGTTGCCAGAGGATCGAGGGTTCCTCCATGACCGATTTTGACATCCAGACGTTGCGTGCGGCGCCGTCTGCGCTGGTTTTTGCTTTCGCGGTCTCGGCGAGCGCGCTCGGTTTCTAACCAAGGCTTAAAGAGCTTCGAAGGGTTGAAATGGTGTTGGAGGGTGCGGATGACATCGGCGGAAGTAACTCCTTGGGGTTTATGGACGGCTATTGCAGTTGTTAGCTTGCTGTTAATTGCCAAAATACTTATAATTTGAGTGAAAGAAAATGTGATGTGGCGAACATACCGAAAACACCTTCGTAGATCTTTTCTCCAGACATGGTGGTTCGAAATAGCCTAAAGCCCGGGCGGAATCCCATCAGTCGCGGGGGAGGAGGAATTGGAGAAGGAGAGTGAAGGAGGAGCTTAGGCAATGTTGTATGCGACCAAGTCTAGAAACAGACAACTCAATTGACCCGCAGCTCTGCTTATCCAAGAACGAGAGAAGCTCAAATCTATCACTGAACAACCACAGCACGGAACTGAAGCTGCGACTGAAGAAAAAACAGCGGCGGGTTTGCGCCCGCTTGCAAAAGGCGTAAACTCGTAATACAGCCTGACGTATGGACCGCGTAAGATACGGAATTCATGAGTAGTGCACAATGGGTACCGCCTGGTAATTACAAGACTCAATAAATACAAAACCATCGTCTACTCTTTTGACTCTCTGGAGTCTCAACAACGTCTGTCAATATCACCCGTTCTTCTTTATCTCATCCCGTTTCTCGTTGTATCGGTTTTCAGGAGCCTCTTTGTGACCCCTTTCTTGCATGTCGGCCAAGGCATCATGCTGCCTCCGGAGACATGACATCGCGAGAAGATAGTGTCCTGGCCGCCAGAGACCCGTCTCTTGCTGACGAGAACGACTGGGAAGAGTTCAGTCTATCCGAGGTCAGAGTCCTGGTCCCGGGCAAATCCCGCTATGCGAACCTCCTCACGGCCTCCCCAGACAATCCTGTTCAGGTAACCGGGTGCTTGGATGAGGTGGAGGAGGAGCAGGAGTCCCTCGGTGCGTTCCGATCTACATCAGCTCACATACCATAGTTCATGTCCCCCTCATTCTGACACATCAATCGCTGGAGTTAGTGCTCGACCAAGACTACCTTACGAAACGAATTGTTCTAGAAAACGTTACGCATTACGCTTACGGCCAACATGATGATGGCGAGGTCGGCATCTGGGTTGCCGGCCGCGCAGGCTGGTTCTCCATCTCACCTGCGAGGGGTTACCGGCCTATGTTCAATGATGTGGTGGAGGCCATCGATTTACTATATTTCTTAGCGGACCGACACCAGAAAAGGCGGCGGAGCAAGCGGAGGAATCGGACTCCAAGCGTTGAATACTTGTGCGAGGAGGTTAGTGGATTCCCCATCTATGCGCTTGTGGTGAAGGGAATATCGTCACTAACGTTAGAACCCCTGGGATAGTACGTGAACCATACGCATGGGATTTGCGAGGATAATGACGATTCGGCCGAAGTCTTCTACAAACATCATCACTTCCTACTTACCCGAATGCTGAAGGGTGAGGAGGATGTTCAATGGGTCGATACAGACATTTTTGCGCACCTCCGTGAAAAGTTTCCGGTACTTGTCCTTCTCCTGTAGTATCAGTCACGGTGGCTTACTTGATGGTTAGGAGGACTACGAAGAGATTAAGGCCGAATTAGAGCCACGGAAGGCAGAATCAGAGCCCGAAGAAGACGAAGCCAACGATGAACCGGAGGCAACCCATGAACCAGACCCGACCGTGGTCTCCAAAACGCAAACAGAGGCCATTTACCAAGTGATACTTGACCTAAAGGAGGCCGGACACTTAGCAAAACGCCAGTTAAATCTGGATCTTGTTGCCTCCACGATAGTGGGGCGCTTCGAGATCGATAGTGCAGAATATGCCCAAGACCTCATAGCATCAAAAGCTGATGCAATCATAGAGCTCATGGATGAGGCAAAAACTTCGACTTTTGATTGGTCACGCAAGGTCATATACCGAGAATTGAAAGCCGCCGCGAAGAAACACGACGTGCAACAAGTAGCATTCACTCCCCTACGGCCTCGTTTATCCAACGAAGATGGGTCCTCTGAGGATGACAGCGAGCGTGAAGAAGAACAGCCCAGGCCGCGAAGGCGCCGAGTCCGTAAATCTGTGCTGCGCCCTAAAAGCGCGATCGCTAGCAAGAAGATTGGCAAGCGAACGAGGAGTGCCGCCGCAGCGGACGATGAAGATCTTTCGGATGACCCTGATGCAATGGATGAATTTCAAACTCCCAGCAAAGTGCGTGGCCATGATCTTGTCCGCGATCCTTTATCTACGCGGGCGAAACGCAGAACCCGTTCAATGCTCTCCAACCCCGAAACCACGCCTTTTCAGAAGGTGCCCGCACTACAGGAAATTCTCCAAAGTCGCAATACATCGGTCTCTGTCGGTGACCAGGCACCCTCGGAGTCAGACACCCCTAACGGTAATGAATCAACATCCGATACATGGGTTTGTCAAGCTCGGGGTTGTGGCTACGTTATTCACAAGAGCAATACAAAACATGGCAAGGAGCTGATCCGGGTTCATTCACTAGAGCATGCAGATGATGCCAAGGTCAAAATGGACCTGGTCTTTTCAGAACACCAGCTTAATCTAGGGTTTCGTGTCGATAATCTCCTTGAGCATATTCGGGGAATGGGTGGTTTAGATATTACAGCAGCCATGGACGGGGCCACAAACGGGACTACCGGGATTGGAGCGTAGCTGCAAGGCAGTACTTATGATTTTGATAATATCCCTATTCAATATGAGCATAACCCCTTTTTTTTTTCCCTCTTTGTTCACTGCTGGATTGAACCAGTGATTGTAGGGCTTCACGGTTCCCCGATGGTATGTAAGGACTATACACTTCTGACCTTTTTCACTTTAAGCATGCACATGCCTTCTTCAGAGCTGCGAGCTCGCATCTCGAGCAATATGGGTATGGACATGCAATCTCATCCAAGCATTAGGGGGCCAGATATCTATACCTAGTATGACCAATTCGCGACCGCATAGTCATGTTCAGGCGGGACTTAAGACCAGAACTAGTGATAATACGATGCAAGCTGAGTTAGCCAATGAGTAGCTACCGCTTGTTGACGGCATGCTACTTCATTTCATGTAAGGCGTTATAGCTGGACCGTCTACTGTTCGGCTGATCTTCCACGGTTCAGAACGTCTCCAGTCAACAGGTTACAAGCTGTTACTCTCAATCCAAGCATTCTGGGATGAGGGTTGCGAGGCCTGAATGAACCGATAGGGTATCTTTCAGCTTTGGGAAGGGCATTGTGAGTATCATCGAGATTATGCTAGGGACCAAGGAAGCCATAGGGTTACGGGTGTCACTACAATAACGGGTCTAATACCTACCTGATGAGGACCACTTAACCCATAGCCAATAGACGTCTAAAATGAACTTACTTCGTCCCAGTGGTTCCAGTGCTCTTCAGCCTCTCTCTCACTGCAATTTTAGTGTCATCGAAGCGTTGGCAGGTCTCACACTATGACTAAGCCTGATTGGGATATGTGGCGTGTCTTGTACATACCCTCATGATTGGCGAGTATGTCTGCCATTGCGGTTTTAGGGTCATCTGATTTCGATAGATAATTGTTATGTAGCGTTGAGAAATAAGAGAGAAGACAAAGGGTGCCAGTGTTGGATATTCTCGGAGATAGAATCTTGAGGAATCTTTGTACAAGAAAATATAGAACTCTCAACATTGAGCTTCAACACCTTTTAAACCTGTATTAAATCCCGAACATAGCATACATATTATGATTTTAATTATGCTGATTCCAAAACTTCAATTAAAGTTAGATCATGCTGCGAACTAGTCAAGTTATACATGTTTAGTTTCAGAACAGTTTTCTAGAACGTTTATTTTAATAGAGAAAAATAAAAAAAAAATAAAAATAAAAATAAACATAAACAAAAGTTAATAAAAGAAGGATTTCTGGGAGAGTTAGGGTTTAAACTTCTTGATATGATTTTGGCAGTCATACTGGAAGCTGCTCTAATGTTTAGTAAAATATAATTCTTATTTTAACGACCAAGGCCGCTGATTTATAACTTTACAAGAAGGCCCTATGCAAAGAGCCTCAGCACTGCAATTTTAGGGTCATCGAAGCGTTGGTAAGCTTATTGTGCATCCATGGCCGTCACTGCAGTTTTAGGCCCGTCGGAGTGTTGGTATGGCAGTTGATATGGCGACCTGGCAGCGAGTACTTGGAGCCCTAAGTCAAGTACTTAAATTGTAGCAGGATAAGGAGCCAGCTGCTGTGGACAAGGTCATCCAGATTATTTCAATGTACACATAAAGCAGACCTGGGATTCGCGGAACAATCCCACGATAACCCCGATCCAGAGTCTAAGAGAAAATCGACACTACTCTTTTGAAACCCCATAAAGCCAACTTTTACATCCCATACAAGCAAAATTAAGAACAAAAAAAATTCAATCACGCCCGTCCCTTGGCGGCAGCTCTCTTGCTTTTGCCAGGTCTCTTAGCACCTCCCTTCATCTTCTTTACCGAGAAACTGCGCAGGTCTCCGCTGGACATAGCATCACCGCTCTTGGCGTGGCGCTTCTTGCCGCCGAAGCCGTACTTCTCGTTCTTCTTCTGGCGCTTCAGATTGGGACCGCCACCATCCTCACGACCACGCTTGCGGCCCTTGGACTCGGAGTTATCGATGGCGATGTCGAACATGTCGTTGTCGTTGTCTGTAGGGCCGGAGGGGTTGGCCTTGCGCTCTGTTCAAACCGTCCGGTCAGCAAATCTGTTTCATAGGAGCCAATACAACTAGGTAGAGGAACCAAACATACTCTTCTTCAGATCATTGATCTTCTCCAAAGTCTCACGCTTCTCCTTCGCGCGCTGCTGCAACTTCGCGACCTGGACCTGCTTTCCGAACTTCTTCAGATCGCGCTGCTTACGAGCCTCCGCAGCTGCCTTCTTGCCCGCCGCTTCATCATACAGCTTCTTCTTGATCTTGCCCATGTGCTCATCCGTCTTAACCATCTCAGCAAAGTAGTCTCCGGGCCGAGTGAACGGAATACCCTCCTTCTTGAGTAGTCCACGCGCCGTCGAAGCAGCCGCCTGACAAACCTTGTAGAAGGCCAGCTCGCGAGCCAAGTCATCGTTAGGGTCGGGGACTTCGATCGGTTCTTGCGAGACTAGCGAGTTGTGCTCGGAGAATAGGGTCTTGGGTGTGATGAAGGAGATGCGCTTGAGGGAGGCGTTGATTGCGGCGGAGTTGTTGATCGTGAGACGTTGGTGTGGTACAACGTCTTCTCTTTCGTCTTCCGAGAGATCAGAGAGCGGGATGTCTTCCTCTTCCTCTTCCTCTTCTTCCTCTTCTTCCTCTTCCTCCTCTTCCTCCTCGTCATTGTCATCGTCCTCTTCTTCCTTATCGGAGGTCTCTTCCTTTTCCTCATCCTCCTCCTCGTCGCTTGATCCTTCCTCCTCGACCTCTTCCTCAGCTTCGCGCTTCTTAGACTTCAGATCTTCGGCCTTGATCGCAAAACCAGTTAATACCAATTGCCAATCGATAATCATCCATATAAGAACAGGAAAAAGAAAGAAACCCACCTTATCCTTCGCCTGAACACCATTCTCCCCAGCAGCAGCCTGCTTAGCAGCCTTCCTCTTCTCCGCCGCCTTAACTAGCTTCTTCTGCTTCTCAGCCTCATAATCGCGACCCCGGTGGTCATCCAGAGCCTGAAGCAATTTACTCCGCTTAGGCATATTTCCTGTGAAGAACCTAAAGTTCTGTAACTTATAAGCAAAAAAAAGAAGAGAAGAGAAAAGAGAGCAAAAAAATAGGGTATCCTAACACTCGAAAACCAGAACTTGTCGGAGCCAGACGATCAAGAGCAGCAACTACGGGAATTTTTTTGGGATGTGAACTAGACCCGAACTGGTTAGAGCCGTTGATAAGGATACACTAGGCTGTATCAGGACTAGAGGGGGATGGAGAATAGTTGATCCTGAGTTTTGTATGGTATGTGGTATTGTATGTATGCGCGCATCTTATCGTGATGACTTGCGTCTCCTGGCTGTATACTGGTGCCAGGGTTTGATTGGGGTCGTGTTTGACATCTCTCTCTTTTCTTTTACCCTTTTTCATTTGTGACATATTCTTCCTTATTGTCTTATTTTTTTTTTCTTTTCTTTTTCTCATATTGTGTCTGTCGGTTCGAAAATGACGGAAGACGACAATAAATCTGTCTCTACCTCCGAGGCTGTTACTCCCCCCACTGGCGAACAGGTACGTCCCTCCCTCCCCTCCTTGTCTTAACCGGTCAATCTGTGTACTGATCTACACCCAGGCTACCGATGCACAGGGCCAGCTCGCAGCAGCTGTGGATGACCTCCTCGATCAATTACAGCATAAATTCGATACCGTGTCGCGGGAGATGTTCGGGAAACGTAGGTCTTATCCTATCAGCTTCCCCCCCCCCGAAAGAGGACATGTTGGCTCAGATGACTGACGGACGGCCGCAGTGGACGATATGGCAAGACGGCTTGATGAGTTGGAGGCTTCGTTGACAACTGCTGGGGATGCGAGTACGCCGACGGGGCCGGGGAGTCCGACCAAGTGATCAGGATTGCGACGGTGCGACGGGGTTAGACTGGGAGTTTTGTCTTGATTATATGAGGAGTTTGGTTGTTTGAGCATTTCTTACTTTTATTTCTCGTCTTGATTAGAGGATTGCGTCTTTGCAGGGCCTTGTTTTTCGTGGTCTTAGACGATTGCATAAGATACCCTGAGAATGTTATCTGGTTGTTTTCACAGATGTAGTAGTGTATTTCATGACTTGGTGTAAAGGGTTCATTTTCATTCATTGTCTCTATAGCAGTCGTATAGAGACGGACTTATTCCAGACTTTTATATAACCAAGAGCACGTTCATATCACATATAGCTAGCTCTCCGGCTGTATCCTAATCACACGTCATATAGGAAATTGTACATCTACAGCTCGTCCTTCATGTCCATGTCGCTCTTCTCCTGGCTCAGGAACTGGCGCAGAACATTGCTACGAGAGATGAGGTCGTCGATCTTCTCCGGCGCTGAACCACCCTTGGCGATGATCTTCTTCAGACGAGCCAACTCCTTGCCGGCATACTCCTTGTTCTGGCTGAGCTTCTCGGCAACCTTGACATAGTACTGAGCGTACTTGTCCTGCAGGCCCTTGGCAGCCTTCTTCACTTCACCGAGGAGCTCCTCGACGTTCTGGGAGGAGGTGTACTTGGCGACCAGCTCGTCGAGGGAGGCAATGGTGCCAGCCTTGTCATCAAGCCCGCCTCCGACGGCGCGGTGAGTGCCGGCCTTTTCGTTCACGAACTCAACGAAAGCCTCTTCCGAGCGGGCGCCAGAGTAGGCAATAGCCTCCTTAGAGCCCTTGGGGAAGAACTTGATGGTCGGGTAGCCGGTGACACCCTGCTCCCGGGCGGTGGCTTTGGCGTTCTCAGCCTCAGCATCGACCTTGGCGATCACAACGTTGGGCTCGAGGGCGAAGTCCTTAGCGAGGGACTCCCAGGTAGGGGCGAGGTTCTTGCAGTCTGGTGGCAAATTAGCACCCAGTCAAGCCTATCAACGCATCCCATAATAAATCCAAGAGATAGCCCAGCTGAGTATCAAGATAGAAAAAGGGTAAACTCACGTCCACACCAAGGGGCGGTGAAAGCAACCAGAACATCCTTGTCACTTCCAATAGTAGTCTTGAAGGAGGAATCGGTCAGCATCTCGACCTCGCTGGGCTCCTTCTTCGGGCCACGAGGCTTGACGCCCGTCTTCTCCGCTACGAAGTTAGACAAGCTCTCCAAATCCCGACCGCCATTGTAGTCCACGGGCTTGTCACTCTTGCCATCGAACCATTTGAGAGTCGGGAATCCCTGGATACCGAACTTCTTGCCGAGATCGCGGTGCTCGTCAGCATCGACCTTGCCAATGGTAACTTTGTCTTCGGCGTGGGCGAAAACTTGACCGAGCTCCTCATACACAGGCGCGAGGTTCTTGCAGTGACCGCACCAGGGGGCGAAAAATTCAACGAGGGCGGGCTTGCCGGACTTGAGGACGACATTGTCGAAGTTCTTGGGGACCAGGTCGACGACTGCGGAAGCAGCGCTCACGACGCTGAGGCAGCTCACGAGCAGGTAGCTCAGACGAGCCATGGTAATGATTGGGAAGATAAGACGTGGAGACAAGCTTAATCGTTCGGGAACAGAGGTTGAAACAATTGCGCCTTGACTGCAAATGATCAGTTTCCGGAGCAATGAAAGTTGGCTGATAAATGGAGTCTCGGCGTGGAGAGCTAAGGAGCCAAAGAGCTCCGCGGCGGATCGACAAAGCGGGTCGGAAAGAGGACACTTGGTATCAACGGAACAAATGACCGATTCATTGTGTACAGAACATATAAGAAAAAAAAAATTATGCGATATATCTACTGGATCGTAGTTGACCATGAGAGGCATTGTATATTCCGCCATCATCCTTCCTACTAATACATGGTTCCTTTGATAGATAGTGTGAAGCCATCCATCAAGTGGTGGCGATTCCCTCTCACCACAACTGATAGGGCCCGGATTTGTAGGATCGAGTAGATTTTCAGAAATGTTGAATTACGGTAGTTCATATTCTTCTGTCCCTCTTACTCTCAGTAAATCCTATCATCGCCTCGCGGCCAACCAGCTGTTTGCGTCCCCAAATAGTTTACCGTCCTTGAATTCTTTTCCGGCGTGCTGTGTTCCTTTGTAGACCTGCAGGGTGAAATCAGTACCGAGTTCATGCCGGTAGTCCAAGACATAAGATATACTCACCGCATCCCAAAGCTTGAAAGCCAAATCTAAATTACCTGTAAAGCTATCGCTGTGTTGAAACCATTCCTTACCCTTTGACTTCACTTCAGCCCGTGCCTCTGGCGATGTCGGGTCGGCCTGCAGGGGCAAGTCATCAAGGTATGTGCGGACGGCGATACCCAGACCGCAGTCATTGTCGTCGATAAAGGGCAATCTACATCACGTTAGGCCAGCCATCCTTTGGCTAGAGCAAGGTCCACTTACTTGACGCTCAAACTGGTCCAGTCGTCCCGATCCCTGTTCGCATCTCCGCTGAGTAGAAGACCCGTCAAAACGACTTCAATCAGATTCCTTAATGTGACGCGGACTTCCGAAACCAACGATCGGTAGCAGAGTAACTGCCGGCTCAGAGGTCCAGAGTAGCCAATACTCTTATGCTGTAGTTTAGCGATACACGCTACGCGAGAGACGAGAATGTTGAAGTTTTTGTCCTCGTCTTAAAAGACATCAGTATGGCCCTACTGGCATAGAAGGTGGGCACAATTAGCTTACCGGAACCTCTCATCGGGCCTCCTGATACGTGGGAAAACCATTGCTTCGCATTAAGGACACCAAAGCGTACCATCTCAATGGCAAGGAAAGTAGCCTCCTCAAGGTTATCGGCTGGGTCAAGTACCGATAGGGCTTGCTCCAGACAAAGGCCCCAGGAAGTGAGCTGGTGTTTCTCGTCGATGTACCCACGCAGTTGTAAGAATCTCCAGAAAACGTTGGCAAGGATCTCTTCTTGGGACGACAATGGCTAGCACTAGTCAGATTTCCATGTTTGTACAACTCCAGACAAAACGGGGTATACCTGGGACTCCTTAGCAGACAGAGACTTGGACACGAATTCTGGATCCTTCAAGCTTTGGACGGCAAACTTGAACGGGCCAGTCGACCGCTGGTTTCCGGTTAGCGGAGCGCTGTGGGATCGACGGTCATCAGCAGACTAACCTGTAGTTTCTTCAACCCCTCCGGTAGCTGATCAATACGGATCTTCCAAGACTGAATGGTGTCTTTAACCGAAGGCAATGACTTGAGATTGACTGATGTATCGGACTTCTCGTCATACCAAGTGCGCACTTGGATCACCTTTGTCTGGTAGAATCTATGGAGGGAGTTCGAAAGCAAGCATATCGCTTGGGTTCTAATTGGAGCAAGGGTGGTCCCGGCAACCTGGCGATAGATCTCCGTATCTTCCACGCCCAAAGGCCGAGATACCACGACCTCGCCAGACGTCAGGTAGTTGGGCACATCAGCGCCCAAGACACCTTTCGAGAGATAAAAGTAGAGTTCTTCAGGAAGACGCTGGCCGATCAGCTCGTGCATGTCAGAAGAGGTGTTCTCTGGGTCCATCGGGCCCACCCGTCCTTCCGCGTCTATAAACACATGGTGCTTCACTGTCATGAATGCACGCTTATAGCGGTCTGTGTATTGAAGCTCCTGCATACGGCGATCCTCCTCGAACTGGGCGCACAGCGAGAGGGCGCTCCGTCCAGCAGAGTTGAACATCGGCAGAGCATCCCGAATGGTAGCGGCCTTTCCAGGAAAGGCGGGGTTCTCGAATATGGGGAATGTCGGTAGGAATAAAGATCCCAGCAGGAGACAGAAGTCCAGGAACTGCTCATTGGACAGTCTACCCAATTCCTCCTGGCATGTCTGTTTGGTTATCCAGGAAAACTGCGCTAGGTCGGCGTCAATCCGGGTAATTAACTTATCCACGTCGAACATCAAGACTTCCGATGGCCCGCACACTGCGTCCACCAGGGGACTGGGGCCTTTTGAGAGGTAGGCGAGCTATGTAATAGTTAGATGTCAGAAAGCGCTTAGAAAACAGGTATAACAAGTAAATCCCCTGGGGCCGCCATCTCACCTGAGCCGCAGCACTATAAGGAGCCACAATAGAATCTATATCATTATTATGAAGAATACGATGCAAGAACCGATAGAGTGATTCCGGTCGAGGAGTGCCTAGAATGCCCAGACATCGTCAGTGCAGGTTCAGGCGGTGCGGCGCGAGTCACTCCTCAATCTAAGGGCCCAGGCAATCCCTACCAGCACCACTAAATGCGTCCACCACTTGATCAGCCTGTTGTTGGTCATAGAGGTCCCAAGCTTGCTCAAATGCCCGTACCGACTCCGGCGATACGTGGGGTCGCTGGTTCTTAGTGCCAAAGTCGAGACCGTCGAAGACAAAAACACATGTTACGCCCGCGTCCTTGAAGAGCTGCAGCTCTCGTTCGATATTATTCCTCAGGGCGAACGGGAATCCGCCAAGAGCGACCAGGAGAGGCTCGCGGGTGGAAGGGTGGAGGAGGTGCTGTTTGATGTAATGCGACGCATCGATACCGACGACGGCACCTTTAAGAGCGGAGAGTGGGAGAGACTGCGTGCGGGCAGCGGCCCATTCATCCAATGGGCGGACTATTGAGAGAAAGATATCATCAGTCAGTCGGCTGTCACCTTAGTTAGGGCAGAAGGAGCTGCAGCAGGAGCTTACTCGGCATAATTGGAGCTGGAGCTGGAGCTGTGTCAGGGACTAAGGAACCTTAGCGGATACCAGGCATGGAGAGCCCGGTGAGGGTGACCGAGGAGGGGAAGAGAAGTGGAGGAGGGAAAAGAGCCCACGAAGAGGAGTATAGGGAGGGGGGATTGGAATGTAAAGGAGGGGGAAAGAGAAGGGCGAGGAAACACGGAGGGGTGGCACGAGTCCAGTTGGTGGTGTTGAAGTTCGTTGTTTTTGGGCGATCAATTAAATCCAAATGATCATCTGCTTCCATTGGCTGGCCAGGCGGTGCTTCCGGTCAGCCAACTGTCGAATATCAAGTCCTTCACTGCCTCACATCCAGCCAATTGATCCCGGTTTTGTACGATTGACTATTCTCTCGGTTCTAATTTGGCTTCTAGACTTATCTATTTTGTCTACTAGGGTTTTTGATGTATTTCCCCGGATAACAGTTGATCAGACAAGACGAAATGTATACGACCACTGCCTAAGATATATAGATCTTGTCCTTGTATACACCCAACAGTAAAACTCCTTGCACAGTGACCCTCAGCCATTAGATCAGTACGGATTAATTTCCTGGCAGAAGACCGGTAGCTCAATGACTGTTCTTTATTCCAAAGGATCTGTCGCATCGCTCCGATCCGACAACCGTCGAGTTCTGTCTGATAAGAGATAACCGTAGCCCCGTCTCCATCTTTATATATTTCGGTAACTCCCCCCGGTCCCTTCTCTCTCTTCTGTAAGAATCGCAGAGTCCGTATCAGTTAAGCACACACGTGGTACAACCAAAAAGCCATCATGGCGGGCGAAAACATACCCGTGGGGTCTCTCATTCAACTCCCGATCTTGGACATCTCGAATCCGAACGACCCCGCTGTGGGGAAGGCGATGCTGGACGCAGCCGCGAAATATGGCTTCCTCTACGTGAGCAGCAAAGGAACTGACTTCAGTGCCAGTGATGTCAAGAATGCTTTTGATCTTGTACGACCACGTTTTTCGCAACCACGCAGACTCTCTCATCGAGACCCGCGTGGATAGTTATACATCGGCGTTACTGACTCAGCGATGACAGTCGAGGAAGTTCTTTAAGTCCCCTGTGGAGGAAAAGGCGGCTTGTCCGATCCAGCCCAATGTGAGTATAAATACGCTCTATGCGAGGGGCTGTATCTAGTAACTGACAGCTCTAGAACTATGGCTGGTCCGGTATGCATGTCGAGACACTGGATCCAGAACACCAACGGGTAACTATTCATGACTTTGTTTCTTAGCCGTGATTATGACTGATGACTATACTTACGATATGTGCTCATAGACGGGCGACTTCAAAGAGTAAGTCGGAGCTCCCCCCGTTATATTACTCACAGTCAAACTAAGATCATACCCAGGGCATTCAACTTTGGGGAGTTCAAAGATGGAAAGGCTCAACACCCATTGCCGCAATCATTGACTTCACATGAATCGGAAATAGCTCACTTCGCAGACCTCTGTAACAAAACCTGCGACAGGATTCTCAAGTTGCTAGCACTGGGACTCGAGATACCTGAGGACTTCTTCACAGCTCGTCACGACCCCAGTCAAGGCCCGACAGGCTGTATTCTGCGTTATCTCTATTACCCTTCAATCGCCTCCCCGGCGACCTCATCCTACAAGCACGGCACCGACGTTCGTGCAGGCGCCCATTCCGATTATGGCAGCGTCACCTTACTGTTTCAACGTCCGGGCCAGCCAGGCTTGGAGATCCTGACGCCAGAAGGAACCTGGGCACCCGTCCCAGTGCAACCAGGGCAGACTGCTGAGGAAGACCGGGATGCTGCCTTCCCGTTCCCTCCTATCCTAGTCAATATCGGTGACCTGCTCAGCTACTGGACGGATGGGCTACTGAAATCAACCGTCCACCGCGTCGTTTTCCCACTATCTGAGCAACAGAGTCCCAACCCGCAGGATCGTTACAGTATCGTCTTCTTTTGCCACCCCCTGGATAAGACAGAACTGGTCCCTGTCCCCAGTGACATAGTAACCGCCTATCGGCAGAAGTGCAAGGAGAGTGGTGTCCAGGACGAGAAAGTTGGCTTCGGCGGCGGAGCGGGGAGTCTGGAGCCAGGCAAACGAACCCTGACGGCTCAAGAACACTTACAGTCACGCTTGGCTGCAACGTACAAGTTCGATAAATGATAGCTGGGATGTGCCTTCGAGACCATGAGACTGTATCCTATTCCTCTTAGTGTTCTATACCTTGTTATCCAACACCAAAGCAGTAAAAGGACGGTCCAATACTGAAATATAACCAAGTCATGAGACTATTCAATTCATCAAAGGAGATTAATCAAAACATATTATGCACATGGATGCACTGAGCGCAATGAATAAAGTAGATCAAACTGCCTTCCGGCAGAACATTCACTGTGGTATTTAGAAGCCAAGACCAATGGCTCGCCAATGAAGAAATATCGACAATAACACAAAAGGCCAAAAGAAGATGCTCCCAACAGGACCGTTTGGGCCAAGGAATATGCTAAACAGCTACTAACAAAAGGAAAATCGTCCGGCGTCGAGGAGATGAAGTATGGATTGTTTCAAGATAAGCAACGGGAAATGAAGAGGGAAAAATGAGGAACAGGAATATGAATGACAGCAAGGTCCAATGTTCGGGGAAACACGGTGTGCAGATTCATGACCGCTAGAGGTTATCCATATGAGCAAGTAAACAGGCATCATGCCCAACGTTAATGGAACAGTGGGTGTAATAACAAGATTTGAGATATGGGATTTGCAGGAATAGACAACACACAAAAGGTATCTTGAGATGAAGAGAAACGCCGCCAGGTTCTGAAATGCCATGCACGGGTAGATGTGAAATCTCGAAAACAAAAAGAAAAGATGGCAGGTATGACGCTATGCAAGCCAGGTATGCATTAGATATATTAGACAAAGTTCATCCGTTCATATCATGGCGTGGTGTGGCACCAATGACGATGATACACCCACGCGGCCTTCTGGCAATCTTTGCTGCAGTACTTGGTGCGGCGGCAACGGCGACACTTGGCAAATTGTCGCTGAAATTCTTCCCATTTTCCGCACTTGTAGTATGCGCATTGCCGAATGCCACCTCTCGACTCGTCCTTGCGGCAGAGATTCCTCATGACGACGCAAGCCCAGTACTGCATGTCTTTGGAGTGATGACGCACTGTGAACTTTTCCACCAAGGGGAAGATGTTGACGTCGTCAGGAAGCATGTACTCCTCCTCTTCCTCTGGCGGTTCGATCGGCGACGCTCCTTCCTCCAGCATCTGAAGTTCACGGTCGACCTTGAGATTCGGCACGAGGTGAGAGTGTTGGAAATACGACCGAAGATTGCAATACTTCGAGACGTAGGCCAGCAGTTGGAGAGACATCAAGACATCTTCGTCACGGGGCATTGTCGTCAGGACATTCTGGGGGACTGCAGACCGGTCACGGAAGTACAGGGAGTATGGACTTGGGACAAGAGCGGGAGAATTGGCGTTATTGGCGGCCTGTGTCGGAGACAGCCCCAGAGCGGTGTTGGTCTGCGTGGTGTCGTTGTTGATGATGCTGCCATCTACCGTGGAACGATGACTGATGTTGAACGTCTCAGCTTCTTGGCCTTCAGACGGATCGGTCACGGTCAGATCATGGGAATTGGAAACACCGTCTATCATAGTTTGCCGGTCGCTCACTTCGTCAATCTCCATTTGGTTCTGCAGACCAACGATGGGCTCCGATGTCTCTGTCGAGCCAGTGTTGTCGCCTAGGGTGGAGCCTTCTCCATTCCCATCGTCAGAGTCTCCCGACGCCGACTGTTGCTGCCTCAACGTGGGTCGTTGTCTGGCGGCAGTCGTCTGGGCATGACTGCGAGGCTGCACAGGGCCGCTGGGGGTCGTCGGAGAATCAGGCTGCGAGGTAATCCCATTGTGCAAGGTGGGCAACATGCTTGGGAGTCTTTCCGTGTCCCGCACGGGACGCAGACCGAAGCCATCAGCGGTATCCATGGGTGGCAAGGCGGTGGCTAGGGGCTGCATCGCCCTGTGACGATGGCCAGTGTGCAGATGGCGACCATCGTGCGATCTGTGGATGTGGGCCTCATGTCCAAACGTGCTCCTCTCTGGGGGCGATGTCATGGGGGCACGAGGTGACGAGGTGACGTCCATGGCGTTTGCGTCGGGCGCATTTGTGGTTTGGTGGAGGAATGCAGGGATTTCAATCGATGGAGGAGGTGCCTGGCGACGAGATGTGCGTTGCTCACTGTTGGATGACTGGTCTGAGAAGGACGGGCGCCCGGTCACATCGCCCGCAGCAGGAGCCGCCTTGGGATGATGCCGTGACGAGTGTCGTTGGTTTTCGCTATCCGCTCGTGCCCGCGCCTTATCCACCACCTTGATGTAATTGTCAAGAATGGTCGCAATCACCGGCACCATGTCCGCTTCGACTACCCTCGTCCTCACGCTCTCTGAGCCCCGCACGCCGATGTTGACCACACACTGGAAGGCGAGACTCCACTTCCACATTTCCATCAAATCTCTACTGCGACCCTCTTTGAGGATGCAGACCAACCGTTCAATGCCGCCATCGACAGTGAGGATATCGCGAATTCGAGCGGATGAGGTGGTCAGATAGGCAAGATGGTTGAGAGAATTTATGAGGGGTAGGGTTGACGTGCAATCGAGGGCACGCCGGTCGTACAGGGTAGTTGTGATGTTCACCGAAGCCTTGTTGACATTTGGGATACTGAAGTTGACCTCCCGCATGATGGGCGAGAGGATCGGAAAGGGGATAGATTTCGTAGATGAGGATCCGTCAGATGAGAGATGTCAGGGCGATGGGGAATTCGATCCGTGGTGGCTGCTTTCCTCCCCTAAAGTAAGATGGGAAAACCAATTCGCTCGAGGCGTGACTCGAGGGGGGAAGTGGGAAATCGGCAGAGTCTAAAGGGGGTTCGGACTGTTTATTTCCAGATCATGAAGGATGGAACGTGAAAATCTGCGATAGTCTAAAGGGGGGGGACCCTCGGGGCCAAGTCGATGATTGTGGATGGAGGATGTTTGCAGAAAGGATGAGGAGGTTGAAAGGGAGATTTGATTCAAGCCAAGACTTGTTCGGTCACCAAGTCCGTCAGGCCTAATGGGCGATGATCCACCGGGGTATGCGAACGCAATGAGCGCAGAGACGAGGAGAACTGTACAATACACAAAAAGGAACCACAGGGATAGGCGGGAAACGCCAAACAATAACACCACGCCGCGTGAATGTCAGGGAGACTTGGGTTGATGTTATGAGGTGACTTGATGGGGGCAAAAGTCGTCCGCGAGGGAACGAGTGACTTCGGGGGCTTGGCTTTTTGGGCCAAAAAAGCGAAAGCGGAGTCTCTCCTTCTCAAAAGTCAGGCGCCTCAGGCGATTGTCGTCCGTTACGGAGAACGTCCTCTTTCCCTGTGCGCGCCACCCGCCACTGCGGCCAATTTTCTTTTTCTATTGTCGACTCGATCGATAGACTTTCCTTTCGGTCTTGCCCTTTATTTGCTTATTTTCCTTACTTACCTTCTTTCTTTCTTCTTCCCTTCCTTTCTTTACGACCTGTCCTACACAGTGGAGATGGCAAATGCAACCTAAGCACATCCCCCCAGCGCTAGGAATTGCTTGTATTGAGGGGATGTCGTAGATCGTAGAAGAAACTTATGCTCCTCACAACGACTACGCCTAACCAATTACATAGTAAATCCGGATTCAGATAAAGCAAGCCATCCATTACGTAGCATTGCCTACGTTGAGATGTCGGGAGCTCCGGTAGGGTTTAGAATCTCGATATATTAGAATGAAGGTCCATGCTGAACACATGGGATTCTTCTATAATGAGAAAGTTCTCCATATAAGGGGGCGAATTGATTGCGACTAGTAAGTTATGTATTGATATTACTAATTCTGTAACATATTGTGGCATGCTTCTTCTGCTGAACTGACCTCACCGCTTCGCCTTCCGCTTTGATCCAGCCCTAAGATGAACCTTACATTAAGTCATGAGAAAGTGATCTACAAAGTCCACCACCACGCAATATACTGGACTATTAAATCTGTCTAAATGTAGTCTAGACCTTTTCTAGCCAGTGCTATATAGCTAACAGACCGGCGACGTACACTGGCACCCATCCCTCTAACCTCCAGTCTTGTTTTGCGTTTTCTTTGGAGCCCAATGTGCATCATATTTACAGAGTATATTCCACGTTCCTACCTATATCCTGTCTTGAACCCCAAGAGTCCATTTCCAGCCCGAAGCTATTTTAGAGGATTTCGGTATACAAAGCCGAGCATACTCAAGATTAGTATTCTCTTTTCCATTGGATGTACTGTGATATGTCCACCATACCAACCATAACCTGTTTTTAGCCTTACTGACTGTTATGTTGACCGGCCAATTCTCAAGTGCCAGCCATGACGTTTTAACGTACATATATCTCATTAGCGCAATCTTTCGTATCCAACGACCGTTATCATGTGATTCCCCAACCGCAATATACATCACCGAGTACTATTAGGGGAGCTGTCATGCGGCAGATTATCTTGATCCAACCCCTGCTAAATCTGAGACCATACTCTTAGGCGCTCTCCTGCGACAGTCAAGACATCCCTATGGTGAGCAGCCATTTAGCTGTATCCAATGCTTCAGACCATTGGCTCGCCAAAACTACGTGTACTTGGTCTAGAGATGCAGACCATCGGTCGTTGACACCTCAGCAGCTGAATCTAGGCCTTTCTAGACCGCATTCGTCGTGTTTTGGGAGCTCGTACTACAAGCTCGACTACAAGCTGCATATGCTTGTGCGCCGAAACTCAAATGGAACTACCCAAGAGTACTGATCAAATCTGAGCACCAGACTCACTTCTATTTCTTTACTTTTCTTTGTTCTTTTTTTTTTTTCAGATCTACACGCAACTTAACCTCTATCGTCCAAGACCGAAGTTCCAAGGCCTTGATGCGGAGCTTAATCTCGAATATAGTGCAGGATAAACTATTGTGGGTAGTCTCACCCTTCAGGCGGTAATATCGGAGCCAGGAACAAAGCTTGACTCAAGCCACTTTGAAAGTCCCATTTCATAGGATATCACTCCAATCTCAGGATAACTCATGGCATTCCATAGGACCGACAAAAAGCTCTTTTGAAAGTAACTACTCCCCGATACCACAAGCACAAAATCTTACTCAGAGTACAACCGGCATATTACTTGTGGAGAAGGAAGGGCTTTCAGGAAATTACCTCTCTTCTAGGCTCCTTCGCTTATGAGCCTCCAGCCCCTCCGGTGGGTTTACTCCGTAATGATGCCCCATTTCCGGAACGAGTGGAGTCTTGTAGATCTAGCAAGCAAAGACCAACTCAGAGTACTCTGGAAAACAGAAAGAGTCTGCACAATATGGTGTCCCCACTGCTGGGGGTATCAAGGCTTCGGAGTAGTACTGATATGATGGCGTCGTTTGGAAAACCAGTGTCGAATACCCGGCTGCCTCCTCGTTCGCTGGAAAAGGTGGTTATTGCCTGTCGTTCTAGTCTTTGATGGTCAATCCATACTAGCTCCATGATCTTCTAAGAACTCTGGATCTTGACCAATAGGGCATGTCATTCAGATTCGCACGTGTCTCTGCAAACATACTCTGGACATTTGCGAGCAACCTAAACTAGTAATTTAGCCGTCAAGGCCGCTGACTTCCATCGACTACCACCAGGATCAGGTATGGCAGCAAGAACCAACATTACAGCCAATAGCAAGTAAAACAATAACCTAACAGGACGCACAGACAACCTACAGTTCTATGATTAGAAACTGAACAAGCGCTGGCTGCAAAACGCAGCGGAAGCGACCACAACTAGCCGCCGTCCAAGAATCAGCGCTATTCGGAGCCATTCCTACAGGAGGGCTAAGTATGATCCATTCATACCGTGGCCGGCAGGATTTAGGGTTATTCCAACGCCCTCTTTGTACTGACTCTGTAAACCAGTGCTGTTGCTGTCCTCGAAATGCACAGCTGATGGACAGGCTAAATTAGGCTTTACCCGTTCAGCCACGGGCAGCTGCGCCTCGATTGTCCGGCAGAAAAATGAAACATCACCACTAGTACCCGGCATAGCCGGGCCGGGCATGCATATGTCATCATAGGATCACAAATGGGTTGGATGGAAGTGTCTTGTCTATTGAATCGGTCTATTTTGGAAGAGTGCAGAAGGGCCGGTCAACAAGGATTCTGCAGGAATGGCTAAGTGTGCCGGGCAACAATCTGGGGCAAAAACAAATGATCCTCCTTTCTGCACTACAGAGCATAACTAGCGCCATGGTATTATTAATCACGGGTAATGACGACCTTCGCTGAAGAGGGGCGTTGACCAACCTAGTCAGGCACGGTCTCCGAGCTATGTTCTTAGCAGTGGAGCTATTGCTCGAGATGAGGACAGTCTCACGGACCACTCGGAACAAAGTCTCAATCAGCTAGATCATTGGATATGCCGACCAATTTCCGCGATAGAGGCCCCCACCTCAGGGAACACTGACCAGCATTATCCACAAATCACGTCCCCTTGTTCAATTATCCCTATCGACAGTAGGTTAGGCCCGCGGTATTTACAGTACTGTTACAGAGTACAATCTCACCTCCTCGAGTGTCTTACTACGTAGTATTGCCTTCGACGACCGATACAGGGGAAGTCGGTCAACAGTTCTCATTGTGTATGTTGGGTGTCATGGCCCGTATGGAGAGGTAACCCAATGGATCGCTTTTATTTTCCGAGCTTAGCATTGATGTAAAAGATAGTCAATGTACTATACGAGTAACCAGTATATGGAGAGCTTACTGCATGGTGATTCATGTAGAGCCCTGAGGCTGTACAACTGAAAACAAATTTAAATGAAAACCGTTGGTATCTGGTATGTGCCTTTGTTCACCTACGGTTGTGGGTATCACGAGCCGGGAATGCAAGGCTAAAGGCATCTGCATCAGGTCGTGACTTGAACTGGATGTATGTACATACATACATACATACTATATGCAATCATATATTACCCCAGTTAATCGTCTTGCATGTACGGAGTATAGCCGGCAGCTTCAATCATAAATATGACAGCTACCCCCAAATCACTACGGGATCTGCAATTATACGTTGATCCTTATTCTCGTTGAATTTTAGGATGTCCTCCCACCCTGCAGAGTACATGCTGCAACTACCCGGAGCACCCGATTATGCAAACCGCTATAAGAAGGTTCAATGAAGTAAATAACATCCATCTTTGTCCCTATCTGTGGCAACAGTATGGGAAATATATTAACGCAAAGTTGGAGGAGATTCACTTGGAGAACATTGATTATATGGTGCAGGGCCTCGTACGTTACGTCGACCCCAGTCGGAAAAGGCTTTTTTGACTACTACTTAGTTAACTAGTAAGAGGCTACTTACTCAAAGCACTAGTAGTCTGATGACTCCATAGCTATAAACTTTCTGGCCTGCATAAAACCTACCAAGACCATGTTTGATTATATGATTTTTAGTACAACCGACTGATTCACTACGGGCATTGTTGGTAGTTTTGACTGACCTTCGATCTGATTGTTATCATTTCGCAATCCCCTACCAAGTACACACTCAATTTGATGCTCCACCGTCTACTATTTTCATGCTGATTTTGGTCCACTTTTGCTAACTTTTCCGCGGTCTTTAAGTTTCCCCCCCCCTCCACTATGTGAAATACCGCCATGGCCAACCAGGCATGTGTAAATAGTGAGGACTCCACTGGGGATGGAGGATGGAAGAGTTCCGCCTCTGGTCTGCCTCCCCTTAAACTTAACCCCCTAAAGCAGGTACCTACAGTTACCTAGGTACTACTAAGTTTGTAGGAGTTGGGAGCTGTGGTACCCATGTTGGCTGACCAATCAAGGCCTCTGGTAAATGGGAAATGGTATTGTCAATCTCCATTAGGAGGCTCCAATCTGATTAATTAATTTTAAAAAAAAATAAAGAGAATTTCTCTTCATTTTGTTCTATTCCTGCTGAGCCGTTGGATTGATCGCGTCGAGAAGTAACCACAGCAGAAGTCTCTAGGTCGAACATGTTTTGAACTCGATCGTCCAGTGAATTAGAAGAATTGTAGTTTTGATCTTCATGTCTAGGCTCATCATTGTATACCCGACAAGTTGCTGTGTTACCTTGCCAAAGAGCGGACCGTCGGGTGATTAATGGTGCTATTTACTTACTGCTCGGGGTTGCAATTGCTAACAACCAACAACTTGTCATCTGAGATGCCTGGACGTATTTTAATTGATTTGAATTTTTCTTTACCTCTGACCGTTGCACCTCCCCTTTTTTGTTTGCTCACCTGATTTTCCCTTTCCTGTTAAAATAACAAAAAAAACCAAACCAAATCAAATCAAAATTTTTATCTTTATTTCCTTTCATTCCAGGTTCTTGTTCCCCCTGCAGTCAAGGCCCAAAAATCCCCCCGGGGCGAAAGTTTCTTGCTTTTCGCTCGGTCGCTTCCGCCGGACTCGCTCCACATCCAATCAAACCCCCCTCTTTCGTTCTTCGCTCTCTCTCACCCTTCTTCCTTCAGCTTTCACCTACCGCCCTCTTCCCGCGTCCCCTCTCCCCGAATCCTTCTACACTCGCTCCCAGTCCCCTGGATATTCCCCAAACGTTCCGTCGCCGTCGACTTCTTCTTCCTCCTCCGACTGTCTCTGTCTTCTCGGTCTCCCTCTCCTATTCCGATCACGCCCACCTGTATCAATTGACTATCACCCTCTCCAGGGGCTTGCTCCGTTAAGATGGCAGCCGATATGAGCGGCGAGCAGATGCAGGCCAAGATCACCGCGGCCCGGCGCGAAGCTGAAGGCTTGAAGGATAGGATCAAGCGCAGAAAGGATGAGCTGGCCGATACCACTCGTATGAAATCCCGTTTCCACTGCGAGTGACGAGCGGCCCCCGAAATTCGGGGACTTGGGTGCGATCTCCTGAAATACTGACATTGGCTGTGCAGTCCGTCAAGTCGCGCAAAACCAAACCGACACTTTACCTCGCATCGGAATGAAGCCCCGTCGGACGCTCAAGGGCCATCTCGCCAAGATCTACGCTATGCACTGGTCGACCGACCGACGCCATCTCGTCTCTGCTTCGCAAGATGGAAAGCTCATCATTTGGGATGCCTACACTACGAACAAAGTCCATGCAATCCCGTTGAGGTCATCGTGGGTCATGACCTGCGCCTATGCCCCGAGTGGAAACTACGTTGCGTGTGGTGGTCTAGACAACATCTGCTCAATTTACAACCTTTCTTCCCGCGAAGGTCCCACCCGTGTTGCGCGCGAGCTGTCCGGACATTCGGGATACCTTTCTTGCTGCCGCTTCATCAACGATCGTCGTATTATCACCTCGTCCGGAGACATGACTTGCATGCTGTGGGATATTGAATCGGGTTCGAAAGTGACTGAATTCGCCGACCACCTGGGCGACGTGATGTCGATCAGCATTAACCCTACCAACCAGAACATCTTCGTCTCAGGCGCCTGCGATGCCTTCGCGAAGCTCTGGGATATTCGTACCGGAAAGGCCGTTCAGACTTTCGCTGGACACGAATCAGACATCAATGCTATCCAATTCTTCCCCGACGGAAATGCATTTGGCACGGGCTCCGATGATACTTCCTGCCGTCTCTTCGACATTCGCGCGGATCGTGAACTCAACATTTACCAGGTACGCCGATTCCACCCCCATCTCAAACTAGTAGAAGTAGTAATTAATCTAACCCAAAATCCTCAGAGCGACCAAATATTGTGTGGCATCACGTCCGTTGCCTTCTCCGTCTCTGGAAGATTACTCTTCGCTGGTTATGACGATTTTGAGTGCAAGGTATGTTTATCGCTAGACCCAGCGACGAAACGGACACTTGGCTGACTTGGTGCAAGGTGTGGGATGTTCTCCGGGGCGACAAGGTTGGCTCTCTTAGCGGTCACGAGAACCGGGTCAGTTGTCTTGGAGTCAGCAATGACGGCATTAGTCTGTGCACAGGCTCTTGGGATTCTCTGGTAAGCGGGTCGTTCTTCATCAAGTCACATTGCAGTGGACTGACATCTTATTCCCGTTACAGCTCAAGGTCTGGGCCTGGTAGATGCGGACAACTCCGAAGAAAAGAAAAAAGCAAAGATACCCTGTCTCTGTCTTGCCATGTCCTTGTTCGATATTTTCACAACATAATCTTGCAGCAATAGGTCGAACACCCGCCGTTGTACGATAATCTTATTTACCGAGGAGCAGTATTGTCGCCTTACTTCCATAATATATGTATTATGTGGGAATGCTGGCGAAGTCATCAAGAAGGGAACGACGAACTATCAAGGGCAGACTATCAGGGTGGTTGAGCATTTGAGTCGAACCCTGTCGCATCGCACCATGGACGCGCTACGACAGACCCATAATCATCAAAAAACAGCAACAAAATAACACTATTCGATGACTTACGTGGTGGTCTTAATAATGCTGCCGATCGACAGGCCACTGGGGAGTTGCAGGAGACACCGCGTGGAGGCCTCTCAGCAAAAGTTGTTTAACTTCAACCCATCTTCCGTGGACTTTGGAGATCTGCCTTGATTTCTTTTTTTAACACTTCTCTTCTAATTTTTATCCTTGTCTGCAAATTTCCCCACGCTTCCCCCTACCTTTTTTTTTCCCCTTTTTTTTTTCCCTTTGTTTTCTCTTCTTCTCCAATCCTTGGACTTCTTGTGATTGTTATGTTTTTGATAGCCTCTCTTACGCATTGATCTCTGCATGTACTCTGTTTTTATTATCCGGTGGTTGACAGGGAGGGAATGTTTACAAGCTATGATGTTTTCCTTGTCTGACTCGTGATTAATTTTTTTTTTCTCTCTTTTCCTAATTAACTTGCCTGTTTCTGAAAGTGTTGGACGTGCCATTTGACTGTTTTCATGAGAGCTTGTTTCGACCTGGAGTTGGGTCTTACTACGTTTCAGCGGCTCCTCTTTTCTTCTTCTTTGATCCTCGCCTTATATTCCTCCACCCTGTGTTCATGGTATCTTATGGTTCTCCATTTGCAATTAGCTAAGATTTGGGGAGATGATTGACACAATATTGACACATTACTGGTACAAATGGCATATGCAGTTACTTTCGGAACTCTCGTACGCAGTGGTGGCATCTGTCAGCTGCTCATAATCCTTGTGCATATGTATTAGAAATTTTGCTTTTTGAACTGGTTGAGTCCCCATTGAGACTGGCCCTCCGAGCACCTGTGAAGGAGAGACATGGCCCAGAATCAGGGCCCTTCCCTCTCTTAGCAACTGACTAAAGCGAAGGATGCGCTCCACCTTCTATGCGTAGGTGGGTTAGGTTTCGTAGAGCGCCCAGATTTGAGTCAAAGGGGCGATCGATTTAAAATGGGTGCCAGTCTGGAAGAAAAGACATCCTCGTGTCGTGCTCGTGATCAAGCACGGGCCTCGATCATGGACGAGCAAATGGATGGCAAGCAAAACCGTGTTGGTACTGGGAAGATGCACGTCTGGAGGATGAAAGTCGGTGAGAAGGTGCGAAGTGGTGCCAATACCAAGTAAGCCGTTGATTTCTCGCCAGTCCACGTGGTTGGCTGCTAAAAAAAAGGAAAGTTAATTCATTTCATTGTCAAAAAAACTTCCCACTTGCTGACTTCTTCCCACGTTGGATCGAAACACAACCAACAACAACCTGACCATGTCCTGAATGGTGAATGGAATGTTCTTCGTCTCTTCTAGTCTACGGCAAACGCTGAAACGGACTCCACTTCTTGAAACACAGGGAGCAAAGCGAGGGGTGGGATGGCTGATGACGAGACCAGGACAATGGGGCGCATAAGGATCGGCCCCATCGGACGCTCCCTCCGGCTGTTCCAAACTTCCCACCAATTTGTTGTTTCATCCCGCCACTCTTAGCCTCCACCCTCGGCCTCGACTGAAGTCAATCCGCCTCTCTTTAGCATCACTCTCGTCAGGAGGTTGCACAGACACCTTCTGAAACAGCCATCCCAATTAGAATCGTCATCATCCTCGCCGTTGTTCATTGTTTTGTGCCCCCAATTCTGCTGGAACCAACCCTAAAGTGGAACCAGCCAGGTGAAAGAAAGAAAAAAAAAAAAAAAAAAAAAAAAAAAAAAAAAAAAAAACAAAAAAAAAAAAAAAAACAAGGGAAAAAAAAGGGTAATCCTCACGACGAGAAAAAAAGTCAAAAAAGCAAAGAGAAACGAAGGAAGACTTCCCTGCCGGTGGTCGCAGATCAAGGCGCAGCCCGACTCTAATAATATCCCACACTATCATTGTTCATCCTTAAAAGCCTATATACCCCCCTCGTGTGCCCTTCCTTTCACCATGTCTTCTGCCCAAGACGAATTCAACCGCCTGGTGCAGTCCAATCAGGAGAAGTACTCTACACATCCTGAGGATCGTGACAACGACTCGGATCGCGATTCCAATCCTTCAGACGACGAGCAAGACCACCCGCAGTTCTCGGACTCCGAGGACCACGATCCCACCATGAGAACCGGCCCGTCCACCTACCATGTCCCAAACATTGTCTTTGATGCCAACACCGGTCCCAAGGGTGTTATAGCCGATGCTCAGGCCTTCGAGCGCGCGCGTGCAAGCTCCTTCCGCAAAACACTGCATCATAATGACCATGCTAAATACATTGCCGACGACTCTCACCTTCTGCACAATACTGCACCTCCGGATGGCTCGCTCAGTGATGATGATGAGGAACACTTCCTCCGCCAATGGCGCGAGGAGCGCATACAAGAACTGAGGAACCGCGGCTTCCGGCGGCCGAGTCCCCGGCGAAGAATGTATGGATCGGTCGATACAGTCGACGCAGTGGGGTACCTTGATGCCGTTGAGAAAGTCACATCCGATACGGTAGTGGTCGTCTGTATCTATAATCCCGAGGTACGTGTGACACTTGAAATTACTACTCCATAGGCTGAGATGTCACTAACCTCTACCACAGTCAAAGACTAGCGCTCTAGTAGAAGACTGCCTGGAAGGCGTTGCGCACAGAAACCCAACCGTCCGCTTCGTTAAGCTCCACCATGAAATTGCCGAGATGGATCATATCAAGGCTCCGGCATTGTTGGCCTACAGAGGTGGTGATGTCTTCGAGACTATCGTCGAGATCGTCCGACAAATCCCTAAAGGCCGCGACTGTACCTCCCAGACTTTGGAAGATTTACTCAAACTGTATGTTTTACTAGGAATGACACACTTGATGTTTCAGATATGCTGACCGTCCCAGATACCGAGTGCTGTAAATATCCACGCATTCATACTATTCTTATGTGAAAACTACGGGTCGAAGTGCGCCGGGCGCTATGACTTCCTCCAATCTTAGCATCATTGTCGAGCGTTAGAAATCCTTTTTTATTACAGGCAGGCAGTGCCATTACTTTGCTTGACTTTTTCAGCTGAATGCATATACAAGGTGTTCCGGTTGGCGACGCATTGTGGATCTCATACTTTTTTTTCTGGTTTTATCTCGTTGTCCAGCCATTTGGGTTTACGTGTGGAGTGATTGAGCTTGAAGATATCCAACATTGGTTCCGTTCCGATATGTCTATATTGCCTTTGTGGGGCTCCTTTGCATAAAATCTCACTATGATTGTTCCAATTTCTTGTATTAAGACCAAGTTGATTTCAAATATTGGCGTATGTCTCCGTATTTCATTAGCCGCAGACTTTCGTTAGCAAGCTTCTGATCTCTGTCTTCAAGGAATCCAGCATCAAGGTGCATCCTCCTGTTGGGTAGTGTCTTGGCTCGCGTAGGTATATTCGTTTCATCCATCCTCCGCACAACTGCGGTAACCTTCCGATCCCTCTTCCTTTTGTCTTTTTCTTTTTCTTTTTCTTTTTCTTTTTCTTTTTTTTTTCAATATGTTCGATGTGTCAGGGCTTTTGCCTTTCCCCATTTCATCGTACGGTCCATTGGTCAGAAATACAAAAAGCAGTTGGGGTAGGAAAATAAAGGAAGCAGACCAGGATAAAAAGGAAAAGAAAAAGCGACAGTGATGCAAACAGGTTGAGGCAGATGGAGAAGGAAAATGCTCCCCCAAACCGATTCACAGAGCGCCCTTCTCTTGCGTGAAATCCCACAGCATCTTGATCAACGTGTCTGGTAGGGTATAAAGATCGACATGAAATTCTCCCTCTGCAGGAATTTTTTAGTTAGTCTCTTTGATTCTTCCGCTTTTGTTTTTTGGAATGTGTAACGTGGTACACGTAGGGAACTTACGTTCGACGTCGTTTTTGGTGTATGAGTCTGGGGCTTTGTTGTCGTGTACCATCTGCACCACTTGGAGAAGATCATCTTCTCCGAGTCGTTGGAGGCCGTCGGCTAACTTGTCCATATCCACCTGGAAAAACAATTTCCTGTGTAAGTAGTGTTCCTGGCTTTTGCTGTGGATGAAGGTAGTGGAGGCCTTACGCTCTTCTCTGTTCGCTTCTTCTTCTTTGATCCTTCTTCGCTGGCTGCGGAACGCTTAGATTTCACTCCATTCTCGTCTCCGGGAACGGGACCTGATTCACGAAGGGCTGCCAGTAAGGCAGGCTTGGGGTTTTTGAATGTCTGCAAGTACGTATGAGTGGTCTGTTTTGAGGAAGAATGGGCAGGGACGAAGAGAACGGAGACACTTACGATGACGTGCTTGGACTCGTAGCGTGTCTGTGCAAAGTTGAGGTCGTGTGTCACGTAGTGATCCTTGTCGGCGTGAAGGGTGATCTGCATGTCGAATTCACCCCAGCCTTCTTCTGAAATCCTGAATGGGGGATTCTTGAAGGCTGTTGTCATTTTTGCGCGTCAGTGATATTTCCTTGACGTTCCCGATGGTTTCCGGCAACAACGCCATCCCAGAGAGTTTCAAGCCCGGGGCGTGCGGCTCGATTTGTAAAGAGGGTATGTACACCAAGTGTCGTAAAGATGATAGAAAATAACGTACTTTGAATTGCCCGATCCCCGAAACTAGGATGAAGTGTATACGTCACCTTGTCGAAAACGTTGGCCGGCACTTGCTCTCCGTGGTCATTGACAAGGTAAATCTCGATCGACCACGCCCGGAGGGGAAACCCTTCAACACCCGAATCTTTGTTTCTGTCGAAGCGGAGACGCGACCAGTCAGCAAAAATAACAGCTAAAGAAAAGCCCAGTTGTCGTCGCCGTAGCTCCTGATCACAGTGACGTGCGGAAAAGGAAAGTCACCGCGCCTTGGTTGCTTTGCAATCGCGACAACAAAAGTCAAAGTAGATAACCAGAACGTTTAGGAACGTGTGGCAGCGATGGGCGCGTAGAGTGGGCGGATGAGCGTGGAATGATTCTATTCTAGTGGGAAGGAAATCGGTGTGCAGGATTCAACATACACAACATGCTGTTCTGTGACCAGCCGGACATTCCTCTTGACCTGAATGGGGAGGAAGATAGCATTAGTTGAATGCGACAGCAAGTTGAGAAATACATTTGCCAATTGGGGAGAACGGCGGTGCGATGAATCGAAACAATCATGAACTCACGTCGGGCATTTTGCCAGCGGCCTTTCGCTAAGCTCACTGGAGGGGGAATAGAATTAAGTGGAAGGTACTAGGTGAATGACGGATTCGAGCTATCGAGCTCGGGGATTGCGCGAATGAAAGGTGAGGCGAGGTTGAATAGGACGCTTGTCGGTGAGATTATACTAGGACTCCGATTGGGTGGAACCCTCAGAGATCGCGCGATGACCGCGTAAGGGTGTACCTGAAGAGAGAGTTGTGGGATGAAAGGTATTGGGGAGGGAAGACTTCGGAGGGAGAGTGAAGAAGGTCGGCGAGGAAGAGGGGGGCGGATGAAGCGATCCGACTGACTTGACTTTCAGGCATTCATGACTTGGACGTTAACTGGTGGTCGACTTTGCCGCTAGGGACTTTAACCCATCCAACAGCATGAAATACCAGAGCTCGATAAACTATTCTTTCGAAGAATTTTTTTTTTTTTTTTTTAAAAAAAAAATAACAATGGGCGTGACTGATGATTCTACCCTACTCTTCACTTTTCCAGACCTATCGTCACCGCATAGATGAACCATACCTACATATACCATCGGTGAAATTTTACAACAGCAACGAGAGCTTTACGCGTGACACAGGAGATCTATATTTGATTTTATGAAATTCAATACATAACGGGTTCATCGTGCATTTCAAACATATATTTGCAGGGGTCTTGGGTCTACTAATCTACTGCCAGGTCAACATATATTCAATATCATCGGGTGAGATTGAACGGGTGCCGGAAGCTGGCTCGTGATCTTGTCGCGACCGGTATCAGTAAACCGTTTTCGTCGCGTAGTTGTCGGGGGATGGGGCTGGAGAAAATGATAATATCGGAAAGGGCGTGATGGGGAACGGGATTTAGATGGGTAAACGCTGTGTTGTCCACCGGCGAGTCTTATATTCACTCGTAGTGTTTTGAAACAATCAAAAGGGTGATTAATGATAGTTCATCAAGTAAAACTCATTTCAGTCCACTCGGGGGCACATGTTTTACTGGTCGGCGAGGAGCTTCTCGTTCTCCTGCTGAGCCTTCTCGAAAGCCTCCTTGAACAGGTTGGCATCTAAAGCTGTGTTAGCAAAGCCGTAACCTAAAACACACCTTGACAAGGAAATCAACTTACTCTCACTGTTGGCGAAACGGATAGCCAGGGTCTGCGCCTCGGGCTCACCCTCACTGACATCGGCAGTAGCGTTCCAAACCCAGCTGCGATCACTGCCAACGTTGGGGCTCAACTTCATTGCAGGGACAACTAGATATTCCATCAGTAATCTAGGTGAAGAAAAGAATATGTTTTATATGCGCTAAACTTACTGTAGTGGTTGGCGCAGACCTTCAGGGTCTTGTCTCTGCGCATTACTAGGCGAGTCTTCTGGTTCTCCTTGTGCTTCAGCAGTCTAACATCGCCAGTACCACGCTCCTTCCATTCCTTGCTCTCGGCGTCGAATCGGAACAGCTTAGCGCGCATCTTGAAGGTCTGCTCCTCAAGTTCTTCGTTGGTCTTGGTTTCCACCTTCTCGGTCAGGCGGATAACAGGCTCGAAGTGAACGTCGGGGGACTCAGGTGCCTCATCCTATTGGTTAATGGATTGTTAGCCACTTGTACTGGGGTAAATCGAACTTGTAGCACGATTGACTCATGAAGCCCAAAAAAACTTGGTGCAGGGAAGCCACGATGATATAGAACGAAAGGCATATAAAGCAAAGTAGCAGTTTATCGAGCCAAAGAAGGCAGAGACTCACGTCTTCTTCTGTTTTCTGAGCCTTGGAAGAGCCAGATGGCTCATCCTTGTTATCCTCAGGCTCTTCCTTCTTTTCCTTCTTGGGGCCACCGCCAAACATAGAGAAAACGCTGTCGGTTGTCTTGGTGGCCGCCTCCTTAGCTGAGTCAACTACGGCCTCAGTCGCGGACTTGTCCTCTTCGGTCTTGGGAGCTTCCGTGGTGGTGGTGGTCTCCTCGGGCTTCTCAGCCGCCTCAGGAGCGCTGGTGGTGGGGTCAGGCTTGGTCTCAGGGACGTCGGACATGATGACGAAGTGGTGAAATTCTGCTAAGTTTGTGAGTTCCAGTGATTTCGGGTTTTAGTGGGAGCACAAGTACATACCTAATGTTTTAAAATGGAAGAAGGTTTAAGGAGATGGTTACAGAGAGGGGAAGAAAATATGGTCGGCTGTTTTTGTTGTAAAGGTGGGGGGTAGTTCATTGCCCACGGCCTAAGGCCGCTAGTGCCACCGCCTTGAGAGCCTTTTCTTATATTATGCGGGCCAACCTTGGGGAAACACTGCTAAAACATAATAGAATACCGTGAAACGAATATACTGACATTAAATGACTCCCAGGCGAGGAAAGAGTGGTAAGATCAAAAGAGGGAGTTGACATTTCACATGGGATTCATTACTACATAGCATCTGTCCCGAAACCCTCATGTGGTTCCGGGCCTTGTTAAAAAAATAAATGGAAGCAAAAATATCTCGACCCTTTTTCGCCTAGGAACAAGACAAGCCACCCCTCTCCCAAAAGCAAAGGGAGGAAAAGAAGAAGTAGTAGAAGAAGAAGATGTACGAGGGAAGAGAAAAGTATTGAAGTAGAATAGGCATCGCAGGCACGCACGGAAAAGCAAATATAAAGCCCGGAGTCGTAAACATAGACGAACTAGCTAGGGTACAAGTCCATAGCTTTTCTCACAAACATTCAGAGTGTTGGCACTTTCGCCTCATCAAGCGCTTAGCTCTCCGCTGGGCCTTGTCTAACGCATGGCTCTTCCTCGCATTTCGAATATGGTTCTTCACAGATTTGAGTTCAAATCCTTGCGCTTGGTTGCTAAATCGATGCCATGTATCACTGATAATCTCCCGTGTCTCCTGGTTTACTTTGATGGTCTTTTCCTGCAGGACTGATGAGACAGCGAGGAATGGATGGACAGCAGTACGTCTGACGACTTCAGAAAGCTGCTTGGACCTTGCGATAACCACGTCTGTTTTCTCAGAAAGTTGTCCAGTGCCATGGCGGAGAACGTTTGCTTCTCGGCGTAAAAGATGGGTTTTTTTTACAACATCCCCCATAAGGACTTGCAAATCAGTGCAAAGACGACTGTATACTTCTGATAATCCAACTTGCGCAGTGTTGAAATCTCCCATAAACTGGGATGAGATTACCTGCGCTGCCCGCCTCCAGTTTGTGATCTTCAGCCACGGGGTTCCAAAGTCCACCGATGTGCTTTGGTGGAGAGGAGGCCTCGAAGCCATAGTGACTGTGACGTTTACTATCCCGTATGCATCCCCTCGATCAAGCTTGAGTGTGTATACCCCATCAAATAATCGAGAGAGTTCATATTCGAGCGCTTTGGCTCCTCGACTCACTTGAACATCGAATTTTGGCCTTTTTTTCCCAGTCAACGTGATATTGGGTGGCTTTATCACAAGGTGGCAATCGCCAACAACCTGAATCTCAAAGCCACCGGACTCCTGCTTCTTAGGAGGGGACAGCAGTCCGCTCATCAGGTTGTCCAACTGAGAATAACCCTGGGGCTGGTTCCCCAAAACTTGGACATCGGTCGCCGATGAAGACAGTGTCGAAAGTGAAGTTTGTTTTAAATCATTTTCTGTGATAATACTGGTAGAAGTACTGCTCGGGGCATTGGATACAATATTGGAAATAACCGATTGAGGAAATTTTTGAGAGAATAGAATTGAAGTAGCACGCAAAGCTGAGTGCGCTAAAATGGTAGCTACGCTTAAGAGAACGGTGAGGGCGATTAAACGCAGCACAGGTGTCAACTCCCGGTCGTCATTCAGGTAAGGGATGAAGGGCATTTTCGTGGTCCACTTCTCCACAGCGAAGAGTGACTTCCTTTGGAAGTTGCCTGTATTTTCCAGGGTGACGTTGTTAGAATTCTTAGCATAGATGCTCACTAAGGAGGCAAGATTCTTATTGAGTTGCCCAGGCGTGATACTCTCAAAAGTCGCTAGATCAATAGGATACCTTCGTAGGACTGTGACTTTCCCAGTCAGCGGATGACGAGACTCCAGACACATGTGGAGGCTATGATGGTTCAGAGGAATTGATTTGGCCAGATCCCAAAGCGGTGTCTCGGATATAATCATAGTCGGAATGCCATGCCTTTCCATGAACATGTGGGCCAGCTTTTGGGTCTCCATCATAGTCGCAGAATCTCTGCTGGATAAGAAAAGAATTGCTACATCAGGAAGCGTCCATTCACTTGAGGATGAGACGCAATACTCGCCCCCAGTCCAGAAAGACGTGCATGAAGGCCGGTTTTTGAAATCCAACCTAATAGTGTCGGGGTTATCGTTCCGAAAGCCAATAGAAGCTCCAGGGCACTCGTCAACAATAAGTTGGACATGGATTGGAAGGAGCTCAGCGAAATTAGGGACTGCGCCGGTCCCGAACGATGTCGGTACAACATGATATCTAGAGGATTCTGTGGAGCTGCTTTCAAAGTCCCTACAGGTGCTTGATACAAGGACATCCCCGATTTTATCGAGGATGATGTTTCGAAACTCAGGATCACCGATATAGAGCACACGGAACGGCTTATCGGTGTCAAGACTCTTCTTCGTCATAGTTTGTTGAACGGTGGCTGTAAGAATAGAGTCCTGCAGGTTTATAGCGAACTGACTCTTAATCTCATCGGCCTCGATTCCTTCAAACATACGTATGGTGTGTTTCAGTTCCACCTGTTCGACTTCGGGCCATTTTTCAGGCTCGGTAAACTCTATCGACTCGGTTGATTGACGAAAAGCAGCCTTCGTGGTTATGTTACTGTCATCAATAGAGCCTCTGACCTGAGGGAAAAGCGCGGGTAGTGCCTGAGATCCAAAAACGTTACTTTTCGAGTCATAATCGTCGTCTTCGTTCCCATCAACCTCGCTGCTGCTATACTGCTCATCGAGACTCGCAACATCATCCGGCCCGGCTTGATCGATTAGAGACCCAACGTCGGTTTGGTCAGAGCGGCTGCCATCCTCAGAATGAACGTCAGAAGCGCTCAGTGTTGCCCAGCTTTCGCTCAGTGACCTGGGCGTGTTGTCCGCCAGATGACTTGACGTCATACTGATAGGCCTCGAGCGAGACAACCACTCTTCAACTGAGCCACTTAGAGGAGGAAAGGTTGGATACCGCAGATGTGAGGAGGATGAGGCGAGGGATGGACGTCTGGAGTGAGGCCTTGGAGAGTCAGCCATGTCGTCAGTGTGGAAGCAGCATGGGGCAAAAGTCAGAGCAAGCCAGGTCCAAAGATGCGGCGTTTCGGTCGAATACAATAGACGTAGGCTAAGCCAAAGAGCAAGTAAAACGAAAGTCAGCGGGAGGATACGTTATCTGTCGAGAGGGAAGCTTTTGCTCTGTCCTTATAGCGACAGAGGGCTGTTTTCTTGTGAATATCCCTCGATAAGCTCAGCCTAAAAAAGCGGATGCCCGATGACGAGGCGGACGCTGTGGGGTGAGGGAGGGTCCCGGGTCCGAGCGGAGTAGTATATTAGACGCTTCTAGACTCGTGACCAAACGGATTATGAAGAGAACCTGTTCGATATCGAATTTTATAAAGACCATAGCATGGTTAAGACTCAGATTATAGCTAGTAGTGTTGTCGAAAACTGAAGATGACCGAGGGAGAAGATGTCAAGAGGATAGAGTTGGAGATAGTGACTTCCATGCGCGGGGCACATGACAGGGACATCTGTGGTGTGCTGACTATGACAAGGCACGGAATTCACACCGTCACGGTCCAACCCAAGATTGGCTGAGCGGGAAGGAAAAAGAAAAGCTGTGAATCTTAGTATATTATTTAGGTAGCCTGCTTGTGTACTTTGTTGCCTGGATCTCTCGAAATACTTTATCATGTGCACTTCTTTTGAAATCGAACTGATAAGGCATCTCTTTTATCTCCTATCAGGCACCCACTAACCTGAAGGAGCCTAGTTGATGCAGCCACCTAACTTGGAAGTACTTAAGTACTTACCTAGGTAGGTATTGCTGGGTTATGGCCAAACTACTACTACTAATGAAAACCCCCTTCACATACGAGGAGAAGTCTCACACTCTATACATAAGCCATGCTGCAAGTCGTTTATTTGCGTTCTTGGGGCTATGCATCTGAAATGACCCAGTTTCACCAGGATCTCAGAACAACAAGAAATACGGAAAAAAAAAAAATAGAAGATATGTACAATTCATGACATAACGGCGAGGAAGGGTAGGAAATAAAGGTGAGTAAGTAAAACAGGGTAAGGCAGTGCATTAGAACATCGAACATAAATTAGTGGTCTCTGCAAAGATAAGCGGACCAAGAATGTTTAACCGCCGCAAATAGTTCCATCTTCATCTGTCCGCTGGAACTTAGTGTCGTACCCAATGCCGGCCTGTCTCCTGAGATGGACGGAAGTATGGTAGGATGCCGAGGAGAATTGCGTAGCAGCAGGCATGATTGAAATCAGGGCTAGCGCACATCGAGCTTTGGTCAGAGACGTGAGGAACAGAGGCGTGGAATACTCAACGTAGCCAAGAGCTATGTAGAGAGGATAGTCTTGCTTGTTGAGAGATCGGATGTAGATTCCGGTAGAGGTTGGGACTATCTTGAAGCTGACGCCGGCACAGCAACCGTCTCTTTCCAGAAGAAAGTTCTTGTGATTTAACAAGAACGTAGCAATCCAAATGAAAACATACAAAGCACGCTAGATGAATTTGTGAATATTGATGAGAATGATCACACCATTTTCCATAAAAGAAGCTGTCAGATCCGTTGAACGCCGTCCAGAACCCCACAGCCAACATAATATGAAGGCTCAAGCAACAATAACTCCAACGGCAACCCGAGTAATGCTCATGATTGAACAAAAAGGTATGGAAACGAGGAGGCGAAGATTATACAGCGGACAAAGCAAGAAGTTGCCCGAATCTAGGGAGAAGCCCAACCTCCCGCAACTTCTACCCACTCAGCAAGACAGCTGCCTTGTTTACCCTCAACATCCACGATATCTGTATCACACCTGCACCTGCACCCGACACCGTTCTCTTTGACGGGGTCGGAATTTGCCCAGTACTCGTCCTCTTCGAACCGCGCTTTCTCGTCTTCCGTGGTCATTTCAAGCCACGGAATCCGTGGGAGCTGTCGGGCGGGAGCATTAGCGGGGCAATGCTGGATGGTCGTATGACGGTAGCCAAAATCACGGAAATAGTGTATATCACTGGGCGACAGAAGAACACCTGCGGCTAGCGAGTGGATAGGCGCATCACCCCACTGCGATTGCGTTGTTAGCCTTGAGGGCATCAAGGGTTCTGGAGATGTCTCAAATACTTACTCTTTCCATCCAGAAACCACCGCTCCTATCCATCATTTCAAAGAACTCTTCGTACTCCTTACTGCGGAACCAGTCCAGGCGTGCGATTTCAAAGTTACTCCAGAAATGGCACATGTTATACTTCTCGCCTTCCATGGCCTCAGGATCGACATCGGGAACAGTATTCTCTCCAGGCTCATTCTGCAGAATTTCCTCGGGAAGCTTATCCTGCTTCCCTTCCTCCGGTTTGGGCTCCTCCTCAGATGGCCTTTCGAGGAACATCTCCCAGAGTCCTTTTGACTCTAGATTGTGCTTCCGCTTATAGGCCGAGGCATAGCGAAATATGTTGGGGACAGTCTCACGCAGTTCTTTGACAGCAATCGTAAATCCATAGGTTTTATTTGCTTCAGCCATCTTGACGAAAGGGTCGCTATATAGGTGTAAGTGATGGATGCTCAATATCGGTACTAACGGTGACAAGGGTTGGTCTTACTAAGTGATGTCACAGAAGTAGCTGATCTCTGGCTCCAGACGCCAGTACCATTCGTACTTCATGAGGAGGGGATGCTTGTAGAAGAATCTGAATACAGCATTAGTACCCCAGAGAAGTGACATTGAATCAAGTATACTGACCCAGAATAGAATCTGCACATATGGTGGTAACTCTCCATCCCACCATACATAATAGCGGCATCACCCTGCTTTCTGATGCCCTCCTTTGCCACTTCATCGTCAACCCACTTAGGATAACCCCACATGGTGTCATCAATTTTGCCGAATTCCACAGGGGCGCTTGTATAATTCTTCACGGTATCCTTGAAAGTGTCATCGAAATCGCCGTCGTTCAGGAACACGTAAGGATAGTGGAACCATCGGTTGAAATGTCTCTCAATCGACTTAAGCGACTGGATGACGCCGTCCAATTCCTTGTTCCTAGCGAGAACGACAAACGCGGCATTTGCACGTTTGCCCTCAACCTCCTTCTCAACCTGCAGGCATCCATTGGCGAAGACCTTGTCATGCTTTTCGCTTATTTTTCTGAAAAGTGTAACAGAGTTGTCAGCGATCGGGAATATCGAGGGGTCTGCGCGTATCTTTGAGGATTATACTAACCTTATAGATGGGGGTGTACCAGCTGGAATTAAGATGCCCCCGGGCGAAGCAGGGTGTCGGACAAAAAGAAGCAAAACTAGGACTATTACAAGACATGGAAAGAGTAGAACAAATCCCAAGGGTATAGAAACCGATGAATTTCCCTTCAAGCGTATTCTTCTCTTGAAGAACGCGAACCTGGAGATGTTGCGGCCCTTTTCGCGCGAAACGTCATCCACAGGGAGACTCGGCGAAGAGGGCAGCCATTTTGAGATTCGCTGCGTCAGCCCCATGAGCGCAAGGGTGCTCACACAGCGTCGATTCAAAAAAAAAAAAAAAGATCAAGCCAAGTAATGTTAACAGAATCCACTGAACATGGAAGAGATTTTGCGGAGATCCGGGGAAGACTGAGTCGATAACTGCCGTATCTGAGAGAAAATCAGGGCTGCTGAAAGGGGAACGGTTCGCATGCAAGCAACAGTGAGGTCGAACCACACTTCTAATGCTAACAAGATACGCTCCAAGTATATGATATCTTATGCGATTAATAGGTTTATTAAACAGGAAGAGGTAGAAATGTTGGCCGGCGAAAAGAAAAAAAGGAACAATAAAAAACGAGCGGCCGGAGGAAATGCCTCCTTTCCAACTTTTCCCCTTTCAGTTGTCGGCCAGATAGAGATGGCGAGGGGAAACGTTGACAGCAACGCAGGGGACTGGTGTCCTTAGCAATGAGGCCGGGAACACGGAGCAAGTCGACGAGCTCATCAATCGCGTTGGGTTGGAAGAGGAACTCGGGTGGGAAGTCGGAGACTGCGGGAGGCAATCGATGAAATGAAAGATTATTTTGGGGATGGGGATGGGTGGAAGTTTCGCCAAGGCCAAGGAGGCGCAAGCGGCCATGGTCACGGACGGTAACTTACCCTCTAGATTGGAAGGTCGCAGCTCTTTCATACGATTCTAGTACGGGTCTGAATACCGTACACGGTATGGACCCCTCCGGAGTCCGGAGAGCACCAAGCAAATCGTTGGTGGTAAATTATTGCTTAGGCGCAGTTCGTCCATCAAATTGATTACTAAAATTACCAGCAAAACGAATAACTAAGAAAGATGGCGCTTGAGTCTACTATCCCAGTTTTTCTGTCCCGTATTGATCAAACATGGTCAGGGATCCTCTCATAGTGGCTTTCAGTACGCACATATATGGCAGCACCCGAAGCTTAACTGGCCTGCAGGACACGTACGTCTTCACTGGATCAGCCAGTATTTACTTATGCTGTTGCACGATAACTAGTTGCTCGGTATGTACCATCATTCCAAGAGGTATAAGGGCACCACTGGAAAATTTTCTCTACAAACTTCCTAAGGCCTTGGCTTTGTTGTTGCCACTATCCGACACTACTAAATAGTTAGTTAGTCCCAAGTTACGATTACCTATTAAGCGCCCCATCTGCACCAGGGAGATAATAAGATTGGAGTAAGCACTCCAGGTTATACGAAGCCTTGTTATTATTACAAGTTGACGGAGTATTGTAAACATCCCCAAAGCATGGGATTGATTACAAAAACATTAAGATACCACCAAGGGATAAACACAAACCTACCCTGTATACACACAACTGAGTGAACACCAAGAGCAATCACATAGAATGTTCTTTCCATCATCTGCCTATCCTTCGATTCGACATGACCATGGCTGTCCACGCTGTCGGTCACCGAAGGTTACTCCAGTTCATGCCAGCCTCCATAACTATAGATGTTGCAGAGGGGGTATATGTTCGATAGCAGTAGCCTCAGGTATAAGATAGCTTTAGTAGCTAGACAATGAACTGAACAGGCTGGCATACAACATAACAGACCTTAAAACAAATGATTATGGGATATGTATTGACCTAAAATCAATCTGTCTGACGCCCATCAACCCCATTTGAACTGTCGGTTGACCCATACGACTCGGCAAGATAGTATGTATTGATGCTGTACACATGGCCGAGCGTAAGGCGTTGGAAAGGGGTAATTGCCATACCATTGTACCGTGGACCGGTAATTTATGCATCCAGAACCCTGAAGCTCCACCGGTCTCCACGTGACCGCCTTGGCACGAAATGGGATCTGACAATGTGGCCTTTAAGCCCGTTGGATAACCGATGTGCAGCAGGGCAGTACAGCTAAGTTGATAATTCTTCCACCGATATGGCACGATCTATATGACTTCTCATAGACTGCCGCATCTAGACTCACATGTCATTGATCATCATCTCATCCTTGCATTACATCAACTAGCAGCCGTATTACGATAGCCATCGTGCAGAATCCACTTCACCTTGGTCGTGATTGGGTCGATGGAGCTCTGCTTAATGTGTCGGTCCAGGTGCATCGATCCTTATGTATGTACGTCTCGTGTATGTACACAGCTACCAAGAAATCCCGTATTACCCTACTACTAGTTAGTACTACCTGTAGGTACACGAAACATGCATACATAGTACAGAGTGCTTGGAGCTTACCGCTCTTGGCCCTTCGGAAATTCGATCTCAAATTAGGAAGTCGTGTCGGCCCGGTATATTTGCTAATATCCTAGCGCTTTCTTGTTGTGTGTACTCTGTACTCTGTACTCAACCCGTCAAGGTCTCCTCTGTGAGTATATAACATATTTGATTGCTCCATGCCAGCTATGCAGGTAATATGTTACCTAGTACGTAGATAGCGCTATACATTACGACACTGCTTTCATCGATCTATATATCCAATATGCTAGATGCGTGACCAGGCGCTTCCAGAGTCAGTCCCATTGTCATAGTCCTAAGAACATATTTCACTCTTTCCTTCATCGGTTCTTCGCCAGTACAACAAAAACCTAGCATTGGAATACCGAAATCCCACAGAGGAGCCCGAGGGTTCGGTTCCTAGGCTGGTTTGATGCACGAGAGGTAGTTTTCGTTTCACTGCTCCTGTCAGCCTATGCGGACAAAGGATATGTTGTTTTCAGTATTCTACCATGGTAATGGTCCCCCAACATGAGTCCGCAGCAGCTCTATGGTTGCCCTTGGATTGAACGGTCATATTGTCCGTCAGTTAAAAAGATGTTACATTGTACGGAGTAGATTGATCAAGTATGTCGACGGTTCCCCCCATCTTCTGAGAGAAGACGGTTCACCTAGGCTGCATGGTCATCAGTCCTACCATGTTCAGAGGCATTTCGACTCGATAATGATCTCTTTAAATTGGGTCACTCTTTCGTGAAGAGGGCAAAAAGGGGAAGTTCGTATCCAAGCAGCCGACGATGACTCCTCAAGATCGATGACCAATAAATATTGAGTAACTATTTACGGAGTATTTCATCCATGGATCCAAGGCAGACCAAACCCTCGTGCCGGCAAATCGGCAACTATCGTCCGGCTCTCGGTCTCTCGCACTAGAGAAAGGGGTAAAAGGAGAATCAATCCACCGAAAGTCTAGTCCGTTGGTTCAACGTTAGACTATTGCTTAGCTTGGTGATAGTAGTTCTGTGAGTTAACAAGCGAGTGGACTGGACTTGAACTAAGTACTGTGGACCGGTTAGTTAACTATACTTGTTGTTGAAGTGGTGACATGAAAAAAAAAAAAAATGAAAATGAAAAAAAAAGAGGATGATTTCCTCCCAACAAGGGTATTGAGATATGGTTCAATAAACCGGAATATCTTTCTCTTATACTCTGTGTAGTTCTGTCCAGAAAAGGGATTCCATCACGTGGGGGAGGGAAATGACCGCTGATAAATGACCAGCCAAAAAAAAAAAAAAAAAAAAAAAAATACAAATTGATTGACGGATGAAACAGCACCTGCGACAATCATCCACCGCCTTTACTTTGCTAAGATTATCTCCTCCATGACCTTTGAAACGTCCATGCGCCCCTGTGCGACAACTAAAAGAAACAGTCCAAGTCTCCAATCGTCTCAACTGCGGCGCGCGCATGCTCGAGTAACGAGCGCTTGCTGAAGCACTTTCGGTCGGGGAAATTCTATGTCTTCATCTATCCATACGCTCTCCGTCTCTTTTTCTTTTCTCCTGCCGCATTTAGTTCCAAGTCTTCTCTCCGTTCGTCTCTGTTCTTGACACAGCCTCTCCACCATGTCCTGTTGACCCCTTGGCTTATACTGTAAGATCATTATGATTTGCTACCCGCCCTCTTCTCTTACTATACTTCCTGCCTGCACCTTGCCTGTGTAGTAGGCTCCCATTTGTTATATATGGAGGCTTACTCTCTCTACCTACTAGCTGTTTATCCAGATGTGTCAATATATGCTCGCTGTAACTACAAGTTCATTAACGTTACTATATCTGCAGCGAACAACCTGAGCTGTACTAGATTGCGAGCTTGTGCTTGATTTCTACATTCCACGACCAATAACCAACTTCTTCGATATGATGCACCAGCCATTGACAAGCTCGTGCCCGTCGACCTCGGAGGGGCATGTCAAAGCCCCAGCGATTCATTTTCCTGATGGCACCGTTAAGCAATCTACTCTACTCCGGTCTCCAACCGTCCATCGCAATGGACATGTCAACTTAGACACATTCTCACCTGTTAATGAAAACGGAAGCTTCGAATTCGATCGCGTCTTGAAAACTGGGAAGGTGCATCGTCGGGTCAAACATAAACATGTCAGCCTTGTTCCCCACCCATCTTGCAGCTTATCGCTGACTCTGGTTGATTAGGCATTCAGGGCCTCCTGGAAACAAGCCTATCTCGTTCTCCGCCCGAATCTGTTATCAGTCTACAAAGATGAGGAAGCAACAAGGTTGCGGCTATCCATTACTCTATCAGAAGTAACCGCGGTCGCTCCCGTTAAATCTCCTCGGTCAAATCGCCAGCACGTTTTTGGTATATTTTCCCCTTCTAAGAACTATCGCTTCCAGGCTCTGTCGGAGAAAGATGCGCAGGATTGGATCGAGCGTATTCGTGCCGAAACTCGCATGGACGAGGAAGAGGAGGCGTTTCTGGCACTTTCCATGAAAGGAAACAATACAGCGTCTAGCAAACAGCGGTTCGATGATACCACTGATTTCTCGGATATTGAGCATATGGGAAGGGCCAGCTCGCCTGAATTCGGACGGGCAAGCTCCCCGGGAGGACGTCTCACTGCCCACCAAAATTTCTCAGGACATGACATTACATCCTACTCAGAATGGTCCGATGGACCAGCGAGCAACTCTAGTGTTCGCCCCGTTTCAAGAACTTCAACAATTCCTCAGTTATCTGCATCTACTGCAACGAGTGCACTGCCCGCATCTGCGCGCGATACGGATCGGACTCAGGAATCAGGTGCTCGGCGTGACCCGGAGAGGGTTATCTGTAATGGCTATCTCCAATGCCTTCGCATCAAGGGAGGAGTCCGCCAATGGAAACGACTATGGGTTGTCTTGCGTCCAAAGAGCCTTGGCTTCTATAAGGATGAACAGGTATGGATATTTGATCCACTCGGTTTCTGCTATATTTCAAGTTCTTTTCTTTCGTATTGGGCGTGCTAGCAGAAAACTGACAGGCTATCTTCCACAGGAATATTCCGCAGTCAAGATCCTTCCCATGGACCAGGTATTCGATGCCGCAGAAATCGACCCAATATCTCGTTCAAAACTCTACTGTCTCCAAGTCATCGCAGAGGAAAAATCATATCGTCTATGCACAGACAATGAAGAATCCCTAGCAAAGTGGTTAGGGTCCCTGAAGAGCGTTCTAGTCGCCCGCAAGAAACTTGAATCAGAGACTGCGCCAGGAGCGGCGGCGGCGGCGGCAGCAGCAGCAGCAGCCTGAACAACTATACGATACTGATCTGACGGGTCTAGTAACAGTCAGATTGTCACTCTCTTTTCCCACTCCCTTCACTGCGTCTCTCGCTAACAAATTTTCTTCATTATCGAAACACTGGGCGCCTTGTATACCTTCATTTTCTGCAAGCTCGTTTTCTCATTGTGATCTTTTTACGACATACATACCCGACTTCGCTGATGATATAGATCTCCTTTCTTCTTTCTTTTCCCTTGTGACCAGTCTGAAACCCCTGACTCTGAAGTAATGCTGATAATGCTGGGTTTGCCGATGTTTATTTAATCCCCTATATTAGTGTTAATATTTTGGATACCAAAGAATCCGCATAATCAATGGTGGAAGGTATCAAGCCGCAATGTTATAGTTTCCGGTGGCGGGTTGGATAATTTGTGCCCATTATTATTTTCTCTTACCTGTGAACTGATCGGGCCCAATATAATCTTATGTTCTTTTCTAGTATAACTAAAACAGAGGATATTTATTTTTTAACGAAGTGGCAATTTGTGTATATATATATCCGTTATTCTGGACTAACTCTAATCTAATTAGTTGCCCTGTGATCAGATACATCACCTCCCTGTCTCTTCTCCGGGAATGGCGTCATAGTCTGCCGTTGACGCTTCCTCGGAATTTTTCTCCTTACTTTCATGGTTCACGACCAAGAACGACAGGAACACGATCGCAGCGCCGACCCAATACAGCGCGCTCGACGTTATGCCTTGGAGGAAGATCTGGCCTACAAGGGAGAGCGGGATGGTCAGTGAGAGACCGACGGTGACGACAAGAGGAGTCGTCAAGAGCATAGCGTAGGCCCAACAGATGTCTGACAAGAGCGAGGATACGGAGTTGACCTTAAGAAATCAGACATCAGTATAGTTCGGATATCATGCATAGGAGAGAGCAACGGGAGGCAGTTAGTACCAAAATGATTGTCCAAACTGTGCCTGTGTCAGGGAGTGCAAATGTCTCAATACCAGTGAAATGCATTATAATGAAACCGGGCCAAAGGAGGAGCATATTAATGAGTCCAACGAGACCAAAGAATAACTGCATGTTCACTCGGGACTCATCTCCGACCTGCTTCTTTAAAACAATCGTATACACTCCGTACATGACTGCGCTGAATCCGGCCATAGCATCACCGAGGGCGATCTCGGTGGAGCTTTTGTTCGGAAACCTGCTACCGCCGCCATCATCTGCAGGGGGTGCTTCTGAGGCAGATAGATCAACACGGGATATCAGAATAATTCCCACCAAGGAGGCGACGACGCCGGCGAGTTTGCGGATGGTGAATTTTTCAACGCCAATGAGTGCGCCGAAAATCAGGGTCCAGACACCTGTAGCAACAGACGTTAAAACTTCTACTCAATGTTGATGTGGTTGATTGATGCATACCGCTGGTAGAAGTCAAAATGGTGGTGCTGCCTACAGTCGTGTATTGCAGGCAAGCCAAAGCAAAGTAGTTTGCCTGTTTGCGCATTACGCGTTAGATCAGATAAAGTAGGGCATTCCGCAGTCTCGATTTACTTACAAGGAACTAAAATGGGTTAGTACAACTGTATAGGGGTTTTGCACATCGAACAGATTCTTACCCATAACATGCAAAATTGCAGGCTTAACTTTGCAGTCGCCCTCAAGCCCAGCTTGACAGACTCCTCCTCTTTCCCATCCGAATCCAACGTAGCTGTGTTCCATGTTTCAGGGTCTACGGGCTCGTAAGCATTGACCCGCCCTACTGTTTCAGCATCCGGATCATGTGAATCAATGTGTCGCAAGAAACTTTGAAATGAGTGTATCTGGGAGAGCTTTCCCGAACGCCATAATCTCCAGATCCGGCCAAGAAGTATCGTAAAGAGAGGAAGCATAAAAAACGAGGTGTTGATATAAGTCACAAAGAACGGTTTGGAGTACGTATCGTCGGCGAATATCGTCTGGGACGCAGGTCAGTATGCTCGCGACTCAGGATGAAGGCATACGGAGAGAAGAGGTGCCTCCATCAAGATGTTTATTGGGGGGTTATCATACGCTAGCCAGGAAATTCGAAGCCGTCCACAGGACGACTACAATCAGCAGCAACCCGATGCCAAGTGTTCGTCTTGCGACACCAGTAGACATTCTGGTGAAGGTATCCATGAAGAATATCAGCCGAAGAAACTATGTACAAATGATCGAAAGGTGGGGACGCTGGTGTGATAAAAACTTCGTCGAAGCTCCATGCATCAGGTTCATCAGTCGAGTACTTTTCGCGCTTCGGACTCGACCGGAGATAATGCAAGTATCCCGTAATGCCAGCACCCACGATAACGAAAGATTTCAGGGTGGATCACGCAGCGCAATTGAGGAAAGACAGATAGAGCTCAGCTGGGCCAGCAGGTGACGCGACCACCCTGCGAATTAATCATGGGATGCGCAGAGTCAACGGGAAGGGGAGAGGGGAAAAGAAACTAGTTAACCCCAGACCATGGCTGATAAAGTAGTAGTTTGGCGGAAGTCCCACCGCCCAGAGGATCACGGGATATCACTATTGTCTATTGCGCCTTTGGGAATAGATCGACAGGGTCCCGGACATTCGTTGTTCCCCCATAGTACATACATTACATAGTACGTGACCATGGCTATACTACTCTCGCAACTCTATCATCAAGTAGTTGTATTACTCCTTAAATGATATGATTAGACGTTGGCTGTAAACACTAGGAAAAGAGACAACACGACTGCTAAAAGATATCCCCGTGCGACCCAGCAGCCAAAGCATGAGATAGGAACTTCAAACATGAAGTATTCCCAAGATATATAGGCTCAGCATTTGGGGGAAACAGTCCGTTCCCCAAGCCCGACAACAAAATAGGAAACAACAGCATCTCTACAAAAGAACTCGGAATGCAAACGGAAAGCTGCAAATCTCGGCCATGAATTGGAAATCATTGAAAAGTCATGTCCATCAGTAGGGTATCAACAGGCACATCCATCGCGCTCACTATCAAGGTGGATGTTGATAGGGTCACTGAATTCACCACTAAATTCTTCGGCCTCTTCTTGTGCCAAAGCACTCCTAGCGATGACTTGCGTGTGTGTCAGCATGTGGCAGGAACGAGCTAGCTGTCGTAGAGGACCGACTTACCTTCAAAAGCCTGCTCAACATTCACAGCTTCCTTGGCACTAGTTTCGAAGTAAGGGATATTTCCCTTAGATTGGCAAAACGTCATTGCGCGTTTTGAGGAAATCATTCGCTTGCTCTCCTCAACATCGATCTTGTTACCAATAACGACCTATTTGATTGTCAACCTTAAGTCGGAAATCGAAAGCGAAAAACAAGAAAAGAAAAAGGAATAGCTGAGCAGGCAAACATACGAAAGGGAAGTTCTCAGGGTCTCTCGGACTTGCTTGGATAAGGAATTCGTCTCGCCAGCTGTCCAGAGCTTCGAAGCTCTTGGAGTTGTTCACATCGTATACCAAAACACAACAGTCGGCTCCTCGGTAAAATGCAACACCCAAAGATTGAAAACGTTCTTGACCCGCAGTATCCCAGATCTGTTTGTCACAGGTTAATCACCCGCTCTGTGGTATCGAAAACTGGCGAGACACATGCCTGCATTGTCACCAGTCGGTCGTCTACTAGAACTTCCTTGGTAAGGAAATCCGCACCGATTGTTGCCTTGTAGCTGGCGCTGAACTTCTTGTTGACCTGTTTGGCGGATATTGTTGTCAGCGGGATACAGTACTATGCATGATTCTCCTGCACTGAAGGCCACGGACATATTGGTTCATTAAACTCGTTTTACCGACGCCGCTATCACCAAGAATAATAACCTAGAAGATGGTATGTATGTCAACAAGAGTTTAGCTGTAATGTTTGTATGGTGACCTTACCTTAAGGAGAACCTTCTTCCGTGACGACATGGTTATGACTATGAGAGGTAAGGCGGTATGCGCGGTGGGAGATAATAGGAAGCGGCGCAAATGAAAACGAAGGAGTGAGCGGCTCTTTATGGAAAATGGAGATCTTGGGGGTGTTGATCGTTCTCCCTGTCCTAGCAAATGGGTGTGAAGTAGCTGAGGAAGGATGAGTAAGTGAGTGAGTGAGTGAGAGAGGACCGGAGTAGTAGTTAGTAGTACTAGTCTTAAGTTGGACGGTAACGAGCCGAAGCTAATGGGAGGCGGTTGGTTTCGATGATGCATGACGCTGGGGCGGTGGAGCAGGCGGTGTGCACGTGTTACTGCATCGTCCGATCATTTCAACAGTCAACAACCGTTATCTGTACAAGAGGTTGTGCATGTCTCCCTTTGGATAGCACTTCGAAAAAATTTGATAAAGCCTTCCATACAACTCCGACTACTAGTAAAAATTGTACCGTGTTCCTAATTTGCTGTGGGACTAACTCGTGTCACAATGTATCCGTGATTTAAAGCTGCTCCATTCGACATCGCTTATCGTGATTATATCAATGGCCCACTGGAGAGAGGAGTACTCCGCCGCTCTGGCGGCTCGCGATCGACGAGAAAAAGCCAACGTTGCTATCTTAAATGCCTGTACGCCCTGAAGGGACATCTATGCCTGGAGCGTAATAATCCCACGTGGTTCCTCGTTCTCACTGACAAATCATTCATTGCTCCAGATACCCAACTTGCCGATCGGACCAGCCGTATAGCAGCAACGGCTGTCAACAGTGCCCAAAGCTCTACCCCGACAGACAGTCATAATGATATCCCCCAACCTCTAGTGCCAGATCCCATGAAACAAGGTGTAGCGTCGTCGGGATCTTCTCTCCAGGATGCTTTAGCTGCAGCGCGCACAGATCTATCTGAGGCGCAACGGTCCCGATCAGAGCTACAGGATCGGCTTACTCGCACAACGGCCGAGCTAGAGAAACTGCGAAAACGAAGCTCCCAGGACTCACGTCGCATTGCTGCGCTAGAAAAAGAAGTTGCTCAGTTGCAACTACGATTGAAGGATAGGGACGAGGAGTTGAAGGGAAAGGCAAAATTGCTAGATGTAGGACACTTTTCTCTGTGCCGGATAGGATTTGTTGACTGAGCGATTCTCAGGATTTCCAAGACGAGCTTGCATCGCTAAACCTGCAGCTCAATATGGCCGAGGAGCGGTCCAACAGGCTACAGAAGGAAAACCAGGAGTTAGTCGACCGTTGGATGGCAAGGATGGGTAAAGAAGCGGAGGCGATGAACGAAGCCTCGCGATTTTCATGATGTTTACGAGATTTGAGGCAGCAGAAACTATTCTTATTGTTTCTAGAGCACTCCCAAACCGGGCTAAGATTGCGGGCTTCCTCGAGGCTGTATGCAGATCTGTATCAACCATATCTATACCATACTTGCATGATACCCACTTATTCACTGACCCCAGTGGCGCAACTCAAGCATTGCAATACCTTGTACGACGTGCCAGGAAAACCCAGGACATTTAAGAAGAGGCCAAAAAGAGGCTCCTGTGCACAACAGGTGAAGAGCCAAAAACAGACATCCCAGAGAAATGAAGAAATCATGCCAACATTTATACAAGAACAGTGGTATCATATCTTCGAGACAAGTAACTATTTCCAAAAAAGAAATAAAAGATAAAAAAGGAGGTAAGAATAGGAAAATAATACACCGAAGAAAGGTCTACAGGGAATTGTATGTAGTATTTATCAGCCCAGGATAAACAAAACGTACCAAAAGTAATAAGGTAGAAAGTTGCCCAAAACCAGTTTGTTGGTAGTCTCGGTGACCGCGCAGTGCATAGCTGGGGCATCTCACCCCATGCTCTCTGCAAAAGCTCTCAATCTAGAGCTGTCTTTAGTAGCGATGAAATAAGTGCCACCAACGTCGGTCCAGCTGACACTGTTGGACCAATATTCCCTCTGCTTCACCTTGAGAAGATTGATAGGCGAGTTGAGATTCCGAGACTGTATTTTATGGCCTGCAGGGACAAATGATTTGAGGGACACGATCTGACAACCCTCTTTCATGTCTAGGAAGTGATTGATCAACTCGTTATTGAGTTGTGGAGTGAAGGCCTGGTTGTTAATCAAGATGACATCTGCGCGCTTTAGGACATCGATGATACTCTGCTCTTTGAGAAAATCCCCCCGGACGAGATGCGTTTTCCCTGGTGCAATTCCCCACAGACGACATCGAGCCCTGAACTCGGCCTGCTGGAGTTCGGCAAGCTCGCACGCATTTTGCATCATTTCGCAACCCCAGCTTTCACATCCAATCTCCAGCGCGGCCTGCAAAACAACGTTCCCCACGCCAGATCCCAGATCGACGAAAACCTGACCCGACTTCAATCCCGTCTCTTTGAAAATAGTGCTGATGAAACGAGGTAGCAATTCTCCGTAGACATTGTCCGTCCCGTTTTCATATTGACGGAGTGATTCAACCCGAGGTGACACAGTGCGCGAATAGATTTGGGTTAAGATCCTCTCGACGAGGGGTAAATTCAGCCGATGAGTCGAGTCTAATTTCTTGGCGATACTGCCGTCGCGCCTTAGTCGTTCGATCGCATCATTATAGTCCGTTACAACATTTCGAAACTCCGCTTCGGATGCGTGGGCGAGCGCTCTTCGTAGTCTTCTCTTAATCCCGGTTGATTCATTATTAAAATAGTCCGCCTCGTCTTCCGGTATGTAATGTTGGGATACAGTTTCGATAACTTGGAATATATCGTCGATAGGTCTAAAATCGTCTTTGTCACGGGGTACAACAAGGTTGTATCTGTTGTACGAAGTAGACTCGTTAGCAAATCCTGCAAGTACCATCAGTGCTAATTTGGCATGATATCGTACCTCTCTTTCGGGGAAGCACTTGGATACTGCAAAAATATCTCTGTAGGCCGGCCCGTGCCTCCGAAAGCTGGTTTGAAACACCCCGCCTTTTGAACAGATGTGATGTCGGCTGCATGTACGATCGGCAATGACTTAACTCCTCCTTCTGAGAATGCCTTCAAGGAGCGTACCCGCCTCTCCAAATCTGGCTCCGCACTATCGCCCGTTCTCGCGCGCTTACGAACTTCGAACGACGTATCCGTGTCACTGGAATCGTCATCACTCGAAAGTCGTTGTTCTGGAGTTGGTCGCTTTCGATTCTGTGACGGAGTGTTCAATCGCCGTTTCGAAGATGGAAGGTCTGGATCTCTCGAGACTGACCTGCTCCCCGATCCTTGCGTTCTCTTCGGCTTGTCAGAGGGTGAGGCACGCGACGATGTGCCCGGGGTCAGTGATGACGTTCTTGAAGGAGGCGCAGGTCGTGTCTGAACGACCTTACGGATTTGAGGCTTCTTTGGTTGTAGAGAGAAGCCTCCTCCTTTCTGAAGGTGGTCAAAGAATCCCATCGAGTAAAGCTGAACGCGCCGCACTCAGGCGGGGATGTACTGTACAGACCCGATATGTGTGAGGGTATATGGACAAGAGTTAAAATACTTGAGGTAACATATGTACTGGAAAGAGCAGTGAAAGAATACTTGAAAGAATGGAATGACCAGCGCGAAAATGCAGAACGAGTTAAAAGGAGGGTAGGGGGAGAAGGAAAAGACCGTTGACCGAGCGGGATTGTCAAAGAAAAGAGCCGCGCAAAGCCTTAGCTAAAAAGAAGCGGGCGATCGATAAAGGATTCAGCGCCGCCACTCTGGGCCGCATGTCCTAAGATTTTAACCTTAGGCACACCCGCCTTCCGTCGACTCGGGTCTCTAAGCCGCCCTCCCCGCGTGTATACAGTAGTCCTCCGTACTCCTGGGGTGACGACGAAAATTAGAGTACTTTGCATTCCTCTGCGCCTTCTGATGATCACTTGGCAGCCTGGTGCGTACATCTCTTCTTCAACCCCCAACTGCGTGCTCGAGCCTTAAAGTTATCATGACTCTATTTAGTAAACTTCTATCCTTGAAAGATTTTTACTACTGGCAGTTATAGTTCTCCATGCATATCAAGTGCGTGATTTCTATGAACATCTACCCACCTGCTCATTCTTCCATCCATATGCTGCGCGAAAAAAACCTGGATTCTGATTGGTCGCTCAAATTCCATATCACGTGCCTTGGATTAAATACTACTAGTAGGTAAGAATAATGTTAATTAAGATTTTATAGGCTACTGAAATTATATATGCAAGTCCCAGGCTATCGGGGTTTGTACAAATTTGTATGGGAAATCGATGTGGCCATCGTGGCCCATGCAAGTTAACGTGATTGCAACGAACGGTACAGAGTACAGTCACTCCAGGCTACGACGATTGATTCCTAAATTCGATGCCTCTTACGGGTCACCACTCCAATATCGACAGCATCCCTTCCTTGTGCAAGACGGGTGAATAAATAACATGCAAAAAGTCTAGAACAATATACTCGGATAGTGTAGAAACTGGAGATCTAATCTGATTCGGGTCCATCAGCAGCAGATAAACCGTGCTTTCTTGTTAGTTGCCCAAGTGTATCCTGAACCTCTCTTCCATAGATCTGACCAATGATATCCAACGGGCGCACAACACATGAGCCCTCTTCGCTATTGCCAGAGGGAGAGCGAGTTTGCAGAATCTTTAAACCAGGGTCATGAAGGAACAGGGTAGAGCGCCCTTGATCCTCACTCGTAAAGATTCGTGGTGAGGGAAACACGCCAACCAGGAGGGGATAAAAACCATGCTGTCGCTCTTTGAAGCGCTTGAGGAGCTTTTCTGCGTGGTCAAAGATTCTCCACTCGGCTATATCGTCTACCTGAATCAGTAGAGGGCGACCACTCTTCTCGCCATTCCCATGTAGAGATTTGGTAGCTATCTGATGCAATGCGGGATACATGACCTCAAAGACATAAGCCATTAGTGCAACACTGCGAAGATCTTTGGGCCTTTGACAATCATCAAGAATATCCAGAAATTCTCGCCATGCCGCCTGATAGGGACCGACCCACTTCAGCACAAATAGAATATCATCCACGCTCGGTAATTCCATTCGGTCGAAAACACTGAGACGCAAAAGCTGAGTTGCGGCTATAGTGCCAGCGGTGGCTTCCACCTGAATATCACCGCCCCGTCGAAGTACTTCATGAGTAATGGTATCCTTCAGCAAGCCTGCGACTTGCCGATGCCGGCGATCGACCAGTCTGAACCACTCCTGAACGTACGTCCAGCTCACCAGTCCTGCCTGAAGAAGCTCCAATGGGTAGCAGTAATACTGGAGACAAGGCACATCTAACCTCACGACAATTGGCCGAGAACCAGCTGTGCCACCTGTGCCAGCGGTAACGGCAAGGCCTGCAATAGTCATTGCCATCCGTGCACATGTTTCAAGTTCGTAGAAAGTTGCATCCGCACTGTAAGGCAATGGGGGGATGACTGTCTCTGTAGCGCCATCGGTAGTGGATAGTCCATTTGTAGGGATGAATCCTAGGAGCCGAGATGAGAACAGGCATATACCTGTACTGATTGTGATAGGGCGACAAAGGCCATTCGCGGAGTCCTTCAAGTCATTTATTTTGATATTCGATGAGCGGCAGTTGACGAATTGATCCAGAGGAGGACCGGCTGGTGTCTGCAGATTGACTTGGGCGAATACAGTGTTCACTATATCCGCCTTGGAGTTTGGAGGTGGCTCAAGTCGCTCTATGAAAGCACACCTTTTATCGTGAACGATGACAGGCGAGCTTTTCTTCTCTCGAGTCTTTGTTTCTGAGTCTATAGGGCCTGGTTCTCTTGGTGGGGATAGGAGAGAGTGAATCTTCGAATAGGCTTGTATTACTCGGGCGTGCTGTTTGCTAGGGGATTGTTTCTTTCCCTCATCTGCAATATCGCGAAGATAGGAATATCCCACGACGCCCGGGATTAATCTGTTATCATCCAGCTTGTGGTATGTCACACTAGAGTGATACTGGCGTTGTCTAAGGACGGCTACCCGTACGGTGTTTGAATCAGAGATCGGTCGGCTTGCGGCGTCATCGTGAAGACACGCCTCGGTCTCAACGGGAAGTTGTACGGCACCCATCATATGTAACAGGAATAGAGGAATACGAAGATCTGAATACTGCTAAAGTACTCACAGTAGAATATTTTGTGACTGCGAAAATTCGCAGTCTGCACGTAGAGACGCTAGATTTTCTCTAATTCGAGGTTGGAAGTACGGTATAGATATATTGATACTTTGATTTCTTATAATCTCTCATACCTGACACTATGGGCCCTGGCACTTGGTGACTTAACTGCAGGCCGTTAATTCCCAAAGAAACCTCCAATTGTGCCATATGCAAGATGACGACCTTAGGTTACGTTAATGCATTGGGTGAACTACCCAGACATTGGGCTCCACATACGAAGCAGTCTCGGAAACGGGGTCATATTGGACAGGTACCAGGGCACCGGGGATAGGTACATCGATATGTCCCCCTGAGGAGGTCTCCACGCCTGACTTGGCTAAGGCGGCCAAGTTACATCCAGTCCAGTCTTTCCACTGATCCGCGTGCGCGGTGATTGTCATACTGCGGTGAGCAATTCGAAAAATTTGGCCTCCGTATGCGAGGTGTTTCCTCAGCCATGGATCATACGGGGTTTGATCATCAAGTTTCCAATGCACGTACTCCTGTAAAGGCACCGTAGGATGTTCGCTCTTCCTGGTTGGCCGCAGAGGTACAACCAAGGCTTCAAAGTGGGCCTGACTGGCGAGCCCTCTCAAAGTGGAGATGAGAATATCAGCCAGCTTGTGCTGTCTGTGAGCGGGGCTCACCATAACACTAAGCGCGGAAAGCAAATTGGGAGGCTGTTCATGGCCGGCTTGATAGTTCTCAATACCAGCCTGCAGGATAGCTTCCCATCCACCATCGGGCAACTCATTGAGTGGCCAACGGACTGGAATTGAATTTCCACAAGCCACCACTGATTCGCACTCGTTATCCACATCTTTGTGGAGGATTACCAATTGGTATGACGCGAAGAATGGAATTTCTGTCAATTGTGACCAGTATTTTTCCGTAACAGGCGTCGATGTAATGAATTTGGGCCAAAGAGAGCTCATTGGATGTTCGGGATCAAACAAGGTCTCATACATGTCTGGACGAGCTGCTGCGGTTTGGAGGGAGTAGCCTGGAGGCAAATTGATCCCCAGGGACTGTGTACCAACGTCTGCCATTTTCGATAGTAGAATAGAAGCCAGCGGTAATAGGTAACCTGGTAAGACAAAGACCCCGTTAAACAGGGGTTGCAAGGGGCTTTCTGATGCTCTGTTCGGGTGTCTGGTGGTGCATAGAAATAGCGGTACCAGCAGGATAATCGTGATGAACAAATCGACTCCAGATTGCACATGCAGAGACTCGCTGGTGGTCCATTCCGCTAATTTTCCCTGAGGTGCCGAACGTGATCATGTCCTTAATGTGATGTGTTAGATGTCTTGATGGCAACGGAGTTGTTCGGTTCTCATGGCTCGTGAGCTAGTGTAAGCACCTGAGACATTATGCAGCTCATCTTTTGCGATATCGTCCAAAACTTGAGTAACGCCCACGGTCTCGACCCTCGATCATAATAAGATCGGCATATCGATAATCTATCCTAGATACCGATAGGTCAGCGGATCAAGGACCACTGCCCAAGACTTGCAGAGAGTAGTATTTTAATAATCCGTAAATATTCTATAATTGAAGCAGCTTACGCTAGAGTCCAGGGATCCTGGCGGGTTAATATAGAATACATTGGAAGGAATATTCTACCAGAGTCATGTGGCGTTCCACTTGAGCGGCCAATCAGAACGCAGAAGCCTGCCTCCAACTCCATTGTATTCCATTTCTCATCACATCACTTACTTCTTCACATGCGATATCTTATTACACCACCGAATGTATCCGGTCAGCGGCTGAGTCACTCTGGTCCTCTGTATTCCATACTAGTAGTATGCTTTACTTGTTTTTTAGAGATTAATATGAATGGAGAAAGCAAAACTCTTAAAAATTGAAAAACTATTGGATACTTTTTGACCATTTTCTATAGAATAAAAGGGTGAGCCATACAAGCAGTACAAATAGCCAGAGTGTGTCTCCGGGTTATATATTAGGTATATGTAACTATTGACAACTGCCATAGGTAGTAACTATATATATTTTGAAGTTACAGACAGGATATTCAGGTCATGTAATGGAGTGATCAAACTGACCTGCGCTTTCCCGGGTCGAGCAAACTATACTTTATTAAATCCCTTGCTTAAAGTGCTCAAACTGCTTGAATTACATGAATTATATGGATTGCATGAATTGCATGAATTGCATGGATTCATGAATAATTGAATAATTGAATAATTGAATAATTGAATAGTTTGACCGATTACAGATAATTGATCTATGAATAAAGTAAGGACTATATATTCTTGACTTACTGATCAAAATATTGTACATACTTCGCCGCTCTACTTGTCTTGGGCAGTGATCCTTGATCAACTGGTTTCCCGATATCTAGTATTGACAATGAATGCTGAAACCAGCTATCCTGCCAGATTGCTGACATTCCAAGACTAGAAGATACGATCAATGAGCTAAGCTCGGTTGGTATCTAAGGTCATATAAGTCTTGCTGGAGCTAACCACGGAATATTAAGGATTGTGATTCTATAATTAACCAATAGAAGGAACAAGCTTTAGTACAAGTCATTAAGACTGCTTGGGTGCAGCAACTCGCAATGTTTGTAATTCTTCATGAATTGGATGACTTTGCTAATAATTCAACAGTGTAAGAGGCGAGACAACGACAGGTGTATATTAACCGGCTCGGAGTGCCCAGACGCCGCCCATATATACCCGAATTGCCTTTCTCAAAGCCTCCACAAGTGATCCACGAACTGTTAGGAACTTCTGGGACATTTTGGGTGTGTTTTGGGACAATAGTCGCATACAGAGATGGAAAGCAGAAATATTCGGCAACCCAAACGATCTGCAAGGACCTCAGCATGGATGCTTTAATATGCTGTACCTCGACAAGTACATACATGCACTGTGGGGGAATGGTCTATTTGCGCTCCGACCAATGGAAAACGATGATCCTACGACCCTAAAAGTTCAGTTCCACTGGCAAAGAGGAGTACTAGATGCTCTAACTGAAATTAACCCCTTAACAGAACCAGAGTCTTCTCGCGGAATGTTCAGGGATCATTACATCGGGCTGCGTACTGGCAAATTCAAAGACCAGGCGGAGCCAGAATACAAAGCTATTGCTTCTGGCGATATTTTCACACTCAACACCAGTAATCCCCGAGATATGCCACTCCCGAGTCGAACATTCCTCGAATGCAATGGAATTTACAGCGAGTTGCAGGAATGAGTGGTGTTGCAGAGGTGAACGGCATTTCAGGCTCTGACGACCATGATGCAGACACCACATCCGCTATACAGCGTACTATAAGTATTTACGAATGGTTGGGGATCTTCACTCATAGTAAAGAAGACTTTACAGTCCAACAGCCGCCGATCGAGCTCCGATATATGATGCACTCATGATATTGCCTCGGCTGAAGACTGCTTTACAATTACCTCTATCCTGCCCTAAGCTACAAGATATGGGTAGTTGAAATAAGGGCGGATGGAAGATAAACAAGTTTCAGGTCATGTGCTGGATATAGGTCTGGTGGGCCGGATACGTCCTGGCTTGGAGAGTTTACCTTATGTTGGCTATTGAGCTCCAATTTCACGGGAGTGCAAGGTGGAAAGATCGTGGTTTTCGGAGTAAAGACCACTCACAATCGTAGCAACTCCGTTACCATCCAGAATTACTCCATAGTGCTAGCTGCTTTCTTCTGTATACTTTACCTTGATGGAATCTAAACACATAGCATACGGATCTCACTGACACAACAATTCTGTACTTGAATATATATAAGATGCTGTAATATGCGGTTTCTATACATACACACCCCTCAAATGGGTATCAAATTTTGCAACTCAATTACACCGGCGGACCACGACGCATGGTATTCGTCTATATGACCTTTGCTCCCTTTACTTCTGCTTCTTCTTTGCAAGACGCTTCTGAGCTCGGACATCCTTCTTCATCCGGGAATCCACAATCTTATACTTGCCCTTCACGCCGCGTGGACGACCAGAGATACCCCTGTTGTTGCCCTTGGCCACGACCAGCTTCACCTGCTGCTTAGGCTTCTTCTTGGTCGCCTTGCTCATCAACTTCGAAATGGCCTGTGATTTGTCACGTTCGCTGAGTGCCTCATCATCCGCCAGTAGTGCAGACTTCTTGCGCAGTTTCTCCAGCTTCTGCGCAGCCTTGAACTTCTTTCGACCCTTTGCTTCCATGACCTTCTTGATTGGTCGAGCGTTAATGGCACGCAGCTTCTCCTTGATTGCAGCCGCAGCGGCCTTAGTGATGGGCCGATTTGGTTTACTGTGCTTCGTCTCGTCGTCGAGGAACCACTCCGGAAGGCCGTCAACATCTCGGAAAGCGTACCGATTGAACCCATCATCCGTCACGTCATGCGACTTCTTTTCACCACTAGCCATCTGCTGAGCCAGGGCCATGGCCTCCGCAGTGATAATATCAATGTCTATGTTTACAGTTAGCAACAGCAGAAGCAACCGTACAATCTGATTTAGCAACACTCACCAAGCTGACCATTCTCCTTCCGAGGCTCATCAAGTTCCTCGGGTTCCTCATCCGAAGAGTCCAAGACCATTTGCGTGCCTGCCTTCGCATCCTTTGCCTTCTGCTTCTTTGAAACAGAATCCTTGCTTTCCGTATAGTCATTGTCGTCCTCATCTTCATCCTCAACGTCATCAACATCCTCTAAGCCCTGGAAGATATCCTGGTCAAAGAACAATGCGGCATTATTGGATAATGTCCCATTCTTCGGAGGTGCTACGCCATTCGCTGTACCAAATTCGGAGTCCTCGTTATCTGACTCTTCGTTGCCCGACTCCGAAAAGCCCTCCCATTCGTCGGCTTCGAAATCCTTCCTGGCTTTCTTGGCTCTTAGTTTCGTATCCTTGTCCTCTTTGCGATCTTGGTATTGCTCGTATAGCGAATCCAGTTCCCTTTCCAGTCGGTCGCCTTCATCGTCACTCTCGGCATCATCATCAGATTCTGAATCTTCGCTTTCACTCTCAATCGTTACTTCTTTTCCAGCAGCGATCGTATCCCTTGCACCTTCTCTCTCAACACGCTTGAGTGAAAACGGTGCATCATCTCCAAGAGGGCCAATTTGCTCCATACCAATATCCATAGGGGTCGTCATATGCATCTGCATGCGGACGATCTCCTTGCGCTTCTTCTCATTCTCCTTCCGCCTCTCCTTTTTCGCCTTGGAGCTTTCCTTCTCCCTCAGGCGCTGCAGTTCCTCCTGAATGGCTAGTTCTTCATCCATTGGGGCAATTTCAGCCACTTCCTCGGGTTCATCCTTTTTGGCCTGCCCTCCCTTCTTTACGACAAGGCCAAATTTCTCACGGACTTTCAATCGCCATCGTAGTAAGTTGCGGAATTCCTTTTTGCCCAGCACTTTCAAATCTTCACAGCATTTGCGAATTTCTTCTGTCGTTTCTTCCAGCCGGTTGATGGTGCTCAGTGCGATGTCTCCATTGAGGGGCTGTTGAAAGCTGAGTTTGTTGTATTGACCGAGAATGGCAATTGGGTCAGTTGTGTTAATGAAGTCGGTGACGGGTATCTCCTTAAATTGCGTCCAATCGCCTTCCTCATAACCATCTCTCTTGCGCTTCTTCTTCTCAGGGTCAAATACACGAGCCTCGTTATTTGGGGTTGGATCAGCCAATTCTGCGAATACGTGCTTCGGATCAAGGAACTTAGGGTCCATGCGCTTTGGTGCCTTAAAGCCACGGCAGACAACGAAAATTTCGGCGGAGACATTTCGAGACGAGGGGGGCTTTGTGGCTTCCACCGACGTGAACAATTGTTTGAAAACCCACAGCAATGCATTGTAGTCCTTAGATCGGAAGACTTTAGTGACAAAGGTACCGCCCTCAACGAGGAATTCCGTAGCCAATTTCATCGACTGCAAGACCAGCTCTGCTTGCGAAAAAGCGTCCTGAACCCACGCTGTACCGACGTTTGGAGCACCATCGTGAAGTACTGTATCCGCCTTCCAATGTTTCAAGTGTTGCCTGATAGTTGTGCGACACTTCTCGGTCGTGATATCGCTCTGAAAAGTGATAACTCGTGGAATTGGCTTGATAGGGGCGAGATCGACACCGATAATAATACTTTGAGCAGGCATACACTCAGCAGCCACTTGACACCATGACTATGTATTGTTAGAGAATAATGCTGGCACATGAGATGCATCAACACGTACACCTGGTGCAGCACAAAGATCGAGAACGACCTTGCTCTTCTCCAAGAAACCATATTTCTTGTTCAGCTGGATCAGCTTAAACGCAGCTCTAGCTCTGTATCCCTTCTCCTTCGCAAGGCGATACCACTTATCCAAACGACCCTTACCATGCTACTCGCAGTCAGTAAATGAATTATCTTCTATCGTTTTTGCAAAATCTGTAGCGTACCTTCTTCTGGATCGCCATTTTCAAAGACGGGTAGTCGAGGTAGGCTCGACGAAAAGACCCGAATTGACAGAATGATGGTGTCCTGGTTAAATGATATTGATATAAAAAACCAGCGCAAGAAAAAAGTTATCGGCCGCCTGGATCTCGACTCCACACCGCCCGTAAGATATTTTTTTTTTTCCACCTTCTGTCAGTTGTGGCGGTGGCTGGTCACTAGCCACACTCCCAACGCTTACAACGTATCTAGCCTTATACCCCAGGCACCAAAGGCGGTCAGGGGTCGGGAATCCATGTGACGTGATATCACCTCTGTTGTCTATTGGGCCGACTAAATCTCTCTCTTCCCCCCGTGGCTTTGACTCGACGCAGATCACCAACAGGCACCACCACCCCATGGCTTATCTTCGACTCCTGTAGCTTTGGAGGCCACTGTCCTCCAAATTTGTTCAACAATTTCTATGCAGTTGATGGTATGGTAATGTTTTATATTCTACTTTCATGGCGCCCACGGGTTCTCGCAAGAGAGTAAAGTCCATTCCGTCAGTTGCGGATTCACAATCGTCGAATGATGGGACGACATTACCGTCGAAAGACAGAGGACGCTCGGGCTCACTGAAACAAGGCGGTAGTGGAGTAAGTTTAAGAATTTCGTATAATTTTACAAAGTGCATTATTCTACTATCCTTTGTGTCTGTATTCTCTGGTAGCTGATTAAGGGTTGTTCTCATAGAATTGGTACCCAGGAGCCTGGCCCGTTTCCAAATCATCTAAAGCGGCCCCAGTTACCGAGGTTGCCCGTGAGAGCATCTCGGTTGCCCAAAACGTAGCTTCAAGCCTTACTTCCTCGCCAGTGTCGCAGCTTGCTTCTCCTAAACACCCTCGAAATCCTTCTCTACAACTTACTAGAAAAGTTGGCGCTTCGACTCGCTCCCTTCCTGCCAACGCCACCACCACCCGAATCAATATCGCATCCGATGGCACTGCGTCTTCACCAGCAATAGAAGCCCAGCCTAACCCTACTGCCTCAGCAACAGAGTCAATAAATAAGGAATCGTCAAATGACGAAGGCGCCGGCACGGGAGGAAACATTGGTAACGACCAATCGAATGTTGAGACTGAGACAAATGCAGGGTCTGGGGAGGTAGAAACGAGTCAGGAACAAACGCTGTCGCAACCAAGTGGGTGGTTTTCATGGGTCTGGCCCCCCTCCAGGATTGAAAACCCTCCAGATAGCTTCCCGGAAGATTCAACCCCGGCCCCAGTGGACCAAGCTGCAGAAAATCAGACCTCAAAAGAGGAGGACGCTGCACCTGCCAATCAAGGTCAAGCAGAGGAAACAAAGCCTCCTGAAACAGCAGAGATTGACGACACAGCACAAAAGCGATCCTGGCTCCAGATGTGGTACGGCTCATCATCTTCGAAGGGTTTAGAAGAACCCCACCGCGAGAACCCGCCAGCAGCAGATGGACCAACACCCCCTGCTGATACACCACCTACATCAAATGAAAATGTAAACGAGCCTATTGCAGACATTCCAGCAGATGCACCTGCTAAAAGTGCTAAACCGTCAGGCTGGTCTTTCTGGTTCAGAGAGACTTCACAAGACGCTTCGCCGGTGAAGTCCCTGGAAGTCCAGTCCGTTGAAGCCTCTACTGCCCAGGATTCCATAATAAAGAAACCCAACGATGATCCCGAATCCGAGCCGGAACAAAAGGTAGAGCTCTCAAAGAAGGGAACTCTTAAGATAAAATCTCCTAAGAGCAGTTCTGTCCTCCCTGAACAGGCTGTTTCTGGGCCAGATTCCAACTCCACTGCTTCTGCAGTAAACACGTCCGAAGCAACAGCTTCAAAGCATCTACAGAAGATTTTACCTAACCAGGTCCTCCCACGTTTCAGAGACACTTTCGCTTTGCAAGAGAAGCCTAGTCTGTTACAGTCGATAGGGCGATTCTTGCACTACAGCAAGGAGCCAGACAATAGACATGTTTACATGATTAAGGACCCACCACCCATCAAAAGAGCATTGGCTATAGGAATACACGGGTACTTCCCCGCCCCGTTAATTCGGACTGTCCTTGGTCAGCCGACTGGTACATCTATCAGATTTTCGAACATGGCTGCAGATGCTCTTAAAAACTGGGCAGACGATCATGCATATACATGCGATATTGAAAAGATAGCGTTAGAAGGCGAAGGCCGCATTGCTGAACGAGTTGATCTATTGTGGAAACTACTACTCAATTGGATGGAAAAGATAAGGCAGGCAGACTTCCTACTGATTGCATGCCATAGTCAGGGTGTTCCTGTTGCAATAATGTTGGTTGCGAAGTTAATATCCTTTGGATGCCTTAACGCTGCGCGGGTCGGTATATGTGCCATGGCCGGTGTTAACATGGGGCCTTTCTCCGACTATCGATCACGATGGATTAGTGGCTCTGCTGGTGAGCTTTTTGAATTCGCATTGCCTCACAGTCAAGTTTCAAAGGATTATGAGGCAGCGCTTAGAGCCTCTCTCGATTTCGGTGTACGGATTTCTTATATCGGGAGTATCGATGACCAACTCGTTTCTCTAGAGGTGTGTGCTTTCTGGGTTCATCAACAACTTTTGCGCAACGGCTAATGTTAGTTTTCAATGACAGTCATCGCTTTTTTCGCCGATGGCTCATCCGTATATCTACCGAGCAGTATTTGTCGACGGTAGAGTACATGCTCCAAGTTTGTATGTTATTCCTGCTTCAAGTGATAACCTTGTTTTTGGAGCCGCCGCTGATATGTCTCGCAGCTTATCACATTTGGTCGGGTTTGCTCTTAAGCTTCGAAATCTTGGGCTCCCAGATCATGGCCTCATCCGCGAATTGAGTTCGCCTTTAGCAGGTAGTCTGTATAGTGGCGATGGCCACTCACGTCTCTATGATGATGAGGCTGTGTATCGGTATGTTACTTTTGTTTGAGTTAGAGCTCGTTACGCTAATGTTGTTCTAGGTTGGCCATTGAATTCGCTCTGGAAACGTCGAATGTCCAAGATGCAACGCTTAGCGTCAAGCGAAGCCCCCCGGCTTCATCAGTGAACCCTTACATCCTCCCGTTCGCCATGCGCGGCCTCCTTGAAGAAGAGTACGTCCGACGCGAGCTTTACGAAGAAACAATGGAACTGCTACGACAGTTTGACGACTGGAAACCGACCAGCAAGGTTCTGAAGGATGTAAAGTTCCGATTGGAAGGAATCCGCTCAAAGCTCTAGCCGCAGTTCCGTACTTGACACATACTCTCTCCATCAACCCTCTCCACTGACATCTACTAAATCCTGCTCCCAGCCCAGTGTGGTTTGCTATTGCCCACCTTAGGCAGCCCTGTTTTTTGTACACTTCTGTACACTTCTCTGGGTGGAGAGTTTCAAGGGAAAAAAGATAGAGCTCATTCCTATGTTATGGTGGATCTTAAATAGAATACTTTGCTTCTGCTGCACAGATATTGATTACGATGTTGGGGACATAATAGACGCGAAACTTTTAACCTTTCTATGAACCTGATGCGCTTTACAGTCCTGAATAATATTGAATAGCCGCCATTGGTAGGATATTTGAAAGGAGATGATTGTTCGTAGTTATCGTCATTAAATTGGTACAGGTGAACCCCCATATTTCATAGCCCTAAGATATATAACGCCGCATATGAATGTTATAAGTTCGCTTTTTGTTTATGTGATGCCTGGTTTATCCATCCATCCCAGTATTCCGACGTACCAGATATCAAACCCCATGGAAAAGAAGTATCGCGCCCCACCGAGATGAAGCAAAAGAACGGTAAAATGGGTATGAGAACGGACTCGAAAGTTATAAGAAAGAAAAAGACGAAAAGATCAAGAAGTCAGGAAGAAAATTATGGTTGAGGGAACGCCGTTTGATATGCACCTTCGATTTCATCTAAGTTCATGATTAGTTTGCGGTCCTCATACTCTGTCTGGAACACGGATAGCAATAAGACTTACCTCTCATGCCGTCTAACGCCTCAAAAGCAGCTGCATAATTGGTTACGGTAGCAATGATTCGCTCCAGTCCTTGCCTGAGTTCTTCGATCAATCGATCTGAGGGAGTAGTCTTGTTTCCATAGTCTGGTGACAGCTGCTTTTCTACACGTGCTTTGTAGAATATCATTAGCATAGCGTAGCTGCCTTGCATCAAACAGCAGGCAAATGATGGCATAGTTCGAGGAAGCTGGTTCGGCGGTTGTAACGTCAGCCCCTGCGGGCTCTTTGGCTCGTCCATAATCGGTTGCGGTATGGGTAGACTTGGGAACATGCGTGAGATCAGCAGAGAAGCCCTAAGGCAAACTTTGGCGGAGTGTTGGATGCTGAAGGGGAATCCACTGGTAAACGAGTACTGGGAGATCGACTGATAGTCTGAGGATGTGGATGAAGCGGTGGAAGGGGTGTACTCGCTCGACGACTGCTGAAATGGTTCCAAACCTCCGCACGAGCATCGAATGTCGCTAATCCCATTTTGCACTCTGGAATCCTTGGTAGAATTGCATGTTGTTAGGTTGTTGGCATTGGCCGCAGTTAGGTCACAATGTTTTTTAATGAAGATAGGGATGTCTGAAAATGCTCTAAAGCGGTGAGTTTTGATTTGTGCGCTAGGATATGATCAGTGATATGCTGGAATGCGATTTTCAGACGAATACCTACCTGGACAACTTGATTCTGGAAATTGAACGTATACTTTGAGCCGTTGTGAATTCCATACCATCGCCACAATTCATGGAAGGGGGAACAATAGGAAGCAGGTTCGACTGCGCCAATGCTGAGCTCGCCCATGTGTCGAGTTGCTGCATTCGCTCGTAGATGTAAGGCATATTTGTCCTTGTTGATATACATTTGTTCAGGTCAATTACGAATTGAGTTGCTGAAACTAGCACTTGCTGAGCTTGCATCAGAACAGCCCAACCCTGTAGATCATGTTAGAGATCACCTCCTGAGTTGAGTTCCGCACGGAATCTCTAATTGGTGGAAGAGCGCAGGCGAAACTTACATCTGGATCGGCGGCAAAGCGCGGGTAAGGTGTTACAAACTGAGGGTCGTTCGCAACAATGGCAAGTGGCTGGTTGACTGGGTTAACAACTAAACCATCAAAGATGTTTTTGTGTGTGTGGGAGGCGAGGGGGGATGGCGGCATATTTCTGGAGAAAACTCACTGTTGTGCTGACAATCGACCCTTGAAGAACGCAGTAATACTAAGGTAACAACACGGTTAGCAGACTAGACATGATTCCAGTCAAACCAGACATACCGTCATCCACCAAGCTCTTCTTCGACCTTCCGCGAATTCATCATACTCTTCTCCCAAAGAATGCAGAGACATGTCTAGCGCGATCGCCAATGCCTGACCCGCACGGTATCGCATCTTAAGCAGATTTCCCCGCTGAGTGTATTCGTACACGGAGAGAACCAAGAGCGCAAGAATAGATTCGAGTTCCACGGGTGCATGGGGATGGAAGCTCTCTCTATTGATGAGAGGGCGTTCACTTGACAGCGCCTGTGAAGGATCGGTAGAAGAGGCATGGAGCTCACAATCTGTTTCGATGCTGGAATTGGCCAATTGGGAGAACATATGTGCATACGTCCTACGTCGGATAACAGAGGCAGGAGACGAAGGCTCCAAGTCACTTGGATGGGGTATGAGGGCCAAGACTGCAGACAAAGCAAGGCTAAGAGGGGACCGTGGTCTATACAATAGAAGAGGTTCTTCTGTCGGAGATTCGGAATATGACCCAACCGCATCCAATGGTCTGTCTGGAGAGGCCGGAGCTGCCCTGGGCGGAAGAATAGGGAAATAATGATGAATAAAGTCATAGTAGGCGTTGAGTCTGCCTGGGAGATTAGAAGGGACCAGTAGTCTGGTTGGGGCAATGCAAAACCCACATGTCGTGTTCAGAGCCGTACGTCCTTACCAATGCCTGAGTTGATATGTTGGACGGCGACGGCGTTGGCTCCATTTGTACAGGTGGATGACCAGCATCATGGGGGATAAAGAGGTCAGCGAACATTGATTGAACGTCCGACGGGAAATCCAAGCTTCTCAGCCCGGCTCCTGGTACCGACAGCCCATCGATCTGGCCAAACATGCCCGTCGCTGTACCAACAGTGAGTATAGATTGCTCTTAATTTTAGGATTTACGCATCATCACGTACATTCATCGAGTCCGGGTGCCGCCGGGTGAATGGTTGAGCTGTGAGCATCATCCTGCGGAACAGTTCCTTCTGGGGAGATGGATGCCCTTTTCTTCTTCCTTGGACCGCCTCGTTTACTAGGCAGATAGGAACATTTCCTTCTTTTGCCAAGACACTTTTCATAGAAGTAATTGTCTCAGTAAACGCCTGTATAATGTACTTTGCGGGGATGGTGTATGGTAGAGTGGAGAACATATTGAGACACGGGCAACAGACACCATTCAATAAGAGAGAGAAAAGATATAAAAAGCAGAAAAGAAACGAAAAAAGAAAAAGGGGGGGGAGGAGAAAGAAAGAAAGAAAGACAGAAAGAAAAAAGAGCAAAACGACAGGAAAAGTCAAGCAGAGGGAAAATAAGAAGAAACACGAGGATAACTGGAAATAATGAGACATAGAAGACCTACATTGGAACAAGGAACTTGTCCATCACAGCGTGTCCTTGAAGCACGACTGTTTAAGAGTATGCGTCAGCCCAGGTCCGACATAACAGGGGACAAGGCACCTTGTAGTCAGACAGGGACTTTGTCTCACACACGGTGCATGATCGTAGTCCAGATCCCAAAAACCGGGCGTTGGCCTCCGGGGTAATGGGCAGAATCATAAAGCAAAGGAATAACGTACCAGGCTAGACATGCTACTTTGACTGGTGGTTTCGCAAATTTCTTTCGCACCACAGTGGGCCTTGCGACCTTGGACTGTGTAACTGTGGTGGTTCCGTTGTCATGAAATTTCTGGAAGTTCTCCAGAACCATGGCGATTGCTTGAGCAATGGGGGAGGAGTATAATATCCTAGTAGTAGTAGTCTAGAAACGAACCGGCTTTGCCAATGTTCAGTTGTGTTATGCAGCCGCAACGATCGATACACAAAGGGACTTCAAGACTTTCACCGCGAGTGTTCCCGACATTGACAACTAGTAGATACTCGGACTGCGCATCGTTACTAGGGGAAGCATACGGGCCACGGGGGGATCCCTAAGGAAAGTGTGTATTTCGATACCCGAAGAGGTGGTCTGATATACGCCGTACAGCGTCGAGAACTGGGGTGTAGTACTGGGGCTTAATCATCCATAGCCAACGATTCAAATCCCGGTCGCTCACGCTTCGGGATTTGCTTTGCCCCCAAGAAAGCGTAAATGTGGCGGACGATTCGCGATTAGTCAAAAAGCATGTTCCTCTGGGTTCCCCTGAATGGAGCTTCCTCGAATGAGGTTGATCAAAAAATGCGATGCATGGATCCCAAATCTACAAAGTTAAGATATGACAACGAGAAAAAAAAGAGAAAGAAAAAGAAGCACTTGTATCTGCTCTCGTTTGCTTGTGCTGCTTCACGGTTCTCTGCTTAATTCTCTCGATCGGGTTAGCTTCCACTCATTTTGCTTTCTTTGTCTGCGTTAAACCGCTTTCGGACGACGTTGACCACGCCGTGGTCTGATTCCATATGTCACGTGACACTTTCCGTTGTCATATCGATACGGAGTACCGCGGTTACATTACTGACTGACACCAGGAACCCATTCGTCTACATACCGGTGGCTTGCCACGTTTTACACAGGAAGTCGATCCCGATTATTCCCTCATATATCATCTCCCAGAACAAGATCGAATTGGTTCGATAACAGGGGTGAGCGGACGCAAAGCCAAAGCGAGTCAGGGAGATCGATAGATCGATTTGATAACAAGGCGCCAGAATGGTTAGCTTGGAGATCTCGGGGCAAAGGAGGGCTAATCGATCGACGCACCTTAGGTGAACTCTAATTGAATGAAGGGCTGAGCCACTTGAAGGTAGGTAGTGCTACTCCGAACACAACACGCCATTCTCGGATGCATTCCGGGCGGGAAGGTCCCGTACGCAAGGTTACGCTGGAGCCCTTACGCTGGAGCCCGACTATCCCCGAGTATTCACCGTCATACGCACATTCTGGTCAGCTGAAGATACCTATCAAATCCATCCAAGGCGGGTCACGTTAATGCTACCCTACAGGCAACTAGTAATGTCCGATCTGACTAGTGCGATTTAGGTTCTTACTCTAACTAGGTAGTTCTGTTCTCGAAATAGAATTACTGTCCTCCATATCTGGATCATCCTTACGAATGATATGGAATGGAGCCCACTGCCACGTCAGGAATGGAAGTCAATGTCGCGTAAACTAATCCCAGGCACACGCTTCACGCTGCCCCAGACACTGTCCGGCACTTTCACAGGCAGTTTGTGTCCCTTCAGTTGCTGATCAATCAACCACATCCCAACAACGAACTCCTCTCTTGTTAGGAGTCCAATCTTTTGTGTATCAACTAGATCCCAGATCTGCTCCAGCACGAAGGATGGGAGGCGACTCCGAGACCAGATGTCTTGAACCACGATATTCACTACCATCTCCGAGGCATCCGAAGGCCATATGTCTCGCAATGGATCATGTTCGGAACATTGCCTGTCCACTTCTTCTTTTGTGGGGACGAGAAGCCCCTTATTAGCCGCCCATACACCCTCGTAGCGTTTTCGTTCCTTTTCCGTAAGCTCACTGCGCCATCTCTTTCGATCGCCTTCGTGATGTTTATGTGGGTGTTTCCGGATGATATGCGTTCTGTGTCGGTGGTGATGATCCTCTTCATCGTCGGGTTTAGCCGGGTTGCGGAGCGTATGTCGCAAAGGGCTGGATGGGCTTCGAGATTGCGAAAACTCTCTCCCGTTGTTGTGAAAACGTAATATTGAACGAGACCTTGCTTGCCGGTGTGGAGGGGGAGGTGGCGGGCCTTTCTTGGTAGGTGGTGCTCGGGAGGATGCTAATGATGATGCGACGATTGCATCTGAAAGGGCGCCTTCACTCAAACTACCCGAATCGTCACGCAGACTCGGAGTGCTACTATTGCGTTGTCGGTCGTAGATCGACGAAGCACTCGGGCTTAGTGGTCGTCTTGGGGCATCATTCTTCGCCAGAAGGGCTCGATGATTGTTTAGACCACCGTTAGGCGTAGTTGATACGCCAGGCCGTGGAGGCAATGCAGGACCTCTCTCATTTGATGAGGTAGGTACATCCCTGGGGGGGCCCAAGGAGTAAGGGCTTGGGGGCTCGAGCGAGCCCTTAGGTTCGCTGGGCTGGCCCCTTCTCGTGGCAGGTTCAGCTGACCCTGGGCTACCTGTGACTAATCGAGATTTTCGAGGTGCTGGGGGTATTGGACGTGGCTTTGCCACTGCTTGTTGAATAGATTCTAGAGGTGTATTAGGTGTTGGTATGGTCGGCTTTCGACGAATAGATAAATCTCGAGTCGGTTCAGCTTCGTCACCCTTTGAGTGTCGCCCGATCGTATTATTATTCGTTGCGATGCTCTCGGCTGAGCTTGGGCTGAACGCTTTCACATCTTGTACATTCTTTTCGTTCTTTGATTGGGGTCCATTTGTGCCTCGAGTCACACCGCTATCTGTAGCTGTTGCTGCATTTTTCCTATGTACAGGGAGATGTTCCGCAGCAAACCGGGCGGCGATCTGCTGCGGGGACTCTGGTCTAAATGTTGCTGGGCTCTTGCGAACGCTCTCGAGAGCATTCTGAGAATGGGCAGTATACCTCCCAATCTTGTCCTTTACGGAACCAACTTCGGGTGGTACTTCGGCTTCGATATCGGGACGGGGACCCGGGCCGAGATCACGTTTGTTGACATCAACGGCTCCTCCGGTTCTATGGGCGACTGCAGGCGAACTGCTTCTAGAAGCGCTTGTGCGAAAGGCAGTGGTAGCACCTTGCAAAGCCGTCACAGCATTATGGGCATGGCCGGGAGATGAATGGGGAGCGACCCGCTGGTTCACAGCGGGTGTTGAATTCGCCATTCATGAGACCCGTTTGAAGTCACTGAAACATCAAGGGAAAGTGTGCAATGCTATACGTTTCATACAGATCCTAAGAGATGCCAAAAAGGCATGTTTGATCCACTCATGCATATAAGAACCAGGAAAGAACTGATGTTTGTACCTGCGGGAACAAATTAGACACAGCGACTTGAGCTGTGCTAGGAGGTCATTTGCTGGGCTAGTCTGGATCAGGTAATCAGCTAACCTCCTACGGAAATAGTAGTTCTGGACTCGTGCGCGGGACTCGGAAGCCCTCTTTTGTATGATAATCAAGCAATGCTGGTAAACCATATATTAACCGACCAGCTCATAGCATACGTCCTACTTGGCAAAACAATTCCACGCACTCTGTGACTGTTAATTGTTCGGAATCAGGTTCTACTCGAGCAATTTATACTTAACTAATATGTCTTCTTTTCCCTTAATATATTGTTCTTGGAATTTACCTTACTTTTCTCATCCCCCTTTCTCGTTTTCCACATTTAACCGAAAGGTAAGACAGCCGGCAGTGCGGGGAATTTCAACCAATGCTCATTGTCCAATCACGGGGTCCCCGCTCTCACTCTTAGTACAGGATGTAAGTTAATATTCTGGAGAAACGTTCAATTGACCCAAATATTCTTCCCCGCTTCTAACCCTTCCAGGTTGCGCTGCGACGTAACCTCCAGCCCGGAGTTGGAGCTAGTGGATCGGTCCACTGCCTCGAAAGATTGTTGCTTGAAGAACTTTCATCATCTACCTGCAGGGTTCGAATACCTCAAGCCGGCCGATTATAGTGATGAAATGCAAGCATCGCAGGGTCTTTCGTGATGCACCTCTCGCCACTTCTATCATACGGTGATCTGTTTTGCTATCCAAGGTGCCATGCCAAATTCACAAGTACTATCTACCTTAAGGAACAATCGTCCGTGAGACGCCATGTCCCCGGAGAACCGCGACGCTGGCCCAGGTATGAATTCGGCTACATCCTCCTTCCTTCAAGGTCTTCCTGAAGTTGCCTTGTGAAAGACTCAAGAGGACGCACAGAAGAAGTAACCAGACACGTGGTAGCAGTTGCAAACCGCCATGAGGCCGAAGAAGCGACATTGAGTGATAGGAACAATTACGACCATGAAATACAGCCCATATCTACAGGCTCCAGTCAAACTAGATGTTCTATCTGCCACAGCACCTTCAGGCGACCGGAGCATTTGAAGCGTCATTTTCGCAGCCATACGAAAGAAAAGCCCTTTGAATGTACACAGTGCGGCCGGCATTTCTCGAGAACGTACGTTTTAGCTCTTGCCCAATAAACAGAGACCGATCCGGTATCTCGCAGATAAGTTGCAGCTGACACTGGTCAGTGACACACTCCATCGTCACGAGTTGAGTCACCATACCTTGGGACCAGAAGGTGGGAAGGACCGCACACATCGGATTACGGTAAAGACGTTTCGGGCTTGTTTCAAATGCGCCGTAGCAAGAGTGCGATGTAGCGGAGGAACACCATGCATCCGTTGCGACAATCGATCACTCGAATGCCAATATCCAACCGAGCGACGATCCAAAGCGAAAGCGCGGAAACAGTCATCCCGGAATCAGGACTCTGTGGACGGCTCGCCCCAGGAGCAGGTTTCTCGTCATGCCCGCTCTCCTTCTGCGACAAATCCAGACATCCATTTCGCGCAGGACCGAGGGAAACCATCTTCCCAGATTCCCGGCTACCAACTTGGTCAATTTCAGATCCAACTGTCTGGGCAAAGCTCCAAGACCGCATCCAGTTCTCAAGAACACTCCGGTGAACCTCTTAGTGACCTTCAAGATAGCCGACGAGCTTCTGAACCGGAGAATCTGCATTTGTCTAATAGCAATGGGGTGATAGATGTCTCACGATTTCCTTTTGATACATACGCGGGAGTAAACCTTCCACAGCTGTATCCGCAGATGCCCACGTCGGATATTAGGGCAACACTCTCAGGTGCCCAAGGAGCTCCATTAAACCATCAGTTTCAACCTGAGATACCAAGCCCTAGTATCAATATGGGTATGATGGTTGCACATAACCAACAGCTACAGTTGGGGTTCACACAGCCCTACTTGGATCCCGCAATGGCATCAACGATCAACTGGCTTTCGAACGATTTGTTACTTGATACCACTGGTGACCGCCCTACTGGAAACCGTCCGCCCCCGCAATCTTCGCAAGGAGGGACCATCGACAGTTCCCTGGGCCAGGCATCATGGCTTCCCCCAGTTATCAGTGCGGAAAAAACTAGTCCATCTTTACCAGAGCATGTTTATCAGACACCTTCTGGAAACACTTCGCTAGGTACTGATGTCGACAGCCCCAGACTCTTTTCCCGCGATGCTGCTCAATCATCGACGCCCCAGTCGAGGCCTTGCAACGCCTCCCAACGGTCGGCAGATTCGTACATAGACGGGGGTGGCGCTCGGCTTCCAAAATACAGGCGGAAGCAGGATCCTGGACTAAGACCTACAGGTCTAATCGATATTCGGTCTCAGTTACGTCGAGCAGGCGACCAGTCTAAATTCTCGTTCCCTACCATCCAGGGACTTAGGGAGGAAACTTCATCTGAGGAAGTAGCCTTCAATTTTCAACTCGAACCTGCAACGTATGACAACATTTACCAGGTCTTTATCCAGCTGTGTTGCACCGAGAATTTTCTCTATCCCAAGTTTGAAAACAAGGACTTTCCCCCTCGAGAAGCCCTGTCAAAGTTCGTCGAACTTTACTTTGGCTCTTTCCAGACAGTATATCCAATCTTACATGGCCCTACTTTCAATCCGAATACATGCCATTGGCTATTGACAATGGCCGTGTCAGCAATAGGCAGCTATGCTGCTGGCATTGATGAACAAGATAATTGCTCTGCAGCATTTCACGAGTTTCTCCGGCGAGCTATACGTATTGAGGTATGAGCCTAATAGAACATCCAAGTGAGGGCATCCACTGACTGCTATTAAAGAAGGAGAAGTGCCGCCCAGGACAAGTACCTTTTTGGCTTATGCAGACAATAATGCTAAATTGTGTCGGGTTGCTTCACGGAAGCAATGAGCACAGTAGAGATTTCGCGTTGGATAGTATCGGCGAACTAGTCAATCTTTCAACGCGTGAGGGGCTGTTATGTGCTTCTACCCCGTCAAGACTTTCAACAATGGACACTTCACAGGGTGCTCGTTGGGCGACATGGATTGAGGACGAAACAAGAAAAAGAACAGGCTACTTTATATGGGTAAGATATAAAAGTCGTATCTTGAGCGAACGCATAGTTGACTGAGATCATAGCTTTTGGACTGTATGCTTGCATACCACTTCGAAAGTCGGTTATTGCTCTCCCTTGATGATGGCCAAGCTCCACTGCCATCAGACGAAAACCTCTGGCGAGCAAGCTCCGTCGATGCCTGGAAACGACTTTACGATAAGACTACAGGTATCTCTCCTGTCTCTTTTCATGCGTATTGCTGTCTAACCTGCGCCCCTTAGGCCATGAGGAGGTTTCTCTCTACAACGCCGTGCTTACGTTGTATATCGAGAAGAAGCTTGTTGCTAATATAGGAGAATTCGGTCACATCTTGTTAGTCCATGCGCTTTACCGTCGGATGTGGGAGGTGGGGGATTATTTTCGCCGTCCTTTGTCGTTCTGGAATCCAACTGCCAAGAAGCAGCCAAGGGAGGCTGCAATCCCCTCGGGGTCTGTTTGGCTACCAGGTATCCCTTCGTATTCGAGATGGCGTAATAGCGCATGCGATTGCCTGGATATTCTCCATTGGGCAGCAAATAGCACGATAGCTAAGGCATCTGGCCTCGAGCACCCGACCGTTCTATACCTTCACGAGGCCCGGATTATATTGCTCGTACCATTTCATGAGATTAGGACCTTGGTAACCTCTATAGCAACAGAGAAGGTTCGATGGAGCGCGCGCCAGCAGACCATTGAGTGGCATTATATACTTCGTTGGATCAAACATGATCAGTATAAGGCTCGGCTCGCAGTTATACACGCAGGCGCATCTTTGTGGCATGTGCGAAGATACTCGACCGATGCATTTCATGAGCCGGTAGCTGTATTTCTTGCGATAATTACACTATGGGCTTATGGCATGTGTCATTCGCAGGTTTTTCCAGATATGAGGCCCCGTGGTGGGACAGATGAGAACCTACCCAGCGAGCCCACGTTCTTCCATATTGACCGTCCTTGTGACGACGAGCTGGTCCAGATCTTTGTTCGAGGAGGGCAAGGGATGAAGGGTAATGTGACTGGTGTGGGAGATATATGTGCTCCCGAAGGTCCTAAACGGATTCTCCAGGTTGGCTGCGAGACGCTCACTGGCCTTAATTCCTGGGGAATATCTAAGAGATTTATTGCAATCCTGACAAGGCTTGGAGACTTGATGTCATGCGACAAATAGCCTTGATGTACAGCTACGATTTCTTCCTCTCTTGTTTAGCACACCTTTTTTCCTTTAGTTATCCTAGTGCTCAACACCCTATCATAGCTTAGAGTATGTTAAAGAGAAATAGATTTGGCAATTATGGACAACAAATGGGAATATAGATGTGAATCTAGAAACTTTGTCCAAAGGCGGTGGTGAGCAAAGCTGATATGATGTCACATGTTTTGGGGTAAAGTCAACCTATCTTATCGTTGCCTATTGTAGCCTAGACTATAACGGAGTTACCATGCAGATATAAATAAACTATTCCATGCACTCCGCGCTCGAAACCAAGTTCATTCCCTCCATTTACGAACTAGTGCTTCTAATGAGACATGGATTCTGACGACGATTATAATGAGCCTGCCAATACCGATCCTCGCGTTCAAGATGACGAGTCTGACCTAGATGAAAAGTAATACCCAACTCTCACTCCCCTTCGCTGAACATTGCACAATTTGCTAATCTACTGGGCCCCAGATATCCCAACCGCCCACAAAATCATTCCACCACCTTACCGTTTCATGTTTTGTTCCAGACACTTTTCTATCCATTGAGTGAGATCAAAAAGAAGCCAGCTGGACCCGCGCGCAAGAAGGTCGGGCCTCATGGACTGTCCAGCGCTAATCTGACTCCATTGGAAAAAAGGCGAGATGTTATCGACCGCTTCATCTCAAGATGGAGGAAGGAGGTCGGGGACGACATATACCCCGCGTTTCGATTGATTCTCCCCGACAAAGATCGGGATCGGGCAATGTACGGATTGAAGGAGAAGGCTATCGGGAAGCTCCTAATCAGGATAATGAAAATCGATAAGCATTCGGAGGATGCCCTTAATCTCTTAAACTGGAAATTGCCGGGACAGACCACTACGTCTAGCATGGCTGGTGATTTCGCAGGCCGATGCTATGGTGTACTCTCGAAGCGACCAATGCGCACGGAAGTGGGTGATATGACCATCGAGGAAGTGAACCAGAAACTCGATCAGCTATCTGCGGCATCTAAGGAAGATCAACAGTTGCCGATATTGACAGAGTTCTACCGACGAATGAACCCGGAAGAGCTCATGTGGCTTATTCGTATCATCCTACGACAGATGAAGGTTGGTGCGACGGAGCGCACCTTCTTTGATGTGTTGCATCCAGACGCGGAGAATCTATACAGCATCTCAAGTAGTCTTCGGCGCGTCTGTTGGGAGCTGCATGATCCTAATATCCGGCTTGATGCTGAAGAAAGGGGAATTACGTTGATGCAGTGTTTCCAACCACAGTTGGCTCAATTTCAGATGCAATCACTGGATCGGATGATTGGCCGGATGAGGCTGACAGAAGATGATCCGGTTTTCTGGATTGAGGAGAAACTTGACGGGGAGCGTATGCAGCTTCATATGGATTCAGACGACTCTGTACCAGGGGGAAGAACGTTTCGCTTCTGGTCAAGAAAAGCCAAGGACTACACATATCTTTACGGAAATGGGATCCAAGATGGGAATGGTGCTTTGACAAGATATCTCAACGATGCGTTTGCAGATGGCGTGGAAAGCTTGATTCTTGATGGCGAAATGATTACTTGGGATACTGAGCAAGATGCCATTGCCCCCTTTGGCACTCTTAAGACGGCTGCATTATCCGAACAGAGAAACCCATACTCGAGCACTAGCCGGCCCTTGTTCCGTATCTTTGACATACTGTACTTGAACGGACGCGATATCACAAGGTACACTCTTCGTGACCGCCGGAACGCATTGCAAAAAAGTATCAAACCTGTTCATCGCAGGTTTGAAATCCACCCTTACGAAGAAGCTACGAGCAAAACTGAAATAGAGGAGGCACTGAGAAGAGTCGTAGAAGAGGCTTCCGAGGGCTTGGTGCTTAAGAATCCCAGGTCACCCTATCGCTTGAATGAAAGACACGATGACTGGATGAAGGTAAAACCGGAATATATGACTGAGTTCGGAGAGTCATTGGATGTAGTCGTGATCGGAGGCTACTATGGATCTGGTCATCGGGGTGGTGGCCTTTCAAGTTTCTTGTGTGGGTTAAGGGTCGATGATGCTCATTCCTCACAAGGAGGGGTGGCATCTAAGTGCTATTCTTTCTGCAAGGTAGGAGGAGGTCTTACTGCAGCTGATTATGCAAACGTTCGACACCACACGGACGGTAAATGGCACGAGTGGAAAGCCAAGAAGCCTCCCACAACATACATTGAATTGGCAGGCGGAGATGCGCAGTACGAGCGCCCAGACATGTGGATAAAGCCCGAAGACTCGGTGGTACTCTGCGTGAAGGCAGCTTCAGTAGCTGTCAGTGATCAGTTTCGTATCGGACTGACTCTACGCTTTCCGCGCTTCAAAAAGCTGCGTATGGACAAAGATTGGAAAAGCGCTCTATCAGTGCAAGAGTTCCTCGACCTCAAAGCCAATGCGGAACAAGAGCGCAAAGAGAAAGAATTCAATGTGGATAATTCGCGCAAGAAACGGGCGAAGAGGGATAACAAAAAGCCTCTAGCTATTGCAGGGTACAACGCGGAAGCAGAGGCTCAGTACGCCGGCCCATCTGGGTATATCTTCGAAGGGCTAAATTTCTGTACGTTGCAAGGCCGGAGGTATCGTCAAAGCACAAACTGATAAAGTCACAGACATCACAACTGACTCAAGCACACCGGTCAAAAAGTCAAAGGCGGAGTTAGAACAGCTCGTCAAAGCTAATGGGGGCAAGTTCTTTCAGACGAGTAATGCTGCTCCTAACACAATTTGTATCGCAGATAGAAGTACGTGTGCCTCGGAAGACTCCTCGGACCATTGGCATTAGCTGACATGTTACGCAGGGACAGTAAAGGCCGCGTCTCTTCAAAAGAGCGGCAATGTCGATATTATACGGCCTTCTTGGATTCTTGATTGCATCAAGCAGAGTGAAATTGATGTGGGTTTGCCTGGTTCTCTCCTTCCTCTAGAACCTAGGTACGTCGATTCGGTCTGGAACAGGGTTCCTGATCCACTAACCCGCATCCAGGCACGTTTTCTTCGCGACACCGGAAAAAAAGGAGGAGATTGCAGCCAGCGTTGATCGGTTCAATGATAGTTATGCGCGCAACACCACCAATGACGAGCTAAAGGAGGCAAGCATCCCCGCTCAGTACAGAATGCTATAACTTGCTGACTGTTGTCAAGGCCTTGAAACAAATGAGCAAGGATCATCGCTTTGAAGTTTCTCAGCATCCCGAAATCACCCGAAAACTCAACGAGCGTATTCAGGAGAGAGTCAGTGCCGGATGGGAGATGCCTTCCGGATGGCTGTTCAAGGGTTTGACCATCCTCTTTCCAGAGAGTGAGAAAGTGGACGAGGCAGAAGTACACGAGACACCACAAACCCATCAGCAATACCGTCTTCATCTAGCACGCAGCACTGCGCGATTTGCAGGAGCGAGTGTTGTGGATTCGAAATCTTCGTCGGTAACTCACATCGTCATAGCTCCGGATAGCCCAAATTCAGACGTCTCTTCAATCCGCAAATCATACTCAGCGAGACCGGGGAAGAAGCTGCCACACCTCGTCACTGTCGAATGGATAGAGGAGTGCTGGAAACAGCGGACGCTGTTGGATGAAGAGGGTATGTTGAATCCTGGCCATGGTACACTAGGACTCCTCCATTCTGATAATTTCCTATAGGGTTCCAGCCTTCCAGAGGTACCTAAACGGGCAACTCGCATAATCCCCTCACTAAGAATGCACTCAGTCGTTGGGCATTTCCCATGGACTTAAATCAAATTCAAATGTATACACCGGTGCTGCTGACGATGCGCAACATGCCTTCCCAATTGTACATACATACATACATACATACATACATACACTCAGTTTTGCATAATGACACACCCAATCCTACTTTCCCAACTATTTGGTTATCTGCAATACTGCCCAAACACGGAACAGCGGGAGTTTGCTCCAGGAGCACGGCGTAAAGTTAAGCCCAACCAGAGAATCCAACCTCTACCATTGGACAGAGATAAGGCCTACAGGGGAGAAATAAGATGAGTCCATGGATAACGGTGACCTGGCTGAGTATTACAGCCTGAATGAATACCATATACCATACTGTACTGAATACCTCGAGGGGCTTCAGTGACTGTAAACAAAACAAGGCCCTTTCTGTATTGGGTTTAGCTTGTGTCTTAGTTTTAGATGGTTCAAGATCCAACCCTAATGAATGCAACCCGGACTTATTCGATATGTACATATGAGATCCTCCCAACTCTCAACTCTCGACAGAAAGAGGACCTCATAGGAACCGCGATTCCTCGTCTTCTAACAGCCAAAGTAGGATCTCGTGTTAACTTTCATGAAAAGTTGGTAGCTAGTAGTCTCGTCGTTCTAGAACTTGAAACTCTGCTGCTTTGCTCGGCCTGATCGACATTATCTCTATAATATCATGTCCTCCTCCTTCCCTAAAATTAAGAGTTATATGTGTGCCAGTCGATAGTCAGTTAGTAATTCACCTATCTGGTAGTGTATCTGAGGAATAATATAGGCTGATAATAAAAATTGAACAAGAAGGGCCCACTGGCATTTCATCCTGTCTAGGTACAGAGACTATGTATGACTGTTCTTATGTCAGACTATTTTTTTGTTTTTCTCATTCCGTCCTTACTCTATACATAGAAGGAAGTTCTTCTCACAATAGCCTCCTATATGCCTAAAGAGATTCAAACTGCAGCTAGGACACAAGCCGACGGCCATTTCTGCTATGCATATAAAGAATGATATTATATGTCAGCTCATCGTAAGACTTAGTTGGCCTTGAAATGCCGGCGAATGGATATGTGCGTTAATGAAAAGACAGTAATGTTTACTCACACAACTAGCAAGCATGGGGAAAGGCTTACAATCCTACCTTGGTCATGTTTTTCAAATGCTACAGATGAGTGTCAAGCCAAATTAGCCTAGGCAATGGTATCGCTGACCAGATTGAAGAACAGTAGTTAGCACAACCGGAGTCAATATCAAGGATACCTACCTTTACCATCATACTGACTGCTGACTAGCATTCTATTGCTGAATTCCCCCAAGGGAAGTATTGAGTCCGTAACTCTACTCGCCTTTGGGCTTTTTATTTAATTAAAGTGTCCTCTACATCAATATCAACTCCAGGTTGACCCGCAATGAGCCCTAATTCACCCTCGACGGGTATCACGCCGGAAAAGCATTGGGAGGACTGGTAATTTCCCCCGTCTCCGAAACATTCGGCAGGCGATGGCACACCGTAAACGCTGGACTCGCACTCGGACTAAGCTCTGCGGTCTACATCGCCTCCGTAGCGAGCTGGTAAGTCTGATACATATATCTCGCCAAGAATGCTGTCAATAGTGACACAGCGGGCAGAATACGACTTTTCTGCAGCGCAACCATCGTCACATTCACAACCACCCCCCCCTATTCATCATCACCGCACTCTGCTCCTCAAGCTGGGTCATCGTCTCTCTTTTCACCGAATCGTTGCTCCCCAAGTACACAAACCTGGAAGTAAACCGGAACACATATGGAAGGCAGATCTAAGGAGGTTCAGTGATATATGTTATTCGGGAGAACCTGTTAAGCTTCTTGATACAATTGAGAATGCTTCTTAGTATAAGAGTTTTCGCAAGAAGAGAAAGGGATTCTGATACAGGGCGCTGTCTAAGAATAGAAATGCGTCAGGCAAAGCAAGACCCATACAGACTTACTTCTGATAGATGCAGCTGCGGGCAGTCCTGTCCGAAAAGTATGTACCCAGTAGTAGAAGAATATGTATAGACCGTCGATCCAGGGTCCTAGTACTGATAGTTTCGCACTATCCAGTGCGTAGTTAGAGACTCACAACTCTGAGAATGTGCGCATAGTTCACTATTTCGCAGCCTATACAATATATCCAGTCAATATAGTGGTGGGTAACATGGATGAAATGGGCATGTTTCAGCAGTCTTCACCCTGAATATATGTTAAGTCTTTCCCCTTCACCTTTGAGCATGTGGATGGATTTACAGAACTTTCGACACGGATGTGGTTTTGCAGTAGAAGAGAAAGCGAGATCTTCTCATTTTTCTCATCGCTCACACTTCTGTCTAGGGACTGAAGCCCGAAAGAGCATCGAGACAGTGTTCGATCATGCCTCCGTCAAGATTCCTCAACAGCTATCAAGTTGAAATTGATCAGAACCATGCTTTTGGTGCCGTTTTGATCGAATGACCACAAAACCCCCAAGATCCCAGGACAATTCTGCGAGTCTGTTACTAGCGCTATCTCGGTATAACTATCTGTATACCAATAATCGAGGGCCGTCCAAAGTCTTTTCCGGCTCCGTTCCTAATCAGCTATAACGAGTACGGCGTTTCATAGTTGCAAGAGAAGTTGAATAGTCAAATTGAAAATGTAGTGTGGATTCAGTAATATGCTCCACTTCCATACAAAGAAGCTCGACAGGTGACTAAAGCTTTACCTGATATGGAAGCAGTGGTCTAGGTTGATTCACGTGGCTTGGTATCTGCTATATCAAAATATGTATCAACGCGAGATAAATACAAGACAGGGTTCTAGGTAGATTGGATAGCCTATATTGAAGTCCTTTCACACGATCTCAAACTGTTCCTTAAACTGTTCCATAGCTAACATGCTATCCAAGAAGACGAAACTTACCTTATGACGTTCCTCAAATAATAGGTCCGAATAAGTGCAGTATTAGATACTGAGAAGCGTACGATTTACTTCGAGTTTAGCGGTAAATTTCAATCAATGAATCCCAAAGTCCCATGATAATCACAATTAGTTATACTTCAATGTTTCCACGTTCCCTCGGAGCTGGGCAAAGTAACCCAAGATTTGGAAGGATTCTATTTCTCCGATACGACCATTCCACGTTAGGACGCTCCTATAATACAGAGCATCCGTCTCTCACTTCTCGCTAGTCTTATCTTGGTCAGAAGCACTGTAGCCTGTAGGCAGACAGTGACTAGGGTATGTACTGGTACTAAATCTGTAACCCTGTCGGCGTATCGTAATCACTGACGGGGGTGGTGGCCTGAACTTCCAGGGATGATAAGTACGAGACATGGTGGTATTTTATTCCTCGAATCTATTTGGCTTACCTTATCTTTCTTTGGTTGCTCTACCGCGTGATGGAAACCTCGGGTCAAGTGATTAAAAGAGTAATGACGTTGATTTGATTGCTCAGAAGTTTAATCACGCTCATGTGACGTTATGAACCCACGGCATGTCCATCGATGACAAGCCCTTTCAATCTGATTCTTTTCGAACTTGACTTTCTTCCCCATATTGTGGAGTACAGGTTTGTAAGCAAGTCTGGTTGGTCTTGACCATCCAAAGATCCCTGAACGCCTTCGCTCCAGTCTGTATGCCCAAAATGCAAAATGTAGGTCGCTCAATATTTACAATAGCCAATATAGCCCAGAGAACTTAAGAACACACACACAAAAGAAAATAAAAATAAAAAGACAAAGAAAATTGAAAAAGAAAGTGAGATGCGAGAAAAGGGGAATCATCGCACCATGCGTTGCGCTAATGAAGGGAATATTCCAATGCCTCCTATATGTGAACTGAACACTAAGAGTGTGGATATCACATGCTGTCAGCGGAGATCCCAACCCATCTAGATGGAATGGCATGTTCTTCTTCGTCTTCGTAATAATCGTAAGGGCTGTTTCGGGTTTGATTGTCCTTGCGAGGTGGTAGCCAAACTCGTGCCCGTGTAGGAATGTCGTCCCGGAGCTTGCCGCTGCGTCTCATGTTCATTTCCATAACGACTGTGCGCAAAAAGTCACTGTTTTCCCGGGGTTCGCGCTGGCGGGACATCGGTGGGACCTCCGGATCGAAAGGAGAAGAATATCGACCACGACCCTTCGACCCCGACAAGTGGAACCGACTCTTTCGAGAGCCCCGTTTTCCCGACCGGTGATAGGTCTGCATCTGCACGGAAACGGGGCAATTGCTAGTGTCAAGGTTTTCATGTGGGTGCTCCTGATAAGCATAAATTTCTGCGGGTGAAACCGTAACAGGATTGAAATAGCGCCGGAGCGCCGGAGAAGGTGGTTCGTTCATGGGCGGAGGCCGACGGTCATCCGTCATCTTCGGTGTGATCGTAAGAAGAGACCGAGTGAGGAAATCATCGGGCTGAACCGAGGGCGTAGCGAACGTTGAAACTGTCTGTGCCGCAGATTTTATTGCTCGCAGTGACGCAGTGAGGTTGGACTTGAAAGTGGACCCTAGCCGTGGGAAGGATCGAGATGGTGAAGATTTCGCTGGAGTGCTGTCCAGGAAGGCAGGCTGCTGCACAGCCTCCCATTCGGAGTCTGATAGTTCGTCCTCTAATAAGGGATGGTCTAAAGCACAACTTTCATACTGCGACAGGCGTAGGTATCGTCTCTCGCACGGGCTTCGTTGGCTAGAAGGTGTAGAGGGTATGGGAGACCCAGATGGCGACTCGAATTCCGCGTCCAACGATGGGACCGACTCGATAGACAGAGAATGGGCGGATAATGATGGCGCTTCGCTATCGCTATCACAATTGCTTCCACTCGCGAACCGGTCATTATCTTCAGGCGGGCTAAGGAGGATGTCGAGCATGGTGTTGCCCGTACTCTCCATTAAGCTATCATCTCTAGACTTGACACCTTCTAACAACAACTTGCTGAAATCTTGTACATGATTGCCTTGGGGTATTTTTCGAGGCTCTCGAGCATTGCGCTTGCGTCGAGGCACCGGGATGGCGGTGGCTTCCAATATCGAAGCAATAGAAGTAGGTACATGACGGTCACCCGAGGCTGCCGACGATGCTCTATGGGTAGTCTTTGCACCTCTGAGAGTCTTTGGACCCTTTCTCGCAGGGTCTCTCTGCACCGGGGTCACCCGAGGACCGCGTTTGGGGGGGATAATGACTGGGCTGGTGTGTGGGCTTTCCTTGTGAAGCTCGAGGCCTGAGACGTCCTGCACAGCAACAAAGTCAATCTCGGATTTCGAGAGTTGACTTTTCTTCCCATCGTGCAGGGGAGAGACGGGGCTGAACAGAAAGGCCCTAGGAACCATCATCTTCACAGTTTATAACCGAAGTACAGTTGGTTGGCAAGACGTCCCAGGCCAGACGAGGCACTCTGATCGAGTTTCTGAGCGAGATACATGGATGAATGGTGGGACGACGAAGGAGAAGGAAGAGAAGCGTCCAAAATGGAAACTCCTCCTAGGGAGGCAGTCGAATAAATATGCAAAATATGTCAAGGGTGCTGTGTTGGCAGAGGGCGAGCGGCAGTGTCAGCCAAATGAAACCCAATGCGGGAAGCCGCCCGGATGTGTATGCAGGCACGCGACTTTGCGGATATTAATGGATACTGATCACTGTGATCGGATCCCGGCGGTATGTTTCCCAGACGAAACCAAAATAGAGGAGAGTTCAAGTTTAAGAAGATGGATATCCCCCCCGGGGAATGATAGTAAGATGCGAGCAGGAGGGAAGGAAAACAAAGAATGACCTCAAGACTTGAGTGCGATAAGAGAGTGACGGTAGGAGGATCGGCTTTAAGGTTGACCGTAACTTCGTTTGGATAGGGTAATTTCCAATACCTATTTTCGATACGTAGAGACTAACTTGCCAGGGTTAAGCGTGAGACAGTGAAGAAAAAGAAAGAGTGAGGCGGGATGGCTGGGTTTGGGTGGTAAGGACAGACAATGCCGAGCCCCGGAAACAGTATGGTGACGCTCAAGTGCGGTAAGGCCAAGGCGCCCTAGTGGGCAGTGGAATAAAATTACAGAGCGCAGTGGTACGACGCGCGTACGGTATGTTCTCGAAGATCCAAATGCAACTTCGCCAGCAATGTGGGTTGGGTACAAAGAAGCCTTCAGGCGCTCCACTTGGAAGTTCCATCTTCCAGGGTTACGTAAAACTGTATCGCTTTCTATTGTTTCAACCTTCCCCAGTTAGGTAAGGTTGTTATGGGAGGCACTGACTAAATCTACCCAACCACCTAACAATCAATAATAATAATGATAATAATAATAAAATAAATAATACAGAGATAGATCTATTTTTCCCCCTTTCCCTTCCTTTTATTTTTTTTGTTTACATTATTTTACTTCTGTGCGATGGAGAACTGAGCACATCTTGCACAATAAATGTAAATGGTACTGTGCAGAGTACTTAATTCTCCATACCATCCGAACTTCGCTCTCGAATAATTAGGTAGTCCCTGAACATCAACCGTAGCCGAGCGCCTTCATGATTGGTCTCCCTATATTGGACTGCATGGTATGCTACTCGGTAGTGCTCCCTTGGCACCAGCGCCTATGCAGGCTTTGCATATTTATCAATTCGATTAATTGGTTCAGGGAACTCTGTATGAGCTGGTTTGTTATTGTTCTGACTCTTAAAAGTAGTAAAAGAGTAAAGTACGGACTGTACAGTCAACTGATCAACTAGGAGTTTATGATATCGGTTGAGTTATGATACCATTGCCTGACTAACTAATCAAATAATCAGCGGACATTACCAGGGCACTCTAATTATTATTATTATTATTATTATTTGTTTTTTTTTTTTTTTTGTTTTTTTTTTTTTTTTTTTTTTTTTTTTTTTTTTTTTTTTTTTTTTTTTTTTTTTTTTTTTTTTTTTTGTTTTTTTTTTTTTTTTTTTTTCCATCCCTGTTTCAAAAACAGAGGCAAATGATAAAAATACTTCTTCTATGGCATTTTTCACCTCGGTTCCGGAAGCATGGATGCCGATTCAATTTACTGGAACTCCCATCCCATGGCACTAAACCAGATATGGTAAAGGGACTTGGCATCAGGTAATAATCTGTATTGGGTGCATAAGATCTTCATCGTGCCTTTGTTACTACTCGTAGTTTTTCTAAGCTGGAATACGATGCGTTGTCGGTGTGCATATGTTGGGCAAGAGCGGTAAGGGAAAAGTTGGGGTTTCAAGCCATGTCCGGAGAGGAATCTATCTCTTAGAAGACCTCTTTTGTTGGGCCCTGAGAGGCGTCGTACTTTGTACACCAGAAAAATCACACGGGATGTGTAGGGAGATATCGGGGGTACAGCACGGAGTACGTAGTATGTAGCTATTCTTCATATGGGTAAAGTTAATAGAACAAACTGAGGTCATGTACAACTTTTGTTCAGATTTCCAACTTTTCTTATAATACAAAGCCGCTGATTGGTGAATAGACTTGTTCGGAGGGTGACGGATAAAAGGACTACATCCATACAGGCACCCACGTAGCCCTAGAATCAGGGGGTTGTAGGATATATATCGAGAGATGAGACAATCCCTAAGACACTCATGAGTGAGCACAATAAATGTACTAATAACAAATGAATCGACCGCAAAACAAAAATGCGATGAAATGACATGAAAGACGATGTTTATCTTAGTCAGCGAAGGCGGTGACCGCTTATCGCGCGATTCGCTCTCCAACCCAATGATTCAGAATGAATTGCTGCCAGAACGAGAGCCTCGATGGATGATGGGCTGCAGGAAGCTATTAGTAGTCTAACAGCTACTAGTATCTATCGTGCCTGATTGTTCTCTGAGCGTCATCCTAGTCCAATCATCGTCTGCGCGTCTCATCCAGACACTTATCTCTGTCAAGTCCGAGCCGACACTGCCCTGCAGGTCCCGATAGAAATCCCCTCTATCGACGGCTCCCCGCCTCCACTTGCGGGTCATTAGCAGTCTGGGGGCGACCTATCTCATTCCATCTACCCCCTTGAATGATCTGTGCTCATCGATCTGCGTGATACTGGACAATTGGTGTTTGCCCATCCACACACTAGCCGCCGCGCCCTGTATAGCTAATGCGCCCATCACAAGACTGGGATCTCTGTGCCGTGCCCTCACTACCAGCAACATAATCTGCAGGTCGCCTCTTGCCTACCTCCAAGACCCCGTGGCATCCATTCAAAATCAAAGCACCAAGTGCTCTCCCCACGTCCGATAAGTATGCTCCGCTCTGACCCCACGCTTTATCCGAACATTCTTGGGTGGACATGACCAGCATGAACGAGGGCTCTACGGAGAAGTGGCCAGAATTGGCCATGGAGTCATCAACATTCAAAGTACCTCGAGGAAAGTCGAGTGCGCGGCCCCAAACAATGAACACAGATAGCGGCTCTACTTCCAAGAGGCGCTGTGTCAGCACAGCCTGTATCGCTTGTCGCCGAAGGAAATCGAAGGTACAGGAGCTACTTCCATTGCCTACATCAACTTCACATCTAATGTTTGCTCCCAGTGCGATGGCAATCTACCCAGCTGTGCAGCCTGCTCCTCAGTATACCATACGACCTGTAAATTTCACCTCATCAACGAAGGTGTAACGCGATAGGCATAACTAACTACGTCTTAGGCATTTATGATCCAAATTCCGACCATCGTCGCAAAGGGGTGTATAAGAAGGACACCGATACGCTACGGACGAAGAATGCGACTCTATTGACCTTGATACAAGCCATACTGAACTATGAAGAAGAGGATGCTTTCGACTTGGTGCGGCAGATACGATCCTGCGACAATCTAGAGGATGTAGCACAGTCGATCATGGGTCAGGAAAGGGGATCTACGTCCACTTCCAGGGATCCCGTACCTAATGGAGATTATGACCCCACACAGGCAGATCAATTTGAGTCGGAATTGGCTGGAAGGATGAGTGGTCTTATGCTGGACGGCTCTCGGAAGTTTATTGGCGGCACTTCGAACCTCATCTTTTTGCCGCCCGGGTCGGAGCTTTATGAATATAATGCGGACTTGGAGGGCCAGAGTGTCGGTCATACACACGATCGCTCCATTACCCGATGGACGAGAGTCACTTCGGATGAACAGTTACTTAGCCACCTCATGACGATGTACTTCACATGGCATTACCCTTTTTTCACAACCCTCTCAAAAGACCTCTTTTATCGCGATTATGTTCATAATGTTTCCGGCCAGTATTGTTCGTCCCTGTTGGTCAATGCAATGCTAGCTCTTGGCTGCCACTTCAGCTCTTGGGACGGGGCCCGGGAAGACCCTCAGAACCCGGCGACCGCAGGAGATCACTTTTTCAAGGAAGCAAAAAGGCTTGTGCTCGAAAATGATGAACATGCAAATGCGAAACTTTGCACGGTGCAAGCTCTCGCCCTCATGTCTGTCAGAGAGGCTGGGTGTGGTCGTGAAGGCAAAGGCTGGGTCTACAGCGGCATGAGCTTCCGTATGGCATTGGATTTAGGGCTAAACTTCGACTCAACCAGCCTTGGAGCTCGCAACCTTGATGAGGAGGAGGTTGACGCACGGCGAATTACTTTCTGGGGCTGTTACCTCATTGACAAGTACTTCCCCCTGCTACCTTATATAGATGCTAGAGGAAATGGCTAACTATCATAGATGTTGGTCCAATTACCTCGGTCGCCTTCCTCAACTGGCGGCTACTAGCGTGAGTGTACCAAAGATTGACATTCTGCCCAACGAGGAAGCAGAATTGTGGTCTTCCTACACTGATGCTGGGGCGAGCCTCGAAAATACACAACCATCACGGACCAGAACGGTGGCATTGCAAATATCCAAACTGTGTGAGATCAGCGGTGATCTACTCGTGTCTTTCTATGATCCAACCCCCCGAGATAAACCCCTCTCGAAACAGGTTGAACTGAAGAAGCTCAGCGAAATTCATACGAGGCTTGAGGCATGGAAGAAAGACTTGCCGAAAGAGCTAGAGCCAAAAGAAAGGCTGTTACCTCAGGCTTTGCTCATGCAGTAAGCTGAAAATTGCCTTTCCTTGATATTCTGTAACACGAATACTGACACAGTTGCAGTATGTTCTACCAACTGCTCTTCATACACCTTTATCGTCCTTTCCTAAAGTACACAAAGTCAAACTCGCCTCTCCCCCAACACGTCTCCCCCCGTAAGCTGTGCACGCAGGCTGCTTCCGCCATTTCAAAGCTGCTCCGGATATACAAGCGTACCTACGGGTTCAAGCAGATCTGCAATATTGCAGTATACATGGCTCATACCGCCTGTACCATCCACCTGCTCAACCTCCCGGAAAAGAACGCTCAAAGAGACGTTATTCATTGTCTCCGGCACCTCGATGAAATGGGCGAAAGCTGGCTTTGCGCTCGACGGACCCTTCGAATCCTGGATATATCGGCCAGTAAGTGGCAAGTCGAGTTGCCTCCAGAGGCGGTTATCGTTCTCGAGCAGACACATCTGAAATGGGGTTCATGGGGTTCATGGGACCAAGCATCATCGCCCTCCACCTCTGAACAGTCTCCATCGTCTGTTGCAGCTCAACCTCAACCTCCTGCAACAATCTCAAACAGTGTACCGTCGCCTGGCCAGTACGCTCCCACAAGTGAGCCGGGCGATCCTTCATTTCAAGGCCCTTCCAATGCACTTGGATCTTTAGGCACCCAGTATGCGACAGGGGTGCCGATTCCCACTTCTTTGTCCGCCATGCGAGCAGCTCAGCGGTATTCAAGTGCACAGCTGCCACGAACAGATGCCCAATTACCAGAGCCAACATACCTGCGGCCTGTATCACATGCTTACGGCTCAATGCATCCTGTTCCTCTCTCTCAGCGTGACTCATGGTATGATCCGAAGGATGCACAAGGTCGGTCACTAGGTACTGGTCAAGATATTGCATCCACATCAAGCGCATCTCCAATGACTGGATTTGGTACGCCGGAGAATTTAGTTGAGGAAAGCCAAGATTGGTGGTTTCGGGATGCGAATGCGTTTAATCCAGGATATGAGAATTGGAAAGAAGGCTGGAACTCTACTATGACTGGGATGACGCCCGACTTCCGCTTCGTCGGGCAGGTATCCGGGTCTGACAATACCTCCAGGCCTGAATCAGTCAGATATGCTGTGGGATATCCTCCTAATATAACACAATCGGACGAGAACCCCGCTATCCCGAGATACAATGATGTAGTTTATCCGAGAAACTACCAGTCTTGACCTCTACGGCATTTCTAGGTACGACCTGTATTATGACTTATCATTTGGGATGTTGGTTATTTTATGATTTTAATGAGGGTACGGTCTTTCTCTTTGTTATCTTCATGCTCCCTTTCCGGTGTTTGTAAAAAGACGTATATATACTGTACAGGTTACGAACCTCTTTCGTTTTTCAGGGTATTATCTGGCACGATTTTGTATAATTTTTCTCTATCGAGGTCCTTGCTGCACGAATGCTCACCGTATACATCAAGTTGTCCGGAGCCGCATGGATATATCCCGAGGGTGACTGAAATCTTATATTCAATGTAATAATTTATGCTAGAAGTTGCGTTGGTGATAGCCTCCAGCAAAGAAAAAAAGAAACAGTACGTCCGAGATATTGAATAAATATCACCCTCTAAGATATGGACACTTCGACCTCAATGGACATATGAGTAGACAGAATGGATCGTTCCTCGCTTTCAACAGATCATAAAGGTAGCTCCAAGGTTCAACTTCGAATGCAAAGTATGCTCAACAACACCATACTTCTAGAATCATGGCTGGGTCTTGAATAAAAGAACTGGTACGGGCCGGCCTATATAAGAATGTAGATAGGACAGAAAGGAAGTGAAATTATGCGTCAGTGGTATCACTACTGAACTAGTTAGAATGCGCGAACGAGCAAGTCTACGGTTTGGCACGATGTCTTGGGCAGAAAAGGGAGACATACCAGGAAATAATCTGCAACAGGCTTTTTGGCGGGCATGCCCCTTGTATCCTGCGCAGCGGCTTCAAAAACCCTGTACCTTCTTCCGGGACTCCTCACGCCTGGCTTGTCGGTCGTCATAATGCCGTTGCTCCGTCCGTAGTCACCATTACTCCTAGTTACCGTACCCCCGTTGCTTGTGTCTTCGCCGAGTTCCAGAATGGATGCCACGTTTCCACATCGATAGCAGTAGTTGGGGGCTGACCAGACAGTGACGATCCCGCCGTCGAACATCTCCTTATAGCCCTCCATCACAAGCTGATGGGCACGCGCAATCAGGGAAAGGTCGTTTCTGTAGTTAAACTGCTTCACGATGTCCCCGCCGAACAGGAACCCGGCACCGCGCGGGCTCAATCCCCAGCCGTCAATTTCATCAGGGTCCGACCATAACAGGTCGCACATGGCACCTTCATGGGGGACTTCTTGTTTTCTGTCGATTAAACGGATCTTGTCGACTGTGTCGATGAGAGGGGAGAGGCCGCCGTGCACACAGAGGACTGCTCCGGTTCTGCTCGAATAGCTACCCGCGCCTTCTCCCGAGGCACCTGTGCCGGGCGCACCTGTTCTGAGGGGTGCCTGGCTTGGGATATCCCCCATGTTTCTAGTCTCTGTTGATGCATCCGACGAGGCACCCTGTCTTGGTCGGTATGAGCTGTATGTGACTTCTCCCTTCGAATTCAGTACTTCGGTCTCCAGCTCTGCGTCGTCGATCGGCATAGTGGACTGAGTAGAATCGTTCATAATGGGCCCTGTCGGTTCAAGTTCCGAACTTGTTCCAAGAACAAGGGCGCCTAGCGCCAAATAATCGAAGACTTCACAGCAATAACGCCATACGTTGGCGCTGCCATATTTCCGAATACACTCGTCATAGAAGCCATAGACTGTTGTGATTTGGCGCGACTCGTGATTTCCACGAATGAGGGTGATACGGTCTGGATAGCGCACTTTGAGGCAGAGAAGGAGGAGGAAAGACTCAAGGGAATAGAATCCGCGATCGACAAAGTCGCCCATGAAGAGATAGTTGGTGTCGGGGACATCTCCTCCGACTCTGAAGAGCTCCATCAAATCATGAAACTGGCCATGAATATCGCCACAAATCGTGACTGGCGCATCTACACAAACAACATTTCCTTCTTCTATGAGGAGCTCTCGCGCCTTGTAGCAGAGTTCACGGACCTGGGTTTCGGGTATCAAGCGACAGGCGCGTAGTTGGGCAATCGCCCTACATCACAGATAGGAGTTAGTTTCGGCGTTCCTGGAGCATGTAAAAGAATTTGTCCATCATGTACCTATCGAGATCGCTCATGGTGAGTTAGCGCAAAAGATAGAGACTGGGAATGGATCGATAGGTGAGTCGAAGCAGAGGGGTGGTCGGTGGGTCCTGACTCCAGCGAAGAGTCGGGGGGAGAGAAGAAGCCGAGTCGGTTGAGCCTGGACAGTCCAGGGAGCAAAAAGAATGTCTACCGTTATGTTGACGGCAAAAGAGCGATCATTTTCTTGTTTGATGCAGCATCCAATAAGAGAACACGACAGGGGATCTCCAAGACACTGGGCAGGTTCGCTGAACTGGGGGAGGTTCTTTTTCCGTGGCGCGCCAACAAGCTGACGGGACTCTCGCGGTTTGGCGTCCGAGTGACCCCCAGCCAATCAGCGTCGCCAGAGATAAGATTAGATCTGATCGCCAAGCCTAGTCCGAATTCTTCGTCGAAGTCCTTCCCAGTGGACGTCCGTTGACTCCGTTGACTCCGTGCTTCGGTCTCCCCCGGCCTACCCTATACTCCTTTCGCTCTCCCCACTACCATTGGCGAGGCCATGCCTCCCTTCTGGGCGACTCCCTCATCGTTTCTTTAATCCGCCTTGAAGTGTTCCTCGCAAGGTGTGTCAATTGATTCCTGCCCCATTCTGGTCCCTCACTAACGAGGAGTTTCACACAGTGAAGTCCTTCCATGCCGGAGTAACACTCAGTGCACTTGAAAACACACAGCTTCTCCCCTCAATTATCATCAATATGCCGCCACATCTACATCCGCGGTCGCGGTCGACGTCCTCTCTTTTCGCAGCCACTCTTCTTGCGTCTCTTTTCGTTGTCGGCCTGCCACACCTTTTCCCTTGTCCTGCTCCGCGTCGTACCCTCGCCGATTCAGAGATGCTTGTCACTGCAGATGGGCAACAAATCCCCCGAATTCGAAGGAGGAAGAGGAAGGATGCCGAAATGCTTGGCCCAGAAGGAAATGCCCTCGCCCAGACACACCAAACACCTGACGAAGTGTCAACATTCCTGCAATTGGAGGAGGAGGCTGAACGATTGGCCAAGGCGGGAAGAGAGTGTCCTGTTCCAAAGCCTGGCGGAGTTCTAGGCGAATTGCTTGGCTTCTCAAAAGGCGTCAACGAAAATTAGAGGAGCCACGACGCAGATGTCAACGGTCGAGCCTTCCTAGCCACGAGATGCAAAGGAAGGTGCTGTATACAAGCGGGGGCTGTGCCATTACGAGAGATACATTATGAATTGGGTCGCTGGAATGTTGGACCTACTGTTTAGAATATCTATTAGCATTGGGTCATGCCACGGAGGCACCAAACTCAATGCCAACAATATACCCATGTACAGATAGTCATCTGAAGCCATGATGCACAATGGCATTTTTATGTCTACAACTTGACTCAATCAATTTTTAAGAAAGCATCTTTGATTTCTCTGTCTCGATTGCGCCTCCCTTGCTTCGGGTCGGTGCTGTTGCAACGCGACGTATCTGGAATAAAAATCCCGCTAAGCCGGAAATGGTCAGATATCATTGGTTCTCCCGCCTGAGGCCACATGCAATTCTGGCACAACATCAACGATGGAGTTGAAGCGCTTCATCCACGAACTGTGCCTGGACCCCAGGCATACAAAATGGATTGCACCGCTTCTTATCGTAGGCGATGCCTTCCTATGTGCTCTTATCATCTGGAAGATCCCATGTAAGTTCTCTTTTTTTGGGCCTGTACTGTGATCATTGTGGAGCTGACCGTTGCGACTACATTTAGATACTGAGATCGACTGGACGACATACATGCAGCAGATAGCTCTTTACATCTCTGGTGAACGTGACTATACCCGGATCCAGGGATCCACTGGACCCCTTGTATACCCAGCCGCCCACGTATATAGCTACACAGCACTCTATCACCTAACAGATGAAGGCCGAGATATTCTTTTCGGACAGATATTATTTGCTGTCTTCTACCTTGCCACGCTAGCGGTTGTGGTGGCTTGCTACAGGCATTCAGGTGCTCCTCCATATCTGTTTCCTCTTCTTGTCCTTTCCAAGCGGCTCCACAGCGTCTTTGTTTTGCGCCTTTTCAATGATGGCCTTGCGGCCTCTGCCATGTGGATAGCGATTCTGCTCTTCCAGAATAAAAAATGGACGGCCGGTGTTACAGCTTGGTCTGTTGGGGTTGGCATTAAGATGACCTTACTGCTCCTTGCGCCAGCCATTGCGGTGGTAACTGTGCTCAGCCTTTCCCTCGTCCCGAGTATTCGACTTGGAATTCTAGCATTGCTCATCCAGGTACGTATGCTTTACTCAATCAGGGAAGTTAAGCTATGGCTGACTTACAGATGTTTAGGTTCTACTAGCGATTCCCTTCCTACAGGGTAACCCTACAGGATACGTCGCGCGGGCCTTTGAGTTGACTAGACAGTTCATGTTCAAGTGGACTGTCAATTGGAGATTTGTGGGTGAGGAATTGTTTCTATCCAAACAGTTCTCTTTGGCCTTGCTAGCCTTGCATATTTTTCTGCTGGGATTATTTGTTGCCACAGGCTGGTTACGACCGTCGGGATCTAGCCTCCCTGGCTTCCTCCGGAACCTCCTCCGAGGACGCCAACGCACCGTGGTGCTTTCCAAGTCTTTCATAATGACCGTGATGCTGACATCGCTTGCAATCGGATTGTTGTGCGCAAGGTCCCTTCATTACCAATTCTTTGCCTATCTCTCCTGGGCTACGCCTTTCCTTCTCTGGCGGGCTGGGTTCCATCCGATCCTTATATATGCGATCTGGGCGTTGCAGGAGTGGGGTTGGAACGTCTATCCAAGCACCAATGCCAGTTCTTCGGTCGTTGTCTTCTCACTTGGCGTTCAGGTTTTCGGTGTCCTCTTCAATAGCAGAAACGCACTGAGCCAAGGGCCCCCGAAGCGCAACAGAAAGGAGCACATCCAGTGATAATAAGCCACGTATAGGCTGCAAATTGATCGTTGCCTTCATTGATTTTATCGCTTGGTCCTCGTGGTTCACATTAGGCGTAAACGCACGTGCATTGGATGCAGAAATCACCATACGTCGATTAGTTCAAGCATCGGAGTCGTCCGAGGGAGGCATCTTGCCCATATTTGACTCTTCCTCCTCCTCTGAATCCGATGCAACAACGGTAGATTGCTTGACAAATTCCTTTGGCCTGTGAAAGATAGAATCAGTAAGAGTACAAAAACAGTGGTTCGATCGATTTACCAAAATGGAGCCTTGCGCCAGGCTTTCTCATCCCGAACAATATTAACAATCTCCCCAGCAAGCTTGTTGTCCCGGTCCTCAAGAGCGTTGGTGTCGACCACGACGTAGGAATTGCGTTTCATCCAGATTCGTGAACGGAAGCGGGAAGGTAGCTCGACCAAAACCGTGTCTTTTGATGGCAATTCGACCACATATAAATTGTTTCCCATTGCCTTGATGACTCGCGCGATTTGCTGACCTTGTTGGAGCTCGTCTGGAGGAGTCAAGGTTTCTTCTGCTGTTGCGAGAACCTTGCGCCGTGGTGGTGCCATGGTGGTCGATTGCAATTGGGTTCTCTTTTCTTGGAGCGTAAATCGTCGCAATGTCTGAAATACTGTCTCGTATGAAGCAATTGCTGATCAGATAAGCTGTGATGAGGGGTAGTCTAGTTGGTGTTTCGATAGTGGAGGGGTAAAAAAGGAAAAAAAAAAAAAAAAAAAAAAAAAAAACACAAAAAAAAAAAAAAAAAAAAAAAAAAAAAAAAAAAGGAAAAAAAAAAAAAAAAAAAAAAAAAAAAAAAAAAAAAAAAAAAAAAGAACCCCCGTTGTGTCAAATTAACATGTGGGGAGTTTCTTGGTCACCCGCAGTGGATCTCTTTGGCATTCCCAACCCTTGCTGCACCTTCCACAATTTCACTGTTGCTATCCTCGGAGACCTTCACGGCATTTTTTTCTTTTGATACGAGGGACTTCCAGTCCCCCTTGTATGGGCTGGAAAGACATGTTACGCAGCGTATGAATTATATGATCTGAGAGTAATTTAAACTGTTCTAATAATCAAACAGTTCAAGCAGATTAGACACCTTAAGTACCTAATTTAGACAGATTAGATAATCTAGATCAGTATAAGTAATTTGAGTGATTTAAATAGTTGAAGCAGGTGAAGTAGAGAAAGCAGATGAAGTAGGTGAAGCTCCCTCCAAATACTTCCGTGCAGTTCCCTGTAGTTTGCCAACCACCACCAAAACCATATATTTTCCCAGACGGTCTAGCCATTCAGATGTGAACGACTATCCGTGTCCAGGACTCATCAACAATGTCCTTTGATCAGTCCTGACCCTGATCAACGCCTAGTCGTCGATGGCTATGACGTATATATTCCTCATGGTCGTGAGATTTTATAATAACTCAAAGAAATAACCTCAGTTAACTTGGATAGACACTATACATCTGAGTGATGAGCCAATTATCTGACGATTACCCTTCCACAGTAATCGTGCGCGTGAGAGCATATTTACAAAGGATATACAGGCCCGAGGTCAAATATGCATTTTCTCAAGGGTCCGAAACCATCGCGCGCATCTGTGTACTAGTACTTGGAATGGCTGGGAGGCTGCGCATATATCCCCCCTCGAGAAGGAAAGCTATTGGGTGGCACACAATCTCAGTCGATGGATTGCCAATGCCGACTCAGGCAATCACTCTTCGCCCATCGATTCAGTCCAAAATAGCTTCCTTTTACAAGCCAATCTCCATCAAAAATTCGATACTTATGAGATTTCTGTAAATCCTGATGCAAGTGATTTTATCTACTATATTAATATATAATAGATACTTTACTAATTCATTTAAAGGATCGTTACAAGATTGTGTCATTTGAAGTTGATCAATTCAACAGGAGAACCCATTCTTGAGCATAACTTCAACCCTGGTGAGGATATGATGAGGACAATATTAGAAGGGCCATATCCAATCGAGCGATTGGAGATGGAACTTTCTTCGAGATTGCAAGAATGGGAACGAACCCAAACCTGGATTCGGTGATGCGCTTGCTTGGTGCGCCACATGACCATCTGATGCATCTGTATACTGCAAGGGGTACTCGATCAGATCTGTTATCTCTTGTCATCCAACCCACTTTTCCATGGCAATACCATTCTCGGACGCAGAATTTGCACGTTTTGCTCGTGAGATATTATCTCATGCCTATGGAAATGCTCGAATATTGACCGATAAGAAAAGTAGTTGGTGGTGCTAGTATGTAGTGTGACCAATTAGTAGTTTGCGATCCTACAGATATATGACGAAATGCAGACTGTCTCCGTTGATGGCTCGTATATCTGTTGGGAACACTAGACGAGGAAAAGGAAGTAAAAAAGAAAAAAAGAAAAAAAGAAAAGAAAAGATTAAAGCAAAGTTCAGGGCAATTAACGGTCCTACTCTATGGATTTGAAGGTAGCAGAGTAGGGTTAATACTAGGAGTAGTTACGGAGTACTTCAAGTTGTATCTGCCAGGCAATCTACGCCCAAAAAGGAAATAGACAGGGCAAGCTGGGGTTGACCCAGTGTTCTGTACAGACTCCGTAGTTACAGCATACCAGATGACAAAGACGAGTTTACTTTCCAGCTGGAACACAGTCTCCTCTGCCGTGAAGAAGGAATACCGCAGTAGAAGCTTGTGAAAGGGTCATTGTTTGCCACCACCTGTCAGACAATTTGGTACAACAGTCCCCTTGACTCGGGGCAATTCGCGTTTCAATTTATTTACATCATTGTTTGTTTTCGTCAGCATTTCACTTCCCGAGACATTCTTTTTGTCTTTTGTCTTTTGTCTTTTGCCTTTTTCCTTTTTCTTTTTCTTGAAGTTCTGCAGTTTCTAGATAGAAGATAGTACTAGACTAGTACTACCTGACCCCGGCAATTTGAAATACTCTAGACTCGTCCGCATGTTTACTGGATGACTAGTTACAGTACTTTAAATCCCCTTGGACACACGTGCCCCCCATCGGATAAAATTACCCAAGGACTAAGTTATTTGACTTGCCCCTCCGTCCCGCGACTTGCCTGAGGAGTAAATGCGGGCGGTAAAGCAAAAACAACGAAGAAAGTAAAGCCTGGACACCAAAACGTCAACCCACCCTTCCCCCCGAAAAAAAAAAAAAGGAAAGGATCCCAAAACAATTTTCCCTTTTCTGTGTGCTGTGTGCGGTGACCAGAAACTCCATTGCTGGAATCAACTCTTCTAGCTGTCCCACTCTTCACTCTCTCTTGCCCCCCCCCACACTTTCGCAAGTAACCTGCGGGCATTGACCGAGAGTGACTGTCTGGCACGGCTCGTCATCGTAACGGGAGAACCTGTCTCACCATTTCCCGAGTAGCATTAACTTAACGGGAACGTTGACTGTCAGTCCCGTTGCGATTTATTGATCATCCATCCCCCTCTCTTTGGAATAATCTGTCAACAAAGTACCCCGCGGCGACCGTTTTCTTCCCCTCTAGTACCCTTTGCCTGCTGGCTCTATTTCTTGTTATTGATCGCATTGTTGTCCTCCCAGTTGGAATAATTCGGAACGTCGGTCGTCGTCCCACCCCCCTCTCAATATGGACGGGGACGACCTCATCGCCTCGGTCTACCGCAAGATCGAGCGGGAAAAGGCCCTGATCACCGCCGCGTCCAATATGCGACAGTCAACCGATAATCCCCTCGTGCAGCAGAGAGTCGACGCGAACATCCGTGATGGTCGGAAGAACATTGCTTACTTGGAGGAGAAGATGAGAGAGTTGCAGCTACGTCGAGATGGAGGATCCCCTACGGATAAGCGTCTCCCACCTGAACCAGGCGCAGGACCAGCCCCTCCTCCGAAGGACTATGACGAGTATGACGCCTCGGGAGCTTACCCGCAAGGAGGATCTGGTCCTATGCCGTCGGGTGCTCCCTTTGCAGATCCCCGGCCTTTCGCTCCTGTTCCCAAGGCTCGGCCGAATTTTACTAAACTTGGTATGCTTCATCTGTCGCTCAGTGCCGACAGGGGCCTTGCAAGCTCCCAACGTGTCTAACTGACGCTGTGCTATATTCAGACTTGATCAAATATGATACCCCCTATCTCGGACCTAAGATCCAGCTCATGTTGTCGCAACTCGAGTTCAAGCTGAGTGTTGAGAAGCAATACAAAGCGGGTATTGAGAAGATGGTTCGTCTGTATCAGGATGAGGGTGATAGAAAGAGCCGCGCAGATGCCGAGGGCCGGCGGATCGAGAGTAATCAGAAGATTCAACTGCTAAAGCAGGCCTTGAAGCGATATGAAGATCTTCACGTTGACATTGAACCGACAGACTCCCCGGACGGTATGTTCTTTACACACCGGTGACCGCCGCGTAGGAGCTAACAGCTTGTGTTCTAGATGAGAGTTTGAACACACCAAACATGCGCAAGCCACTTACTGGTCTTCTGACGTTGCGTATCCAGGCGGTTACTGATGTAGATCATGCCGCCAGCTCGAGGTTCTCTCGGGGCCCCGAGACTTTCGTCATCATCAAAGTTGAAGACACTATCAAAGCCCGTACAAAAGCGACGCGGACCGATAGGTGGCAAGATGAGACCTTTACTGTTGACATTGATAAGGCAAACGAAATTGAACTTACCGTGTACGACAAGTCGGGTGACAGGCCCACTCCGATTGGCATGCTTTGGGTGCGCATCTCCGATATCGCCGAGGAGATGCGTCGCAAGAAGCTCGAAAGCGAGCTCAATGCATCAGGTTGGGTTTCTGCGGATAAGATGGAACACGGAGGTTCGTCGGGGCGGCCTGACACCGCTGGACAACCAGGATCTCCGCATGCCCCGGGCTCCGCGGGGCATCTTGGCCCCCCTGCTCAGGGTTATGCAGGTGCTCCGGGTGGAGCGCCCTCTTCTAACTCAGTGATGATCGAGTCTTGGTTCGCATTAGAGCCCGTGGGGCGGATCCATCTGTCGATGAGCTTTGGTAAGCTTCTATGGTTTATGTATTATTCTACGACCGGGTACACTAACCTGTTGTATAGCCAAACAATTGAAGGATCGACGACCGTTCGATATTGGTCTTAACCGACAGGGTGCCGTTCGTCAAAAGAAGGAAGAGGTCCACGAAAAGCAGGGACACAAGTTCGTCACTCAACAATTTTACAATATCATGCGTTGTGCTCTCTGTGGTGATTTCCTGAAATATGCTGCCGGCATGCAATGCGCCGACTGCAAGTATACGTGTCACCGCAAGTGTTACCCGAAGGTCGTTACCAAGTGTATCAGCAAAGCAAACTACGAGACAGATCCAGACGAGGAGAAAATCAATCACCGTATTCCTCATCGGTTCGAGGGCTTCTCCAACCTCTCTGCCAACTGGTGCTGTCACTGCGGGTACTTGCTCCCATTTGGACGTAAAAGTGCCAAGCGATGTTCAGGTATATTCTCCGAACGAACCCCAGACGGTGTATATGACATAGATGCTTACATTGCTCTTAGAATGTGGCCTCACTTGCCATGCCAATTGTACTCATCTTGTACCTGACTTCTGTGGCATGTCTATGGAAGCTGCGAACCAGATCTTAGAAACGTTGATCCGTGCTAAGAATCACAATAAATCCGCTTCTGTTAGTTCTGGTCTCAGTGGCCGCACCCTGCGGCCAGGTGGCCCGCCTCAAACCCCTCAGGATCCTGCTCTTGCATATCCGCAAAAACCCGTGGAGAGCCCATATGGGCTACCTCAAAGAGAGCCTTCTGCCGAAGCCGTGAGCGCTGCAACTAACTCGTATATACCACCACAGTCTCCAACGGCCGCACAGCGACAGCAAATGCCGCCAAGAACGTCATCTGCAGGTCCTGCCGCTGCTGCTGCCGCTGCCGCCACAGGCATGCGCACGCCCCAACAGATGCCTAGTATGTTGTCCTATGGCCCTTCCCCCACCCTTCGTTTCCAATCTATGCTTCTGGAGTAGAATGGATTGAGCTAATCACGGAGAAGCAGGTCCGGTGCAAACACAGCCACCTTCCCACGCCCATTATGATCCTGCCGCGTATGTGTCCTACCAGCAAAGCATGGCGCCCCCGCCGCAACAGCCGATGCCGCAGAAGGTCGCGTCGCCTTACGGTGTACCTCCACAACAGCAGTCTGTGCCAGTAATGCAACAGCAGGTTGCTGTAAAAGAAGATGCTCCACCTCAGCAACCCAAGGTCAGGATTGGCTTGGATCACTTCAATTTCCTGGCTGTCCTTGGTAAAGGTAACTTCGGAAAGGTCATGCTGGCCGAAACCAAGAGCACCAAGAAGCTTTATGCTATTAAGGTGTTGAAGAAGGAGTTCATCATTGAGAACGATGAAGTGGAGAGTACCAAATCTGAGAAGCGTGTCTTCTTGGTTGCTAACAAAGAACGCCATCCATTCCTTCTCAATCTCCACGCCTGCTTCCAGACAGAGACTCGTGTGTATTTTGTCATGGAATATATCAGTGGCGGTGATCTAATGTTGCACATTCAACGCGGCCAGTTTGGTTTGAAACGAGCACAGTACGTTCTTCTAGCATCCGAGTCCTCTGCCCAACCTTCCTACTCTATTATGTGGAGATTAATGCTGTTAATACTAATACAACACGCAGGTTTTACGCTTCAGAAGTTCTGCTGGCACTCAAATATTTCCATGAGAACGGTGTCATATACCGTGATCTGAAGCTCGATAATATTCTACTGACACTGGATGGCCACATCAAGATTGCAGACTACGGTCTTTGCAAGGAAAATATGTGGTATGGCGCCACCACAAGCACATTCTGCGGAACTCCCGAATTTATGGCACCTGAGGTAAAGCCCAAGTACCCTAGGCATCTTAGATACAGCCATGGTTGACTGACATGTTTTCACAGATTATTTTGGATAAGAAATACGGTCGAGCAGTTGATTGGTGGGCATTTGGTGTGCTGATTTATCAGATGCTTCTGCAACAATCTCCCTTCCGTGGTGAAGATGAGGATGAAATCTATGATGCCATTCTTGCCGATGAGCCGCTGTATCCAATTCACATGCCCAGGGATTCCGTTTCGATCCTTCAGAAACTACTCACTCGCGAGCCAGAACTAAGACTTGGCTCCGGCCCAACCGATGCCCAAGAAGTCATGTCTCATGCCTTCTTCAGGAATGTCAACTGGGATGATATCTACCACAAGCGCGTCCCTCCACCGTTCTTGCCGACCATCACCAGCCCCACAGACACAAGCAACTTCGATCAGGAGTTCACCAGCGTCACACCTGTTCTGACGCCTGTGCAATCCGGTAAGCAACTATCCTCAACCCCTTTTTTTTTTTTTTTTTTTTTAATTAGCGCTAACCATGACATGTTCTATCTCCAGTCCTCTCCCAAGCCATGCAGGAAGAATTCCGTGGTTTCTCCTACACGGCAGACTTCGCCTGATCCAAATCTATATTTAATGGTGACTAATGCCCCGCAGTCATCGCAGTTATTACGCATCTGTTCGACGTGGACCTTGGATTCTTTGTTTCTCTGCCTTCTTGATTGTTACTGCCTTCGGCACTTTTCGCACTGGAAATGTTCAATAACATACCCATGAGAGTTTTGAGAGAAGGTGTAAGCGCTTTTCTGGCTTTTGCGAGTGCAGATGGAATGGAATGAGTAATTTGGTCTGAGGTTGTTTTATCCTATATCTCCGCAGCATTCTAGGCTGTTTATTTAATTCTCTGGAGGGTTTACTTTCCAATCTCGGAATGTAATTCTTCCTTGACTGTTCGCCTGGAATGTGCCCTACTCGACTGTTACACCCATTGGGACTCTCCATTCTTGCCCATATTTGAATGTAATACGTCGGCATACTGATTTGATTGTCTGTTCCTAAGCGTGTAGCTGATCGGGATCACGAAGCATGACAAACAAGTCCCATGACCACAGCTGTCCCCTACTACTAGTACCTGCCAAACATCGACTCTTTACCCTGTCTCTTTCTAACTTGTGTTACTGCAACCGTGGAGCCCCTCTTACACACTGAAATGGACACACCGAGGACATGATAGGTATGACTTCATTTTGTCCTCATTGTAGTCCATAGCACCAGTCTGCAACGCCCTTTTCCCGCTACGAATTCTTTGCGAAGTATCAACTGGCCAGCTTCCGGACAAAGAACGGTATCTAAAGAATAAAGGGTACTAAAATAAATGTTCTGTGTCTGATTTCTACAAGACTGGTCTGAAACGCTGCAATTTATATTTTGACTCGCATTGACACGCCCCGAAAACACTCAAAGCCCCATCTTCTCGAGGTAAATATCAGTTATCGATGCCCTGTGGGAAATATCTCTTACTCTAATTACTCATGTGGTCACACAAGTCTTCTTACTGCGCTCTCCTCATTACGATACTTACTACTGCCAGTGTAATAAAGGCAGATGAGTCTTCCATCTCCTCGGCCGATCCATTGAGATAATACATTTGAAGACATTTGGTTGCTCCTGTTTATATCTATCAAATGAAAACGCGCGGATCTTACGATATGATAGCAGACTCAGATGGGCTCAATCAACCTTTGAATTCGACGACTCAACCTCCCACTTCTAATAAGACCAAGGCCAGAAAGAGAAAAATCTCGGACCCGAAACACACTCCAAAGTATGACACTGACAAAGACGAAGTCTCCACAGGGCTTCGTACACCAAAACAAACCCCACGGAAGGAAAAGAAGATACCTGATGACGCTTCCAGTCCAAAGAACATCGCATCTGGCCAGTCTTCCAAGAGAAGGAAGCTTCACAGTCAGCCGGATAAGCTGGCTCATTCTCTCCCTAGACTCGCTCGTGATCCAGTCGAAGAGACAAAGCAGACTAGTGTCAATACAAATGCATGGCAGTATGCGAACTTACTGTTTGAGGCCGGCCTTTCTATCTTTGCTCCCACGCGCGATATCTTGACGGCCACACATGATAACAAACGGTCTATTCCTGAACCAGCTGGGAGTATATCTTCGCCTTTGTCAAAACACTTGGGGAGCACCGTAGTCGATAGTCAGAAAACTATAGCATCAAAGCGGCTTATGGTTCAGAAGAGAAGCCATTCTCGTAACACAGTCCCCTCCATACCCCATATAAAAGAAGAGATATTTGACGATCCAAATCTCCGTGTCTCGCAAGCTACAAACTCGTCTGTTGTCTTGAATCTTTCTGTGGAGAAGGCCAGGCGCTGGGCTGACGCAATCGACATTCCTGAAGGTCTTTACAATGAAGAAGAGAAGGATCTCTTTTTCCGGCTTGCCATGCGTGGGTTTGAGCCCCTTATACCAGACCAGTGGAGGTCCGACTTTCCTACCCTTCCATATACCCTGTTTTCCGATGCAGAGGGCGACTCAGGGCCATTGATTCACACATTCAAAAGTTCCAATACTGATGGTGAGTTCATGGCTCTACTCCACTTGCGTTTTCTTCTCACTATACCATACACTGCTAAAATATAATGCAGCAATGAGATCTCTCGCAGCTTTGTTTTCTCTTGGAGGTCGCGTGAGGGACTCTAGGATTCTAAAGAAGGATCCCGAGACCTTGATCAAAACTACCATCAACCGATACTTTCGCTGGGCCTTGCGCGATACTGGCATACACACAAAGCCCGATGCAATCCCCGTACATGTGATTTACGCCCAAAAGAAAGGGGAAACCACACTTGATGCTGTTAAAAAGCTGAACCGGCGCCTACAAGTACTCTCCAGCCGACACCGCGAAGCGTTGAGTGTGGCAGCCCTAGATGGAGGTCATGGCTCGACTAATCTTCAGCCCAATGGGGAGGGTGATGGCTATTCTGGTCCTTCTCCAATTTATCCGCTTCTCATTGGATTTATCATATGTGGTCCCATAATTGCAATCCTAACTCTCGGCACTGACTTTCTAACAACAACTAAGGATATAGATAGCAAATATATCTGCCAGTTTGACTTGGAAGATGAGGGACACGATGTCTGGAACTCACTTGCGGTCGCTATTGCGGTTATGAAAATCCGGAAAACCATGATACAACTTGCAGATAACGGCGTAGGTGGTGTTGTTAGGCTACCTTTAGGCACAGAGTCAACCTCGGATGTGGATATCTAAGGATATGTGACGACTATGGCTTTGTTCATCCGAGAACGGTTCGATTTGTGCTGAACTTGCTAAGGCAATATTTGCTTCTCCTTTTACAAGTATATACATAGGGCTTTCTGAATTCATTGACTGGAGTTTCCTCAAAAGTTTCAAAGCGTAAGCTCTACTTTCCAAGTTAGATATATACATCTCGTTCGCCTTTGTAATTCTGGGTTATAAACTACGCCTAATCTCTTTTCCATGCAGTTATACGTATATATCCTCATATATAACCACATTTAGATTGAGTACACCCAGACATACCCATGACACTGTCTTTGGAAACTTCTATACGATGCATGGTCGAAGGCCTCATACAGGTCACATGACCAGATACAATATTGACCGATTCCCCGCGGTTTAGAATGTTGACATCTGTCTCCAAAATCCTCAACGCCCCTGGCGCAATACCATCATGGATGCAATAGAAGATAAGGAGGTCAAACTACAGCGCGCTTCTGGCGACTTGGTGACGGAATTCTCAGAGAAACTGCCCTCTCTGCTCTGGAAGCCACGAACGGAGAAAGGAGGTACCCGAGTTCCACGAAGATGGACACAGGCTGCTAAGACGGAGAGACTCGTAGGCCTTGTAAGTTGACGATATTTCCCAAATAAACTACGAAAAATCTGGAAATATACTACTGATTTGTCATCCACTAATACCCATTTTTGCTATAGCTGGAGCCTTTTCAAGAATGGCCTCAGCTGTTGGATCCACACCTTCAATCGCTGCTGCCACCTTTAGTCGATGCTTTCTTGGCATACTTGCTAAAGCATCCCAATCAGTATAAGGCAGATAAGCCACAGCAGCAGCAGGCACTTTATCCCTTGCCAAGGACGATCTGTAGACTTCTTTACACTTTTTGCAAAGTGCGTGGGGTCAAGGTTATTAGTAGGTTCTTGAACAATGAGCCGAAGTATCTTGACCCCTTACTCAGGGCTTTTATCGAATGGGATGCAGTATGCCAAGATGATTCAGAAATGGGCTTGTCAGGGGACATTCCTCGACGGCTCGTCTGGGAGGAGCGCTACGTGATGTTGATTTGGCTCTCGCACTTGTTGCTCGCTCCTTTTGACTTGGCGTCTATGTCATCAGACGATATCCCAGTGCCATACGAAAATTTGGGTCAACTTAGACCATTACCAGCTGAGGTTCCAACAGTCTCTAGGTCTCTCCTCTCGGTATCGTTGAACTATGTCAATGCCTCTGGGAAAGAGCGTGAGGCTGCCACTGTGGTTCTGGCACGTCTTGTATTGCGCCGGGACATGCAGGCTCTCGGCCTGCTCACTAATGTGACAGACTGGGCATTTTCCATCGTACAACCTGCAGGGAATTCCGAATTGCCCTCTGTCTATACTTGCATCGGAGTCCTTTCTTTCCTTGCACGCTTAGGTGCTTCAGGTCAGGTTGAGGACTTTGCTCCCTTGATCGTGCCTGTGTTCGAGAAGACGTTACGAACTGCTCAGGGAAACTCGAAAATCTCCGATCTCATTCAATCTTCTGCGCTGGCGCGGAAAATTATCATTAAAATTCTCCGCACAATGACAATTATGGTTCTGCAGCTTAGCGAAAGAGCGAATAGCCCGCTGTCGGGTGATATGCTGTCTTCCATTTTGGAAGATACCATTGACCACTTTCTGGTGGCTCTAGCTGATAAAGATACACCCGTGCGATTTGCTGCGAGCAAAGCACTCAGTATTATTACTTTGAAGCTAGACTTGGATATGGGTACCGAGGTTATTGAGGCTGTTACTGGTTCATTAGAGGAGAACATACTCTATGAAAACAGTGATGGCACCATAATAACACCATTTGAAGCACGCAGGATTGGAATGAACAATACCAAAAGAAATCTGAGCGCGGTTGATGCTCAAAGATGGCAGGGTCTCATACTAACATTGGGTCATTTGCTATTTCGCCGTGCCCCTCCGACTGGCCAACTTCTTAATATACTGCAACCACTCGTTTCTGGACTCGACTTTGAGCAAAGATCCTCGACTGGAAGCTCTGTCGGCACTGGTGTGCGTGATGCTTCATGCTTCGGTATATGGGCTCTATCTCGCAAGTACACCACTCAGGAGCTGCTCGCATTGGATGCACAAACAATAAGTACTTCTACGAGCCAAAAAGAGTCAAGCATATTGCAGATGCTGGCTACCGAGTTGATATGTGCCGCTTGTGTGGACCCGTCGGGCAATATTCGGAGAGGTGCCTCTGCTGCTTTGCAGGAGTTAATTGGTCGTCATCCTAACACAATCGTCGAAGGTATTTCGCTAGTACAGGTTGTGGATTATCATGCCGTGGCACGCCGTTCACGAGCGATGATTGATGTAGCAAAAGCTACGGCGGACTTGAGCCATCAATACTGGAGCCCTCTTGTTGAGTCACTGATGCACTGGAGAGGAATCGGTTCGCCAGATGCTGAGTCGAGAAGGCAGGCAGCAAACGCAATAGGGGTCCTGAGTGCCCAGGAATCCTACAAGACGATGAAGATTGTCCTTCAGCGACTGTTCAAGAAACTCTCCAGCCTCCCTCGAGGCGATGTTGAAACGAGACATGGGTGTTTCTTGGCCCTCTCAGCTACAGTAAATGCATTTAATTCCTGTCAAGAAACACCACTTGAGAACAAGGACCCCTCCGAGGCTTTGGAGGTTACCACGCAAATACAACAACTATGGGGTATTTTCGATTCCCCGCTTGGCCCCACAAAAGAGGACTTGACTCTCCAAGTTCGACGTCCAGAATTGAGCGCTGAAGCATCATCACGTCTGGTATACTCTCTTTCGAGAGCGGCGTCTTTAGCAAAGGATTCTCTTCCTTCGCAGCCAACAGTTACTTTGCTTGATAAAGCCCGGGAAACCCTCTTACTTTGCATTTCTCGAAGTGAAGATATTGTGATAGAAACTTCTTCAGATGCTATATCAGAGTTGTTCCCTCTTCTACTGTCATCGAAACAAGAGGAGACGATAAATGGCTGGTTTTCATATATCCACGCTACTTGGAAGCTACCGACTGGCCGTGGTCAGATCTCAGTTCTTGGTGCTATATTCAAGCAAGTTAGACCTGAAGATGATTTACGGCAATCAATCATAAAAGAACTGCTACAGTGTGCCGGAAAAGAAGAATTAATTGAGAAACGAGTAGTAGCTGTCAAGAGTTTGGCTACCGGTGTCCTGCCGCATATAGGTACGTGAAACCCAGCAAATGGGGAATGATGCTCACCATGTTGCAGATACAACAGATAATATCGCAGACCATCTTATCGAGTTCTTGAATGATTACACGACAGATAGACGAGGAGATATTGGGTCATTGATAAGACTGGAGGCAATCCAAGCTGCCACGGTAGTCCTCCAAAAACAATCCGGTTCTGCAACTCGCACCCCCCGAGTCCAGAGCATCATAGGTTGTTTATGTCGACTTGCAGCAGAGAAGCTAGACAAAGTCCGCCTCCAAGCTTGGCTTTGCTTGCAGGGCTTCTGGAAGTCGGCCGAAGATTTTCCACCCTTACAGAGGTAAGTGAATATCGCACGAATATCTCAGATGTATTACTGACTATATCAGACAATATGACCATTTCAGTCACGTATCCCTGCCTGACTACTTCCTTCAGCTCTTTGAGTTGCAAGCCATCGACTGGTTGCGCTTGCCATTATTACAAGGAATTGCAACTTCTGCAGTTGCTGGGGCAGAGGGACTTGTTCGCTCAAGTCGTTTGGCTCTGATGCAGAGTATCAATAAGTATGAGGCTGAACAGCGGCAAGACATAGTGACCTCCATTATCAAAGATCTCATGGTTGCACTGAGCGATAACCTGCAAAATGACCGTTACGCTATCCCGGTGCTGGAGTGTTTGGCATTCCTGCTCGATAGCTATATTAGTTTCACCCCCCAATCTTCAGAGTCAAGGTTAGTTCCTCTCTACCCACTGAGCTGAGATCACTGCTCACAGCCTATAGTTATAGGAAATTGTTTGTTCTTGTTCAGAAGGCACATTTCAAATCCTCTAATATAGGGAGATTGGAAGCCGCAATCAAAGTGTATGCGCCCTTGTCAAGGCTGGAGCAGTTACGAGCAGAAGTATTGAAAAAGATGACCTCAATGCTTCTGCATCCCTTTCCACGGGTACGTCTGTTCAACTTGATTATAGAGAAATCATTGCATTAACTGGCATATAGGTTCGAAATGCTGTTGCAGAGTACCTGTTTATGGAGACTACACTGGAGTCGGTGAAGACCGAAGACTGGACTAGACAACCTAAGGAACTGAAGGGTCAGGTTGAGGATGTGAGGAAGGAGTTGGCTTGTAAATAGAAGATTCGCCTTATAGACGATTCTCGACAATGTCGTTACTTGGAATCGAAACAAAGTCAAAGAACATGTAAAATGACACTAGAAAACTGGGCAGACTTACACAAGTATCTTCATGATCAAGAAAGCGATGCAAAGAATATAATATCTGATGTGTTGAAAAAAATAATAGAAAAAAAAAGGAAGTGCATCATCCGTGAATCGAACACGGGCCTCATCGATGGCAACGATGAATTCTACCACTAGACCAATGATGCTTCTATGGGAGAATAGGCTATTTTTACAATACATAAGCCTAAATTGCAACTCCAAGCTGAATACTCCATCTTCAGAAGTTCCGCAACCCGTGCCATCGCAATTACAACACCAGCTCGACGAGCTCCCCAGTCGCAAACATGGCGTCAATGACCGCGGCTGCAAACAGCATCCCCCCCAACTCCACGTAAGTCCCAAGCTCATGTCTCCCATTAACCCCTTCAACAGCGAGAAATACTAACCCAGCAACCACAGAGTCTATGTACGATCCCAACCCATCACAATCTCCACCTAATACAAAGTGAACGCCCACTAACACGCAGCTTCCCAACCAGGTCCGCAACCTTGAAGAACGAGTTAAAGTCGACCAGCTGAAGGAAGCGCTTCAGGAAATCTTCTCGGAATATGGCAACATCATTGACATCGTCGCGAAGACCAATCTGAAGGCGAAGGGCCAGGCGTTCATCGTCTTCGATAGCGTTGACTCGGCCTCGAATGCCATTGACGAGATTAACGGGTTCGAGCTCTTTGATAAGCCGATGGTACTGGATTTCGCAAAGACGAGGAGCGATGCGACGGTTTTGAGAGAAGGCGGGGAGGATGAGTTGGAGGCTCATAAGAGGAGGAGGTTGGCTGAGAAGGGTACGTTGTTTTCTTTCTTTCAGTGTTTCAATCTATGTTTTTTTTGCGACTATACTAGGGTGTTTTTTTTTTTTTTTTTAACTGGGCTGGTTCGAGGCTAATGAAGTACATAGAGCGCAAGCAAGCTCACGAGGCCCTCGAGGCTCAAAAGAAGCTCAAGCGCCCTCCCGGTGCTGCCCCCGACTCCACGCGTCCGGCCAAAACCGCCAAGGGCGCTGGTCTCAAGCCCACCAGCGGTGCAACGGCGGCTGTCATCCCGGACGAATATCTTCCTCCCAACAAGATTCTGTTCCTGCGGGACCTCCCCGACACGGCGGACCAGGAGAGTCTTACTGCTGTTTTTGGACGCTTCGAGGGATTCCAGGAAGTCAGATTGGTGCCGGGCAGAAAGGGGATTGCGTTCGTCGAGTACGAGAACGAGTCTGGTGCTATCAGTGCCAAGGAGGCTACCTCGGGGATGCCTATGGGGGAGAGTGGCAAGCCGATCCGGGTTACTTACCAGAGACAATAAGCTGCGCAGAGGTAGTTCGGGCAATCGTGAGCAACTTGTTCTGGCGTTGGGGTGGGTTTTATCTGTTTTATTATATTGATTGGAATTCGATACAGAGCTTGAGCTTCCCCTCATGGGTTTTTATTCTTATTTCGTGTCTTTTCTCTTGTGGAGATTGGCATTGTAACAAGTGAGGTACAGGACAGTGAAAATCGCAAATGAATGATACCAATGACAGCTACATGCTAGAAAGTATAACAGTTATAGAGACAGGGAATAGAAATATAAAGGGGAATAAAACTAGAAAATGACATCTGCATCTTCTTCCTCTCCGAGGACATCAGGGGCGTCAGGTGCTTCCTTTTCTGGTTCCAATGCTTTTTGGCCCTCTTTCTCTCGGGCGGCTGCCCGCGCGGCCTCAATCTCGGCGTCTGCAGCTGCAGTGTCGCGCTGCTTCTTACCTGATACCTTCTTAAGTCGGTAGAACTCTTCTCTGTCCAGTTCGTCGAGTTCGGACATAATGTCTGGTTGATGTTAGCTACGAACGAAAGCTGATCTCATAAGTTACTGACATTTAATGGTGTTCTCGGTCCGGGGAATAATAACATGTTCACTGGCGGAGAAGTTAGTTTGTGGATTCCTGGCCTCCTAAAAGAAGTGCCTTACATCGCGTTGACTGTGAATAAAGTTAGTTAATGAGCATCGACCTGCATGTAGTAAGAGAGTACGCACCTCTCCGATTGACAACCTTGATTACCTCGTCCAGAATAACAAACGCAGTCTATAAGCCGGTGTCAGAGGTGAATTATAAAGCAGCTAGCTTTCACACCGTACCTGTAAGCTTGCAAGCTCAACCAAGGTTTCGACCGCGCGAGCGTACGTCTCTCGAGACCGTTGAACTTGCTGACCTCCTTTTCCGAGACCAGTTAAGCCGAAGTCGTTAATTCCTTCCTCCGTGTAGCTCTCAAAGTGAGGCAGGAGGACACCGGAGACGTTATCTTGTTTGGCGCGTACACGGAATCGTGCTTGCTTGGCGGATTCTTGAATCTGGTAGCCGATATCGCCTCCAACGGCGTAGCTCACTTCCGCCAAAGAAAACGCGGCAATCTGCATGACCCTCCCCATCTTCTGTTTGGCTTCATCGATACGTCGAGTGATCTCTGGCTTGCCATGTCAGTTGAGGATTATGCGGGGAAATGCGCTCATGGTGCCCACTTACCCCGAAAACGCCTGTAGTTCATGACATCTTAGTATATGCATTACGATTGATTCTTGCGCAGCCGACTTACTTGGTCAGCGCTTCACTCTTCCTCTTTAGCAAGCTGTGTCCGGTTTCCGCGCCTTTCAGTTTACTCTTCATTAACCCCAACGACTGGCGAGTCGGGAAGACTGCCTCGCGGCCCTAGGTGAGGAAAAGACATCAACGGTGGGCCCACAAGAAGACCTGGAGCAAAAGAGACAGACATACTACTGCACCAGACATGGTTAATAGACCCAAGGAGCACGATCAGCTTAACTTGAGAGGCCACGACAGGGAGCGGCGTAGATGACGATAGGCGATAATGGAGGAGGAGCTTGGACCACCTGCGGCCCGCATGATACCAGGTCACGTGGGCGCTGCACAACTTCATCTTTTGCAGTCTCTCAGGCGGCTATCAGCCAACGCGACGAGAAAGCTCTCCAATTCATGCTAAACCCCCTTCCTCGGACTCTGTGTTGACCGTGTGAGCCGATCCCGCTCGACTGAGTGGCGACATGCCAGGGACACTCCTGCCCCCGAGATCTCACCGGCAACACGCGCAAATGGATCGCACGTCGGCCTCAGGGCCGGACCTCTATTTGATAGTGAGTTGTGGCGGCGGAATTTGGTAGGACAAAGGCTAACTGTATCATCTGTTTACAGGCGGACCAGGATACTGTATATGAACAGGATCTCCTTCGGGACACAGGCAGTATCAAACCATGGCTTGCTTATATCGAGTATAAGCAGCAGCATGGAACGCTCTACGAGCAGGCTTTTGTATGTTTCGGTTGCGATTAACACTGCCGGAAGCTCTGCTAATCAATCGCAGGTGATGGAGCGTGCTTGCAAGCAGCTCCCAAGATCTTACAAACTCTGGAAGATGGTACGCTGCTTCCTCCAACCCCACTCTATCGCATTGAAGTTTGCTGATTTTAGTAGTACTTGGAATTCCGCACGAAGCATCTCCAAGGTCGCAACCCGACTATATACCAAGCCGAATACCAGAAGGTCAACGCGCTTTTTGAGCGTGCTCTTATTCTCCTCAACAAAATGCCACGGATTTGGGAACTGTACCTCTCATTCCTGCTTCAACAACCCCTGGTGACACAAACCCGACGTACATTCGACCGCGCACTACGAGCCCTGCCGGTTACTCAACATAACAGAATATGGAAGCTTTACAAGACTTTCGCGCGTTCCGCTTCCGGCCAGACAGCCGTGAAAATCTGGGCTCGGTACATGCAAATCCATCCGGAGAACGCGGAGGACTACATTGAGCTTCTTGTGGAGATGGGACAGTATACGGAAGCTGTGAAGCGGTATATGGAAATACTCGACAACCCAAGATTTCAATCTAAGGAGGGGAAGAGTCACTTCCAGCTGTGGACTGAAATGGTGGACTTGCTCGTGTCAAAGGCGAAGCAGATCGAAACTGGCCCGCATGTCGGTATTGATGTGGACGCTATTCTCCGCAGTGGAATCGACCGGTTCGCTGACCAGAGAGGTAAATTGTGGGCTGGATTAGCAACATATTGGATCACGAAGGGTAGTTTCGAAAAGGCTCGAGATACCTTTGAGGAGGGCATTACGACGGTCATGACGGTTCGCGACTTTACGCTTATTTTCGACTCCTATGTCGAATTTGAGGAGTCTATCATTGGCAATTTGATGGAAGCGGCAGCCGTTCGCGCTGATAAGGGCCAGTCCGACGAAGAGGCAGATTTCGATCTCGATCTCCGAATGCTGAGGTTCGAACAGCTCATGGACCGCCGGCCATTCCTGGTCAACGATGTATTGCTGCGACAGAACCCTAACAATGTCATTGAGTGGGAGAAGAGGGTTGCTTTGTGGGGTGATAACAAACAGGAAATCGTCAACACTTACACAGCAGCCATCGCAGCTATAAGCCCGAAGAAGGCTCATGGGAAGTTCTCCGAGCTCTGGGTCAACTACGCCAAATTCTACGAAAGCGGGGGAGATCTGGACACAGCTAGGGTAATCTTTGAGAAGGCCGTGAAGGTACCCTTCAAATCGGTTGCTGAGCTCGCCGAGACGTGGTGTGAATGGGCTGAAATGGAACTCCGTGGTGAGAACTTCGATAAAGCCGTTGAGGTTATGGCGAAAGCAACGCAAGCGCCGAAAAAATCAACAGTTGACTACTTCGATGAGAACCTCTCACCTCAGCAACGAGTTCATAAGAGCTGGAAGCTGTGGAGTTTCTACGTTGATTTGGTTGAAAGTGTCGCGTCGTTGGAAGAGACAAAGAATGTCTACGAGAGGATTTTCGAGCTACGCATTGCCACGCCCCAAACTGTGGTTAACTATGCCAACCTCTTGGAGGAGCACAAGTACTTCGAAGATTCATTCAAGGTTTACGAGCGAGGGCTGGATCTCTTCAGCTACCCAGTTGCATTCGAGCTGTGGAACCTTTACTTGACTAAAGCTGTTGATCGGAAGATTGGTATTGAAAGATTACGAGACCTCTTCGAACAGGCCCTGGATGGATGTCCTCCGAAGTTTGCCAAACCGCTCTACTTGATGTATGGCAATCTCGAAGAGGAACGTGGATTAGCCCGCCACGCTATGCGAATCTACGAGCGTGCTACACGTGCGGTTTCCGACGAGGACAGGTTCGAGATGTTTGAGTTCTACATTACCAAGTCTGCGTCGAACTTTGGCCTGCCTTCCACAAGACCGATCTACGAGCGCGCTATTGCGGCATTGCCTGACCAGGAAGCCAAGGAGATGTGCCTCAAGTTTGCAGAAATGGAACGACGACTTGGCGAAATCGACCGGGCCCGCGCAATCTACGGCCACGCTTCTCAATTCTGCGATCCTCGGACGAACGCTCCTTTCTGGCAGAAATGGGAGGCATTCGAAGTTCAACATGGAAACGAAGATACCTTCAAAGAGATGCTTCGTATCAAGAGAAGCGTCCAAGCACAGTACAAGTATGTATTCCCTCTTGATTTGACACCACTATGGATCAAGGCTAACATTGCTACACAGCACCGATGTCAACTTCATTGCCTCCCAGGCTATTGCTCGCAGTCAACAGCGGACTCAAGACGGCGACGAAAAGGGTGCCGAGGAAGGAGACGTGGATGGTTCGACGGCAGACGCGATGGCAGCCCTGGAACGACAAGCGCGTGCTCCTGTGGGCTTTGTCGCTGCCAGCACCGGTCCCGAGGGTGGAAATCGACCTCCACCACCTGGCCAAGAGCAGCCAGCTGCTCCTGCCAACCCTGACGCTATTGACCTGGACGAAGATATGGATGCCGAGTAAAATACCTTGCGATTGCTACTTTTGTTTTCCTACCATGGCTTTGGATAGTTGCGCTGGCCGAGTTATCTCAATTATCATCGAACTGATGCACGAATATCACTCCTTTGCTTGTTTCCCTTGTAACAATTATTATCGTCCTGATATCTCCTCGCAACTTTTTTTTCTTTTCCTTTTTTTTTTCCTTTTCTTTTTTGGGATGTCCCTCGGAGGGGTTGCTATCCTCAGCACTTACTTGAATCATGGATATCATCTCTTTCTCTTACTTTTCCTTTGTTTGTGTTCTTAACACCATTCGTCTTGATGGTCTGTGAGATACCTTCGATGGTGTTTTCTGTAGACGGAATGGATATCTTATTCTGGTGCTCTGCGGAGTGTCTTCCCTCTATCTGTCTGTATTTATATGAACCGGTTAATCTCCAGTACCAGTATCCTCCCTTTTTGTTGGGGGGGTATTTGAGAGAATGTGCCCGGTAGTATCTTGCATCTCAGACCGAAGCCCAGGAAGGGGTAGCACAGGAATGTGCCTAAAATGAAAGAATCACAACCACGTGGTTGTCTATCCGGGGGTTTGGTCTTATGTTACTACAAAATGGCATCCTATATGCAAGAAGCATTCGGTAGCGAGTCTGCCTGACTCTAAACCATGTACCCACGTGTATTGTATTGCTTCGACAGGAGTATGACAACGCATGAACATGAATGACGAAAAATGAAACCCTAAGCAAGATAGAAGGCAACGTTGATAATCCCCGTAACGTAGAGATCGCTTCAAAACTTCAGGGATGTGTGAAAACAAGAGAGGAAAAGAGACCCGAGAGAGAAGATTGACTATGCCAGCTGCGCAAAGCAAGTTCAAGGAAGACTATTACCAAGCAGGTTGTTTCTCTTCCGACCCATTCGTTACCTCGGTCTTGGAAGCGTCACGGACCTCACTACTGAGGGCACCTATGAAAGCTTTGTAGCTTGACCGAAATTCCAGAATACCCATTTCATCCGCAAACTCACCATCAGGGTCTCTCGTATAGCCGGCACGCTGGAGATCCTTGATGAAGCGTGCAAAACGCTCCTCAAACTTCGGTGTGAAGGTCTTGTGCTTCGCGGCCAGGATAGTAGCGTGCGCATCTATCAGGCTGATTATGTCATAGTCCTCTGTGCCTCTGGTTAGCTACTAATATCATGACGAGGAGGGGATCTAGCCACTTACCCAACAGTGAAGGCACAGCTTGCGGCACTAGTCCATACAGATCCACGAAGACATCGTAGTCCCCCCGATCACCTAAGATATACAGCTCGCTATCAGCCACAACATCCCCACTCGGAACTTTGGTGCTTGCATGAAGAAGGTGTTCGCATTCATCCATAGTCAGGACACGATGGAGCTTCTGCAACTTGTAGCTTGAGAGGAAATAATTCCTTGATGGAGTTGAGTCGTCCTCTGTCCCTTCAAGCTTCTTAACCTTCCTGGCTAGCTGATGCTTCTCGTACCACAAGCCAGCCACTTTCGCTTGGAGAAATTTCACCTGGCCGCGTAGTGTATCAAGTTCATGATTGGTCTCGGACAACGCAACCTCGTCTCTGAGGCTTGAATCGACATGCACACGCTCCGGCGAACTCTCCTCAGCCGTGCTCGCGTGCCGGACACCTAAATCACCGGTCACATTCTCCAGCGGCGGCACTTCATCCTCATCCACCCACGAGTGCTCATAGTTATCATCCTGAGAACCATCATCCTCTTCGGCCTGCCCCAAGCCTTCATCATTCGGGTTCGGTCGCCAGCCATCTCCTTCCGGATGGGTATCTCCCTGACCAGTTTCGACCCCATCACTTGTCGCGTGATAAGCTTCATCCCGCTTGAGCAACTTGTCAAGCTTCTCGCTCATCTGATCTACCTTCTGGCGCAGCTTGTCGGTTTCGCTGGTCTTGTTTGCCATTCCCATGCCCCAGGAGTTGCCGGGAGCGGGATCATGAAACCAGTCGTCTGCCGTAGAGGATTCGGGTTTGGGGGTGGCTGAAGCTTTTTGTAGCAATCCGAGGGTCATCTTGTTTTGGTCTGTCTAAGCAAAACGGGAGTGTTGAGGATGATTCTTGGAGGGTTGGATTCAGGAGGGAGTTGCTGTTTCTTTGTCAATCTTGCGACTCATCGTGATAGACAGCTGGCCTTACCTTGGAATATATGGGAGGTGAAAGAAGGAAAAAGGAAGGAAGGAAGGAAGGAAAGAGCCTTACTCACGTTGACATGCAGGGATACTCCACGGTTTGGCAATATTCTCTTTGTTCAATAGAGGACAGAAGAAAGGGACAAGGTCTTCCAAAAGGCTGCGTGTGCACCTAGCTTTATAGACCACGGTGGGGCATCGATTGCAGCCATCACCTAGGGGAATGAAGGCGTAATCTGTGTGAATGGTCGAATTGAATAGTAGATGACGGTTATATTCCTGCGAAGAGTAAGTAATGACCAGCGGAGTCATGATGAGGCAGCAATGTCGGTGAAAAGACATCGTATTCACCGGTGCCTGGAACATTCTCCAAGTTCCTGGGGGGGGTTGATCTACGGTTCTGACAAAGAGAGAGGGTAGCAGCATACTGTTACTATCGCAAACCGTAGCGAGAGTAGTTGAATGACTTACTTGACTGAGCTGGTGTGTAGAGAAGACTGTGATAACGTTCGGCTTGATATGAAGGAAATACAGTACTGCGCTGGAAGATCAATCACGAGATTCATCAAGGACCCCAAAGTCCAAGAATGACTAGAATTACACGGCTGCTAACCTGGTGTTATCTACAAAAAAAAAGAGCCTGAATAATGGAGTCCTGCTTTAGTTATAGCCCAACTAGAAAACCCTAGGCCCTGAAGAAAGAGCACCGCAGTAGTGGTGTCAGCACCATCGCAGATCCCCAGCTGCCCCAACCCATTGTTACCTGGACTATGTCAATCTAGCACTCACACCCCCCCTCTGATCGGAGTATGGACTAGTACGCACCTACCAGTTGCAAACACAGTGTGCCTTGTGGACATTACAGTGACACCAATGGTAGGGAGTGCAGAAGCAAAGTCCATGGGTGCACGTCCCATCGCATCTCCTCTGAACCAGATTGTTGTGAGTACTCCTTGTACTGCATAGGGTGAAGAATACAAGGACTTGCAGGGAGGATATACCTGTTCAGCCTGGAGGGCATTCTCTCGGTCGAAGGGGCTGGTCGTCTCTAGAAGAGCAGTAGGCGTGGGAGTGGGGCTAGGGGTAGGGATCAGAGTGCTAGTAGGAACATTGATACTGGTAGTACGGTCATGAGTAAAGGTTTGCGGAGAGAAAGCCAGTACAGTCTCGAGATATAGACAGAGTATGGCGAGGAGAGCAACAGTAGTAGTCTTGATGGAAAGCATATTGCGCGAGAGTTGGAGAAACTGGCTTTGTTTAGATGGATGTAGAGTGTGTTTGGCAGGGATATAGGTGTTGGTGGATAAAAAAAGAGAGGAAAAAGAGAAGAAAACCAGGCCGAGGATTGTTGAACATATATCCATGTCCATCTGTTGGGATATTGTCAGGTGTTGTAGTTGCATTCGCAGTTAGAACCTGGTATTTCACTCGGCGCAGTCAATGAATACAACTCTCGAGGCACAGAATACCTCTGACCATTCATACTGGGGTACAGATTCATTCGCCTAAATCAGGTCACTATGAAGTAAGCCATCAAAAGCTCCAAGCCCTTAGTTGTGTTCCTTCAGTGAAATGTGTGTTTATATTACTAGTTAGACCATGGCTTGAGGAACGTGAAGCTCTCCTTATAGATCTCCTGCACATAGGTGTTGCTCAAAAATGAAGAAACCAAAACACCAAAGAAACCATAAGTGCCTGTCGCAAGTGAAGAGAGCATTCGAATTGTAAGCGATAGCGCCCTGGAATCTGGGAATCTCGATATCTAGATACTAAGTAGGGTTCACGATTGTGTGTACTCCGTATGCCAACCCACCATGTTAGTATCTCGGACTTTGCTCGTCATTAGTATAGATCATTGTCTCACGACCCCTCGACAGGTATAACTGATAACTTATACCGTCCCACTTATTAAACTAGACCTATCCCTTGTCGGCATTGGCTATTAGAGGGCAGACCCACCCCTGTCTAAGTCGACGGAGTACCTCAAGTCTCGCTTAGCGCAGACTTGGGGCCGAGGTAGATGAATGCCATGAGGTAAAGAGAATACGAGTCTGCACTCTGCAAAGCCCATCACATGTGCTAATAAAAGAACGAGTCTTCTTTTGGAACGGCTGAAGGCGGGGATATCTTCCAGAGTATGGTTACATTGGTTGTTTCTTCACGAAAATTCCATTATGGGAATCAACGCCGGCGCCGCACTTAAGCACTCTGCCGATCGACATCTTAAACCGCATCTTGGCAGTGATCAACCGAAAATAACTTCTGTCAAACGCTCGCTGGAGACCCTGACAACAGCACTGTGAGCTTCTTCAACAGTTTGACGACATGATAAGGCGCCGGTCAGACAGTATGGAACAAATGACGGACCAAGAATCCCAGATGCGATCCCACCGGAGAAAAGCCGCGGGTCGAAGAATGCAGGGCAGCAGCGCACAGACAGGGGGAAGAATGATCCGGCTTTTGCAGGAGTGGGACCCACGAGGTGTTGAATGGATCGGCTCTACTAGGTCTACTGCCGGCCAGTCTTAGTACGCTACAACGAGCAGGGATCGGTATGCTTCCACTGATCAGCCATGTCTTGTTTCCCCTTTTGAGGAAGGATAACGTCGTTTTTTGCCTCCCGAAAAAAACTATAAAAGAGTCGTCCGGGGGCCGTCTTCTCTAGAGCAACATGCACACTATCTGATTTTCAATCATGTTTGTTCGTCAGTTGTTGGGCCTTCTGGCCGTCGGCACTGGCCTGGCTACGGCTGTCAATCTCACTGGATACGAGTATGTGGTTGTGGGATCTGGAGCCGGTGGTGGCCCGTTAGCTGCTCGTCTGGCCCTCGCAGGACATAAGACTCTGCTGATCGAGGCCGGTGATGATCAGGGTCTGAACCTCAACTATTCCATTCCCGCCTACTCGGCCAAGGCCTCGGAGGATGAGGAGATGTCCTGGAACTTCTTCGTTCGCCACTACGCAGATGAGGCGAGACAAGCTCGGGACTATAAAACCAGCTATGAAACTCCAAGTGGTGAGATCTATACCGGTCTGAACCCACCGGAGGGCTCAACCATGAAGGGAACCCTCTATCCTCGCACGGGAACCCTCGGTGGTTGCACTGCACACAATGCCCTGATCGCGATCTATCCTCACCAGTCCGACTTCGAATACATTGCCACCCTTACTGGTGACGGCTCTTGGTCCCCGGATAACATGCGCAAGTACTTTGCCAGGTTAGAGAACAACAACTACCTCCTCCCTGGAATGAAAGGCCATGGCTATGACGGCTGGCTCCATACCGAGACCGCCCCGCTCAGCCTGGTTTTGGAGGATCCCCAGCTTCTCAGCTTGCTCCTGGGTGGTGCTTTCGCTCTCGGTAATCATACCAACACGATCTTCAACGTTGGAACCCTTCTTGCCGGTGATGCGAATGCCGACAAGAAGACTCGCGATACCAAGCCGGGCTATTACCAGATCCCGATCTCCACCAACGACGCCCACCGCAACGGACCCCGCGAGTTCATCCTCGCGGTCCGCGATGCTAAGAACGCCGATGGTAGCAAGATGTATCCCCTGGACGTGCGCACCAACTGTTTCGTCACCAAAGTGACCTTCGACGAGTCTGAGAACCCACCCCGCGCTACCGGCGTGGAATTCCTCGATGGCCAACATCTCTACCGTGCCAGCCCCCTCGCAAACGACTACTCCAAGGGAACACCAGGTACCGCGCAGGCCTCGCGCGAAGTCATCGTCGCCGGCGGCGTGTACAACTCCCCCCAGCTCCTCAAACTGAGCGGTGTGGGCCCAGCCGAGGAGCTCCAGAAGTTCGGAATCAAGGTTATCTCCGATCTGCCGGGCGTGGGAACCAACCTGCAGGATCACTACGAGATCACCGTGCAGGGCCACGTCCCCAAGGACTGGGCCGTCCTAGACGGCTGCACCTTCAGCGAGAATGGCCAAGCCGACCCCTGCATCGACCGATGGGAAACCCCCACCCCTATCCTGAAAGACCGGGGGATCTACTCTTCCTCCGGACTGGCGGCGACGATGTTCTATAAGAGCAGCGTGACGGCCGACGACTCCTACGATGTGTTTGTCTTCGGTGGTCCTGTCAATTTCCGTGGTTACTTCCCCAACTACAGCATCAATGCCACCAGCGAGCATGACTGGTTTACCTGGGCTATTTTGAAGGGCCATCCCCGTAACTCCGCGGGCAGCGTCACTCTCCGGTCTGCTGATCCGCTTGATATGCCCGATATCGTGTTCAACTACTTCGACACTGGTGTGGGTGACTATGATGCTGATTTGCAGGCGCTGTATGAGGCGGTTGAGCTGAGTCGCGATGCGTTTGATCGTCAGCTCGTGGATGTCACCGAGGTACTCCCCGGTGCTGATGTGAAGACCAAGGAGGATATCCAGCAGTATGCGAAGGATACAGCTTGGGGACACCATGCCTCTTGTACGTGCCCTATTGGCGCGGACGATGATCCCATGGCCGTCTTGGACGCAAAATTCCGGGTCCGTGGTGTCAGTGGGCTTCGAGTGGTGGATGCTTCGGTGTACCCCAAGATTCCCGGCACCTTTACCGCTGTTTCGACTTATATTGTCGCCGAGAAGGCAGCTGATGAGATTCTGTCTGAGTTGAACTAGACTCAAAGAGTCTACACTGTGGAGCGTGCTATGCATAGCACAACGTTGTATATACTGCGCAAGTAACATTCCTGTAAATTATAAGTTTGGAAGCACATCTTATTGTCTGATAATACCAACGCAAACATACCCATGTGACATTGACTCCAGATCATCGAGCGACGCATTATCTAGTGGCCGAGGAGCACGTTTCTAACTACTCCTTCGTCGATATAGTAGACTGCTTATACTCTGAACATCAACCTATACCGCCGGCTATCTCTGCAGGTCCTATCCATGCAGTCCCATGGTCCCAAAAATGCGAACAAGTCGAAACTTCAAGACCAAGTTTGATCAGATTGGGAGCAGGCAATAACTCCACATTCACCTGCCATCTGCATCGCCCAATTTGCCAGATCGATGGTGTCAAGGCCTCTACATTGGGGGATTTAGATGCCTCAAAGAGGCCTCATTTGCCTTCGACGTCCAGACGCCCAATATGTATGGGTTTTAGGATAACCTTGTGAATCAAGAGCCACGTAGTTGGCATAGGAAATCCCAAGAGGGCAAGACCCTGGGAGCGCCAGTCCTTAGAATAGCCGAGGAGATTGGAATGAACAAGTGATCTCGACCATCGGATGATCTGCTGTGTTGCTTCGGGCCCGTCGCTATACCTGGAGAGGCAAATCCCAAGGCTAGAGGAACACCAGTTACCTGCTCCAGATCCCGGTCAAACTCCTAGCTAAGAAGTCCCTTTTTGAACCGCAAGAAGCGGAGGCATGAGTTTCAGATGCTCGCCCAATATGTGACATTGATAGGAAGATACAGATTTATGTAGATCATTAAAGATTCTTATATGATGTTTGTGAAACATTAGGAGTTGGGTTTTCGGCTGCATATCAGCAGCGACAATTAGGAGAATCCACGATTAACACTCAAAACGCCATGGACAAGACCCAGAAAACAATGATCTATGTACGTAGCGTCATTCACGAGATGAATGTCGACTCGGAGAACATGACACCCTCCTCGGAGACTTCTTCATCTCCGATCTTCAATTTCAGTGTGAGCTTCTCTTGGGGAGCGAACTAAATCCTCGTTAGCGTAACTCGTCATCATAAGCACCACGCAGCCTTACCTGGAAGATGTAGGGCCGTGTGCCAGCGACACTACCGGCAATAGTCTTGATGAAGCCTGGCACCTCTGCCATAACGTCAATGCGGTCCAATCTCCGCCCGAGTGCACCATCGACCTCCGCATGGACAGCCTTATCATCTTGCGACTTGCCATCCCAAACCCACTTGATGGATTTCGGCTCGGGCCAGTCGCTATCCTGGTCCTGGGCTGTCTCAGTATGGGTAGCCGAGTTAGTTACACCGGCGTAAACAATCTCTCCGTCTTTAACAATTCCGCCAACGTTCACCACGGTCGATCCGTAAGAGGGGGGCGTTGTAAACTCCATCATGACGGCGGTGTATGTAGGAGTCTGGAAATTGACGAAATTCCACCGCGCAGCTACCTTAAGATTAGAACACTGACTATTCAACTGCTTCTTGGGGGGCATCACTCACCAGCATGATGCGGCTTCATGCCTTGAAGGCCATGGATGAACATGCCGCGGCCTTTGAGGTCGTAAGTTTGCTCCTTGGTGGTGATCGTTCCTTCAACACCACAACGGGGCCAGAATGCATGGCTCATCGAACCCCAGGGGTTCTGTGCATCTGTACCAAAGTAGGAAGTGCCATCCTTTCCAATGACGAAACCAGGGGAAGAACGCTTGAAGGTGATGTTCACCAGACAGTCTTCGTTCACGGCGGACTTCAGTGTGTATGCATCTCCTTCCTCATTGAGCGCTAAAGAGAGGTTATCGGCTCCAAAGGAAAGCATGCTCTCATCGAACATAAAGTTGTACAAGGGATCCGAGTACCACTTGTGGGTGGCATCTCCAGTAAGGTTGAAGATCTTCGCGTTGAACTGGGCGGTGGTGTGAATGCCACTATAACAACCAGGAGAGGTCAGAGAAAACAGAAACGGCTTCAATAGGAAAAGGTCTAGGATTTGGAGAAAAGTCCGGTGCAGCGAGGTAATAATAGCCTTACACAATGTTGCTGTAGATGATCTGCACAAAAACTAAGGTGCCATTGTCGGCCATGATATAGAAGGTCTTGGTCTCGACATTGGTGTATTGGTAGGCGCGCCAACGCAGGTCCTCCTTCGAGAGTACAGTGTAAGGGACTTCTTGTTGAGCAACAGATCGAATCGCCTCAGGGCCATAGATCGGCTCCTGCGTACCCGCAACACTCGCGAGGCTAGCGGTAGTGTGTGAAAGATTAGCACG